TGACAGTTCATGCGTGCGTGTGTGTGTGTGTGTGTGTGTGTGTGTGTGTGTGTGTGTGTGTGTGTGTGTGAGAGAGAGAGAGAGAGAGAGAGAGAGAGAGAGAGAGAGAGAGAGAGAGAGAGAGAGAGAGAGAGAGAGAGAGAGAGAGAGAGAGAGAGAGAGAGAGAGAGAGAGAGAGAGAGAGAGAGAGAGAGAGAGAGAGAGAGAGAGAGAGAGAGAGAGAGAGAGAGCAACTACTTACAGAACTATTTGTAAGGATTTGAGACTTTGTTTTCATCAGAGATGCTGTACAAACATATATATAACACAATTAGACTAATACAATCATCTTATGCATATTCAGTAATTAAACATTCTTAAATTAGCATTCTGCAGCAGATATGAGATAAACCTGAATCAATGCCTTCCATCTCCCAGCATAAATCCAGATATTTGAGAGCCTTACGATACTTTCTGATAGCCATCTTATAGTCATGCTTCTGTACATGCAAAAATACCAATAGCATTGACAACTTGCTCGTAAGCAAGAAAACAAGAAATCTACTGCACCGGAACTTGAAGAAGCTTATAACAACATAAAAGCTGATTCGGTAGTAAAAAAGAAAAATGAAACAAAAAAAAAAAAACTACCTTGAACCACTCATTTCCAAGGAGTTTGATAAAGTCAACAGCATTAATAATCAACGAGACATCGTCTACTTTAGCATCGAAATCCACTGGCCAATCAGGGTACACGTCACCATCTCCATAGAAGTTAATTGTCCCATCATCTGCTCCCTCGGGAATTTCTCCACAGTCGGCAATGACAACATCGACAGTTGGATAGTACTCCCCCACTGTCGCGACATACTCAATCGAGCGAACGACCCCTAATCCTTTGATAACCTTGCCAAAGACAACGTGCTTTCCATCCAGATGAGTAGCCTGGTTTGTGAGAATGGCAAATTTAGATCCGTTACTATTCGGACCCGAGTTAGCCATTGACAGCATCCCTTTCCTCGAGTGTTTCAGCTCAAAATTTTCGTCTTCGAATTTCTCACCGTAAATGGATTCTCCGGGCACTCCCTCTTCAGCAGATATATCACCTCCTTGCACCATTAAACCTCTGATAATACTATTAAAGTGTGAGCCCTGTATTCAAACATTGAACTAAATCACATTTGTAACAAGTTTATAAGCATTATTATCGAAGGAAGCAATAGATAGAGCTTACACAGTCTGAAAATTAAATTGTTCCGATGCTTTATAAAAAAATTAGAAAAGATGCTGAAAGCTTCAATTGCTAGGGATAACAGAGAATGTAGAGATTAATATTTTACTAATACTCAATTGAAACCATAAAATAAAATAAAAATCAGCAATAACACACTTGATTTTCACTTTCCCTTTCAAATGCGTGAACAGAAATACTGTGGATCACTTTCCTACAACTGCTCTGAATGGATGGCTACCTAAAATCGAAATGCAGTCGATATCATAGAAACAAACCATTCGGATAACTTCTGAAATCCCCTAGGTAATATCTGGAATTTTTTGCACAGCAAAAATCACATTTACATTGCCTTTTACACCAAGGCATAAGTTATATGGAGAAAACTCACGCAAAACAAATCTCCAACCCAAAAAAAAAAAAAAAACAAATAAGTGATTTATATGTTCTAAAAAGAAGCATCAACTGTACAAAAACATGCACACCATCAAATACAGAAGTAGATATAAAAATTAAAAAAAAAAAAAAAAAAAAAAGACCTTGTAATGGAGGGGAACGCCGCTGCGAGGGCTGATGCCCTTCTCTCCGGTACATAGGGCTCTAAAATTCTCGGCGGTTCTCGGCACCACATCGCTGTACAACTCCACCACTATCCTCCCCTCCATTTCTCCGTCAATGCTGATATCCAAATAGCACCGCGGATTCACCATTTTCTCTCCGCCGCCGCTAAAAAAAACGAACCAACAAAAAAAACACCGAACCGACAAAACCTTCCCCACGCTGCCGATGAAGCGCCGCCGCGGCCGAAAGCGAGCGGTAGGATTAACGAAGGCGGAAAAGGGCAAAAAAGAGAAACGAGGTTTTCAGGTGTAGGAGACGAAAAGCAGAAAGGGAAAAGCAAAGGCGAACATTCTTTGTTTGGTAGTATAGCTTTTGCGCAGAATGTTAAACGGAGAGGCGCGGAAATGGGGATGGTACTCCTCACTGTCAGTCACTGTGTGTACTGTGTGTTTTCGTGTGAGGTACAACCTTGTACAGCTGTACGTACAAACCGTTTTTTTATTTATTATTATTATATAGGCGGGCTGAAAGGTCACTATCCGTACGCGATCATGGGTTTGTTTGTCACGTAGCCCACAAACAGCATGAAAAGAGTTTTTTGTTTTTATCCACACAAACTTTACATTTATTTCATTTCTCCTTTTTTTTTTTATTATATTAAATGAATATTCAATACTCATAAATTGCAGATTTCAATAAATAATCATAATAAGCCGTTTTTTTTTTTTTTTTTTATAAATAAATACATCATAGTTACCTGTATCTTTATCATTTATTAGAAATATGAAAATCTATTTCATCTTAATAACTTAAATTCCACGCTGGCATATTTTATTTTTATTTTAATTTAATTAACCACTCTACAATTCTTACGAATCTCCCCATCCTGCCCTGTAAGAACAGCAATATTACCCATTTTGACCATAGAAGAAGCAAAATCCCTCATAAATAAAAAGGGGAATTTGCTATAATTCAAAACTACAGCAGCAGTTTTATTGTCACCCATGAGAGCTTGGTCTGACTGTAGAAGCCCGGAATTATTTGCAAGGCTTTTGAAATAGCTGTTATCGAACTTGGCCGATGTCGAATCAAAGGGAGCTAAATTGGTGTCGGAATTGTCTTGATTCGGACAAATGCCGCGTAAATTGCCTAATAGTGCTGCGTCGAGTATTGGGTCGGGATTTCCGGCCCCGTCAAAGTCGAAAAGCCTTTGCTTAAATGTCGAGCATTGAGCGAAGCCGATTGTGTGGCCACCTGCACAGGGTTTCAATAAGCCTTTACTTGTCAAATTACATTATTGGTTTTTGAATATATATATATATATATATATATATATATATATATATATATATATATATATTATGGGATTAGAAAAACAAAAGATTATCGTTCATCTTTGAATTTTAAACCCCGAGAAAGTAGGACAGAGGTAAATCAGTTTGGTTTAAGAGATAAAAAGGAGTTTCGAAAACCTGCAATATTCATTTTCAATACTCTTTCCGTTTCAAAAATAAGTGTCACCAACAAAAAAGGGTGTTTCTTCATTGATCAAGAATTTCGATTTTCGGGATGTATGATGATCGTCCAATAAGAAGGCCGAAAAAAATTCCAATATTAATTGTCACTTCAGAATTTGAAGGCAAAATATTTTTACCAATTTTGCCCTTTTATCGTTGATTGTTCTTTGTACAACTAAATTATGTTTCTTCAAGGTTTGTAAAGGGCAATTTGGGGATTCTCCATTAAAAAGGAGGCTGTTTATTAGGTTTCTTAATATGTATGACAGTATGAGTACAATTTATTTTGAAACGGAGGGAGCACATGATTAAATTATTTTACTAAGTTCAAAGAATTAAATAATTCATAATCAATACCTGAAAGAGCTACCATATCTTTGACATCGAGCCCCTTCGAGATGAACTTTGCAGTAATATTTTCCAAGGGCTCGAAAGGCGAAGGGAGGTCTGTGTTTGCCGAAGCCTCGCTTGCTGTTAAGCCATCTCTACGACCCAATGACACAGGCCAAAAGGGCCCACCACTCTAATGACATTGAAACAGAAGTAATAATCAAGGAAAGAAAAAAAAAAACGAGACTTCAAAAAAACTTTCGAGCAGTTAGATTTTTTTATACCAGAAATACAGCATCCCTTGTAGCAAGAGTCAATATATCAGTACAAGAGACAGTGGATGGGCAAGCTTTCTCGAGGTTTTGTTTTATTGCATCGATCACTTCAAACCCGCGAACTGAATTTCGATTCGGAAATGCATTCTTCTCTCCCTTGAAGTTGCTGCTATCATCAAGTAAGATAGATCCTTCACAACCCTACATGCGCAAAAGATAGAAAATCTATACATGAGATAAGTACACGAGCCTGTAACAAGCCAAATTGATCTATTAAAAAAAAATTGGTCAGTTAAAGGAAACGCAATTTTTTTCGTTTTGTTTCAATATTTTTCTAGTCGTAAGAAAATCTCAACATCAAAGAACCATATGGGGATGATTTAGTTACATTAACGAAACAGTCATGGAAATGAAGGCGCAAAAGGGAGGCAGCAATTCTTGTTTCATTAGCTATGGCGGACCAAACTCCGTATCTGATAATTTTTGACAGGTTAGGGCAACTATTATCGTAAAATTTGTAATCAAGTTGACTGCTCCCAAACGCGAGCAGAGACAGGAGGCAAATGAAAGGAATAACGAAACGTGTAGAAGCGTTCCTATTCATATTTTCAAAGGAATTAGGAAATGCCAAATTTTAGTGGATAGTATTTAACAAGCAGCAATAGCTGCAATTTATAGGAGGATCGACTTAAGATGTATGTCCCTTTCAATTAAGTTTGGCGAAATTCCACGAACCTCATCGAGTTATAAAATTATCAAGTGACATATAAAATATGGTAAAAGCAAGTCACGAGTAGTGGCTTACAGGAAAGACTCACATTGACTAACTATATCTCTTGAAAAATGACAAAAAGGAGTGATTCGTGATATTTGATGACTCCAGTGAGTCGAGGTGAAAAGAAGGGACCTAGTCATTTCATCGAAAGTAAAACACACAGACACACATTGAAACGTACTGGATTATAATCCTATGTATTATAGTGTAGTGAGTTTCAGAAATCTAATTAACAGTCTTTTAATTAAGACACTCGTGATTAGATTAAAGAATGTTAATCATTAGAGTCGATCTAACTGAGTTTCAAGCGATGGAAACACAACAGTGAATCAATCGACACAGATAAAATGCGAAATACTGAACTTGGTAAATAATTGAAACCAACATTTTTTTTCTGCCACACCACACAACACAGATGATAATTCAGGAGATTAAGCCCCACTCAGTTGACCTTGATAAAAAAGTTCATCGTAGCTAAACTCCTACCCAAAACACAAACTGCTTGTAAAAAGCTAATAATATCGAATAAAAAAATAAAAAAAAAATTAAAAAAGGTCGACACACTATCACTAGTTGAACACAGTGCATAATGATGTCAGCCATTTGCAGACATAAGTCAACCAGGCGGCGGCGGCGGCGATACAGGGACAGTGAATTTGGTATAAAATTTCGAAACAAAAGCCACCAAGTGGAGCATTTGGCACCAACTCAGTGAAAACAAAACGGATTTTGATTTATTATAAAAAAAAAAAAAAAAAAAACGTGGGAAAATTTGAAAAAGGTAAGGGAAGTGGAGACGTACCGGAAATTCGAACACCACCACCGGCGGTTGATAGCTACCGTTTCAATTGGAGCTGGGGAGTAAGTGACAGACATCTCCAACTTTCTGGAAATTTGGGGATAATTTCGTTCTTCATTCATTAGGGTTTTGGGAGAACAAAAACCCAAACGAGGAGCGAATTTTCAGGAATCGGGGGAATATTTTTTCAAATTGTAATTGGGCCGCTCAAACTTTTTTAAGATAAAATCATGGCCCAAATTAAATTTATTATGAAGCTTATAGAACACAAATATCATTAGTATTTAGGGTCAAATTACAACTAGCCCTGATGTATGGTCAAATTACGATAAAACCCCTCATGTTTGGGTAATTTGACCGTAGTTGAGGGTGATATTTGTAATTATCGTAATATACCCTATTTATAATTAGTTTATTTTTAAAAATTCATTATTTTCTCATATTCATCTTCTTCAACACAAGAAAATAGTACCCACACAGATGTAGAGGGGAAAATCTGTCCCCTTGAAAACTGCCTACAGTGTATATCATGTACAAAAACAACAAAGCAGAAAAAAAAGAAAAAAAAAACTAAGTAGTCTAAAAACTCACCTTACACCAGCACACACACTACTACACACAGTAAATTAAAAAAAAAAAAAAAAACTTGTTTCAGAAACAATTCCTATGCATCAACTTGATTTCATTCAGCAAGCTGGTGAAAGATCAACGTATAAATAATATACACTATTTGTACATTTTTTTTTTCAAACTCAGAGCAGCAAATTTTGCAGCTTGTTTGTTCTTTCTCCAAGGGGTTATACAAAGCCTATTATATCTACACCTAAATCCCCCACCCCTACTCCACCCATATATATAAATATGCGTTTTCATGTGTTCTTCATTCTAACCAGATAACTTTCCGAGAGCTTCCGTGGGGATAAAAAGAGGAAGTGGAGCCACTGCTAAATGGGGTATCTGAAGATGGCATCGTTGGATATTCTTACCGGAGTAAAAGAATCGTGCGTGAATCTGTTACGCCACATATATCCCATAGTTAAAAAAAAATGCCAACTTTTTTCGAATTTCCCAAACACGACAAACCAAATTTTCGTGAGAGAAATTCTTACTTGTTACTAAGTTTCCCCTTCCTCATCTGTGTGTCAAATGGAACCGACAATTGGTCTACTTTTTGCCTCGGCCGCTCCCTCGAAAGCTGCAAATTGTCCTGTTGTGAATTATTGTTGTGAATTATTGCATAAATCACAATTATCATTATAAACATAAGGAGCTTTTTGCATTTCAAAAAACTAACAGGAGAGTGAAATGTAAATTACCGTGTTTTTTGTCTCTTTAGTGTTGTTGCTCAAGAATGGATGATCTAGTAACTGGCTGGCGGTTGGCCTTTCAGCTGGATTTCTACGAAAGCAGCATTGCAAGAAATCTTTGCCCTCTGCCGACATTATTTGTGGTATCGGTGGAGTCTCCTTTAGAACCTTGAATAATGCTGCCGCCTAAAAAAGAATTGATATGTATATATTATATTTGTGAATTATAAAGTGAAATGCTAAATCATGAGAATGAGCACATTGAACCAAATATGTGGTGCTTGCATACCCCTTCATATTCGCTCCAAGGAGGCTTTCCGTTCATCATTTCGATTATTGTACAACCCAAACTCCATATATCAACTGCTAAAGCAACATCTGAGCTGGCATCTGTTTGCATTGCGGATTGCAAGAGCTACAACGAGTTAAGAGGGTGTTAGCATATTTGAGCAACGATTGAATTATTAAGAAAAGATAAAAAAACAGAAAAAGGTTTGATGTTGCAGTATCTTTGTACCTCTGGAGCCATCCAATATGGACTCCCCTTCAATGACAGATTTGCCGTTTGCCCGTTCAGCTGTAAAGACAAAATTACACATTCAAATTCACGTAGCAGAAGTGTACAAATCTTAAAAACATTATATCAACTAGAAAATTGGGAAGATTTATGGGGGGGAAAGCGAAAAAGAAGAGCTGCTTTCTTTGCAAGTAGCAAGAATTTCTTTAAGTTGCCTTAATTTTTCAAGATCAAAATCACAATTGACAAAGAATAAAATGGTCTATAGCATATATCAAAGTCAGTAGTCAATACTCTGTATTCGAATATATTTGAATTTAGCATTTCCAATATTTGGTGAAATGAGTGAGATCCAAAAATGATATGACAAATTCCAGATTAAAAGGCGAAATTTAAAAACACAAGCAAGCTTATAAGGGTAGACAGAGCATCATATTTGGTGAATCATAACTCACATGTTTTGCCATCCCGAAATCAGCAAGCTTGACAACCCCATATGCATCAACCAGTAGATTAGCGCCTTTGATATCCCTAGAAAACAATTGACACTAAACCAGGTTAATAAGAACGAAAAATCCAAGTAAAAGTTTAATTTCATGTTCTGATTTCTTAAATTTCGAACGGCAAACAATTCCAGATATATATCAGTTCTGCAGCTACAGCCACTAGTCTACACTTTTTTGTTATTGCTTTCTTTTTATTATCATCATTCAAAATTATAAGCTTACCTCTTGAATTTATTTTTCCAATGGAGGATATTTCTGCCTCTGAATAAACATAAGACATATGGATTATTACCTGTGTATGGTTTTTTTACTGTGCAAATAAGCCAATCCACAGAGAATATGACGAGTAAAATTGCGAACAACAGCTTCTGTAATAGCTCCACAATGGTCTTGGATGAATCTATTGATTGAACCAGGATGGACATATTCCAGGTATATGTAGAACTTGTCGCCGACCTGTTTCAACATAAAGTGAGAATCTGACTGCAGCAGCAGAAAAGCAATAGTTTCAATCCATCTTCGTGAAGAAACTTTACTTACTATTTCACTACCAAAATACTGCACGATATTCGGATGCTTTAGATGGCTAAGAACTTTAATTTCCTGAAAATAATAAGAAAATAAGTGCAAATCATGCATTAAAGGGGGGAAAACAAAAAAAAAAAAAACCAATACCAAAAGTTTGAATCATGAGATGCAAATAAAGTAGAAGAAAACCTGCTCCAATTGCCGCATACACTCTGCAGATTTCGAATCATCAGGTAAAATCTCGACTTCTTTCATGGCACATAATGCTCCAGTCTCTCTATTGACAAGAACAAGCATTCATTCGTCAATAGTGCACGTAACTTTTCGCAGGTTGAAAGTTTATATTTAGCCATGCATACCTGTTGGAAGCTACATAAACACTTCCAAACGTCCCCCTCCCAATGAGCTTTCCTTTCTGCCATTGAGATTTAATGGGCATCAATTCAATTTTATTCCCAACAGGGGAAATCGGAGAGGGCAATGAAGGAATGTTAGCTCCTGTAAATTCATGTCTAACTGTGAGCTGTGAAGGTAACGAAGCTCCTGAAAATTCGGATTTACATCTGACAGGGGATATTGGAGTGGGCGGTGAAGAAGAAACGGCAGCCCCTGGAGGAAGAGGTAAGGGATGTACAGAGGCCTGAACATTACTTTCCCACCGTGTTAACGGTGAGGCCGGCTTGTGAGTACTAATTCTTGGACTCTGAAGAGGAGAACTATCAACACTAGATGCAACTTTCTCGTAAGGCGTTTGGTACGAGAAACCTAGGCCTACATTCCCATCTGAATGTGGCATCTCCGGTGCTGACCAAACTTGGAAAACTCCGGGTGGGGTCAGGTAGTGAGATGCCCACATATCACTCCTTGGGGGAGACACAACAAGGCTTGAATAAGGACTGGTCGGAGCGCTGATGGGAATGTTGAAGTTGTACCCGTCCGAGGATTTTTGTTTCTGATTGTGCCGTGACTTCCTAGATTGCCGATTTTCCGAATTCTCTGTATTTGTTCTTGAATCTTGGCGTACTAATCTGCTGAAACATGTGAATGAAGGGAAACGTAACAGTGAATTAATATTATGCCACACAGAGTTGTAATGATGAATGCTTGGACAAGCTTTGCATCAACATAATATAATTGCATGCAAGAATTTAAAAACGTTTTGGCTGAAAGAAAAAAAGAAAAGAAAAAAAGTTCATCAGGTTTCGCACACGCATTTCATCGAACACGTAGAAGTCATTCCACAACAAATGATAATTTCCATTATTTACAGGCTACCTTTTAACTCCGTCAATCTCCGATGACTCCTTTTCCTTTTCTCTTTCCCTCTCCTTGTCATCGGATCCTCTCGTTATCTGAATAGCGTCTGGAGACGGAAGGGGCACGCTGCAGGAGCTGGAGGAGGCGAATTTGGGGTCGCGCTGCAGCAGCACGTGCAATTCCGGCAGAGGCAGCGGCTGAGGCGACGGCGACGTGGACGCCAATGCTGACCTGGCGGGCATATTCTGCAAATGGTCGGGGGACCGCCACATCTCGACGTCGTTCTCTGTCACCTGCCGCAATTTCCTGGCGCGGCTGAGGAGGCGGTTCCGCCGCGAGGAGAAGAAGCCTGGCTTCGCGGGGTAGCTGCTGGCTCCGGCGGAACCACCGCCGCCGATGACGCTGTCGTCGTTGGATTGCGACTTCGACGTAGAAGTAAACGCGCCCTGCCACCAATGCATGGTTTTTATAGGTGCCGATCACAAAATCAAACGGTTTGTTTTTATTTTTTTTTTTAATTTTTTTTTTTACAATGTTGGATTAATAGTGATTTTACATAATTAGCACGGTGGCCGGGAGGAATAGTTTACCGGCCAAATGAATTTCCTGTTTCCGTCGGAATTGAGGAAATAGGAATTTCATATGGCCGATAATGAAGAAGAAAACCCCACCGGGGGTGGTGGTGGGGGTGGGGCCGTTGTAATTTTCTCCAAAAAATGTTAACGCTGCAGAAACGCGGTTTACAGCATACGTAAAACAATATATATATATATATATATATATATATATATATATATATATATATATATATATATATATATATATATTTCTTTTTCTTTTTCTGTTTTCTATTTTTTGGTCAGAAATTAATAAGAGAATTTGAAGGAAGAAAATATTCTTTGTTAAGGTCAACATCTAATTTCACTTTTATTATTTTTTGGGGTGTATATATATATATTTGTTAAATAAATATATAATAATAAAACCTACTCATAAATCTAGTAACTAATAAATTACATTATTTGAATGGGAAATAATAATTATAATGATATGCCTATTGGCCCAGCCCAATAGCCCACATTTACTGGACCACAGGCCCAACTTAATAGTTATTTCTACAGAGGCCCAATCAAACCCAAATAAGGTTGGGCCCGATAAATTGTCTCGACCCAATCAATAAAGTATAAATAGAACTTAAATTCATTGAATGAAGGTACGTTATATTTATTCAATCAATTCCTCTTTTGGAATTCTCTCTACAATTACCAACAATCTTCACGTCTGACTTGAGCGTCGGAGGGGTTTCCGCCGGATCAACCCCCGGCTTAGATTACGTGTTTTCTGTTCGCAGGATCCTAGAGTAAATTAAAGTTCTCAGGACTATCTAGCTCGTGAGCACGTGACCTACTTTGCTCTCCCAGCTTCAACACACTAGGTGATTTATTTTTTACGTCATCAAATTATAAAATAAAATTAGAATTTCATATATATATATTACATCACATAAGACTTCACCTCCAAATGAAATAAATCTTTACTTAAGTTTGACCATTTAAACAGATCTCCGGTCCAACACTATGGTTATTGCGCTCGTTGACTATGGTCAAAATCCAGAATTTTTCCTTTATAAAAGAAAAAAAAATAAAAAATACTCCATATCTGACCGAGTCCACCCAGCTCAAGCCCACGAATCACGAGTAAGCTACAACGATTGGTCCATCAGAGTTAATTTGTGGCCTAAAAATAATTATTAATAAATAAAAAATAAATTATTAAAATATTTTTCTCCAAAATAATGCATTTATCATACCAATGTTATTATATATATATATATATATATATAATTTTTTTTTTATATTATGAGTGCAATAAAAAATGGAATTTTCGATTCTCGTCAGTTTTTTTTTTCTATTTTCAAACAGATTGTTCGTTGTGATTTCTGAAATTTTGATTTCCGACTTTTCGAAAACTGTTTGGCCCGAAAATTGGAAAAAAATAATTAGTTTTACAAATAATTTTTTTTAATAGTATTGATTCAAACTCGATTGCGCGACCAATTTCCACCGCCTAATATTTTACCATTATAATAAATAATAAAACATTAAAATATAATTAAAAAAGAAAGACACAAAATCTGACCAAGTCCACAGGTGAAGCCCAAAATCCAGTAGTATTGCAACATACGTTTGGGCCATTGGACTTAAATTGTGGGCATTTATAATTCTCTGTGTGCATTAAAAACTTAATTGATAATATTATGAAGATTGCAAAACAAATTCCGAAAAATACACAAAGAATTATATCCGAGGTAAAAGAAAATAACAATTTAATTTGTTATCATGCAACCTGAAAAATAAAAGTACGCATATGGTGCATTGTGATTGATTTATAGTATTTTGAGGGTGTAAAGTACTGTTAATTTTATTAAAAGATGCAAAGTGAAATTAAGCCATTTAAATTTTATAATAAATAAATAAATTAATAAGTGGAAAAAGAGTTGTGCCATATCACTAGCTAAAATTCTACACCCACAAAACATGGTTCATGAGTAGACTATTCCAATTGACCAATCGGGTAAGGGTTGTACTTTGTGGTACTACTTAATTTGGACCCCTAGTTTACTAGCATCTCCTAAAAAGAAACTGTAATAAAATTAGATGTACTCTTTTCTTTCAAATTATATTTACACGTAGGACAATAATTAATTAATCAGCGCCGAATTAATTAATTAATTGACCCTCGTCCTGTCACGTAGTGGAAGTGTGTGTGTGTGTTTGTGTGTGTGTGTGTGTGTGTGTGTGTGTGTGTGTGTGTGTGTGTGTGTGTGTGTGTGTGAAATGTTGCAATAAAGAGGTGATGTGATAATTGAGGATGTTTTATGCTTCCTACTTGAAAAGTCCCGTCTGCATCGCAACTTATTTCAACTGATTAAGAAATGACCAAATTAAGTAGGTCCTTTACACCCTATAAATAGATTTTTTTATTTATTTTATTTATTTATTATGAAATCAAGAAGATGGTAGTAGTATCCTAGTCTAATTTATTTATTTTTATGATTAAATATTATAAAAATAAAATTTGATTTTGTTCTATTCATTTTCATTTTCATGAAAAATAAATTTCATTTTGTTCTATTTATTTATTTTTTCTCTCTACAAATTCTCCAATTTTTACTTTTGAAATAATAGCCTGCACATCGTAGCTTACGGGAAAAATGCTAGCAATTCTAATAAAAACATCTTACTTAAAAACGAAAGATTTCATGTATAATTTTATAAAACATCTTACTTAAACAATAGTGAATAGTGTGTACCTTGTTTCCCTTCATGAAAATGCATTAAAGAAATTATAAAAAAAAAAAAAAAAAATAATTAATTAATTAAAAAAATAAAATAAAATAGTTTGAAGATGAATCCATGCACGTGAGTGACTCAACTTACCCTCGCAGTCCCCGGGGTATCATCAAAAGTCAAATAGGTGAAAAATGATTTTAGCAAACCCATAAAGGTAATTCCACTTTACGCAATAAAAGACTTTGGGTATGTTTGTTTCTATTTCTAAAATCACTTTCCAGTTTTATACTATACATAAAACTGGGATTATGTTTGTTTGAGACTTTTCAGTTGGGAATTCCTATTTTTCTTAACAATTTTTCCATTAGAAATACACTATTCATACTTTTCCCACTTTTCAAACCTATAATAATACCTACTAACCTATTTCTCTCTCCTCCATTTTTTCTCCCATCTCATTAATATTTACTTTTCCCATCTCCACTTTACACACTCTCTCTCACCCACTTGTATAATTTTTTCTTTATTTTCTTTATTTCGTTTTTTTTTTTCTCCCATTACACTTATCTTTAATTAATATACATTAATACACACCACAAATATTCAACAAACCCACTATTCTCCTCTTTTTTCCCGTAAGTTTCCCTTCTCCTTTTTACTTTTCCCACATTCTCTCTCCTCCACTCTCTCTTAATAATAATAATAATAATAATAATAATAATAATAATAATAATAATAATAATAATAATATTGTTATTAATAATAATATTCATTGTAGAAGTAGTAATAATAACAATAATGGTAATAGTAATAATAATAATAATAATAATAATAATAATAATAATAATAATAATAATAACAATAACAATAATAATAACAATAACAATAACAATAACAATAATAATAATAATAACCATCATCATCCTCAATTATTATATTTTACTTTTGCACGTACTTTCGTAGAGAAAATTCCCACAACCAAACATATTCTCATTTCTACACCTACATAAAACTAAAAATACCATTTCATCCAAACATATTCCCATTTTCTACACAAAAACCAATATTCTACTTTTTCCATCAAAAATTTTGAAAACTAGAAATTCCCATTGGAAACATAACCAAACATCCCCTTTATTTCTATATACCCTATCAATTTTAATTTAAAAAAACAAAAACTTGAATTTCATTTTTTTGATTGGCAAAATATTAAAGAAAAATTTATTGAAAATAAAAACCCATATTTTTCGGAGGCCAACGGTGTAGGGCCGTGTGGCTTACCGCTTGGGTTGGCCCATTACAAAACACTAATTTATTTTCTATACAACAAACGGGCTATGAGATGCTACACCTGATATAATACACTGAATTATTTGAATTATAGATTAATATAATTTATCATGCACTAAACACAAATACACACGAGTGTATGTGTGGAATGATGATTCAAAATTATTCGATGTATTTCCCCGTATGTGTGTTTATATATATATATATATATATATATATATATATATATATATATATATATATATATATATATAACCATGACCAATTATGCGTTTAGTCATCTAATTACTAATCTGGATTAATTTAAAAAGCTATAGTCAAAAGTCAAAACTAAAAACAATTAGATTGACAATGTATTTGATGGGTCAAAAATTGACCAGACGTAATTATCTCTATACTAATTTAGATCTAATGAAATTTAATAAATAAAATGTTGGATAAATTAAATGCTAAATTATATAAAATAAATAAATAAATAAAATTCTTCATCTTTGACCAAGTTAGAAAAAAATAAGTTAATTTCCAAAATCACATGTATTAAGGGCTTGTTTTAGTAAGTGTCTATGGAATTAATGAGATTGATTGAACTATTACGATTATGGCTGTTGAGATCCTAAATTCAAATAAATCATTGAATAAATATTAAAAAAGAATCCTAATATTAGATTATTGATCCGATTCGCATGATTTGTAATTTTAATTTTAAATTTCTTTGTAAGGAAAAAAAATTGATAGCACAAATTTGAAATGAAAGGCAAAAGTGTGAGATGAAAAGGGAGGGAATTAAATTGCAATTAACGTCTGAAAACATTTTGTCTGAAAAAAAGTGAGTTGTACGTTGCGCATTGAATGTAATGTGGTGAGTCTGCACGCAATCGCTGAGCCACTGGTTCAGACTCACTACGTCCTTTTTGTCTCCCCTAACATGGGCCCTACATAATATAGATCAATTTTTTTATATTTATTTTTTGCTCCCTACATTTCCTAATATTAGACAATTTCACCCATAGTTTTTGATACTCTTATTTTTACACACATATATTAAACATTTTGCAATTTCCAATATATATAAATATATAATATCTACATTTTTACTTTTTACTAATACAATAGTTCTCATTATATCATTTTATAATTTATGCTTTACCAAACCATCAATTATATCCAAGAAATAAGTTCAAGCTCGAGCTTTCCAAAGTTCAATTTATTACACCATTAAGTCGACGCAAATGTGTAAATAAGTCGAACTACTATAAGATTTGAAAGTATTGATAAAAAAATTATTTAAAAAGAAAATATTTGTTATTTAGTTTAGAGGTAGTGCTGGAATTAAGCGATCAAGTTTAACTGATGAATTAATTAAAGGTTTAACTGATTCGAGCTCTTGAGCTCAATGAAATCACAAAAGTCGTTATGCTTGACTAAATTATGAAATATCATCCAAAAGTGTATTGATTACATAGATCTATTAAGTTTAACTAAGAGTCGTTATATACGTAAGTGAATTATGAAACGGTTATCCGTTGATGGATTAATTAAAGGTGTAACTGATTCGAGCTCTTGACCTCGATGGAATCTATATTAAAAAGTCGTTATACATAATTGATGACTTTGGAAATAAACCAATAAACCAACATACGTATAATTCAATTATGTATAACGACTTTTATAGATTTCATCGAGCTCAAGAGATCGACTCCATTACACCTTTAATTAATCTATATCAACTAATAACCGTTTCATGATCCAATCACGTATAACGACTTTTATAGATTTCATCGATCGCAAAAGCTCGACTCGGTTAAATCTTCAATTAATATATCAATGGATAACCGTTTCACAATCCAATTATGTATAACGGCTCTTAAGAGCTTGACAGTTATAAGTACTTAATACACAGTTGGACGATATTTCATAATTCAGTTACGCAGAACGACTCGTACAAACTTGATCACCTAGCTCCATCACCGGTTCTAAACAACTAATAACAAATTTTATTAGTTGTGTGTTATAAAATTCAATTGTAATTTTTATTAAAAGAAAAGTTTATCACATATAATATCATGATAAAAAAAAAATTAGTAATTAAAAAAAAAAAGAACAATGCCAAAATTGTAAATAAGTGAAATATAAGGGCCTTAAAGTGAACAACAAAAGGGGCAGTTTTGGAAATTAACAGAGTAAGAGACAGCACAGAGGGACAATGAGGCAACTCGCAGAGCATACATTTAACATTCCTTCAGAGTAAAATATTGCTAACAGGGACCCTAACCCACCGTTATAATCCAACGGTCAGAGCATGCTTTCACTGAACTCACCCACGGCCCAGATTAATCCATAAAAAATGCAACACACACACACACACCATATATACTTACAAATTACTTACACACGCGCGCACCCCACACACACGTACACGCACGCACACACATATAAAAATGACGTAGACTCTCCGCCCTCCGGTTATGATCTCTCTCTCTCTCTCTCTCTCTCTCTCTCTCTCTCATTCAATATGTTTCCTCCATTTCTCAGTCTGTAATTTCCATACAAAAGTTCACATATATATATATTATATATAATTTTAAATTGTTCAACCATTTCGTTGTTTTGGGATCGCGAAAGCTGAAGATCGGATCGAACTCAAACCCTAGGTTTCACTCTCTCCGATAAAAAAAAAGGTTAGTTTTTTTTTTTCTTCCAATTTTTTTTTTTCACGTCGAACAAAACCGTTCTGTAGCAGTTTTCTTCTGTGTTTTTTTTCTTCTTCAAATATATTTATTTTTCGTTTTTTGCAGATGTCGTAAACACTCGCGGAGAGAGTCATTTCTTCGAGTGTTTCCTTCAATTAATCGAAGACGGTATGATTATTTTTTTTTTTCTGAAATTGTTTGTGTTTCCCAATTTTTTTTTTTTTTTTTTTTTTGATTTGTCGTTTTGAATGTGAGATTAGGTTTTTCAAAGACAGAGAAAGATCTCGTCGTTTTGATTCACCGTAACGAAAAGATTATACGGATTTTTTTTAATTTTTAAATTTTGATTTTTTTAATTTTATTTACCTTTTTTGGATCTGGAAAATTCTTCAGTACTAAACCAGGTCTGTCTTGCATTCCAAGTTGATTTCGATTTAGAGAGAGAAAGAGAAGAGAGAGAAACAAAAATCTTTTCATAATCAACCCTATGTTTCGTCGCCATCATCATCATCTATTCATCTCCTCCAACTTTTCCATTTATTTTTTTTTAATTTTAATTTTTAATTAATTTTATTCTTCTGAACTTACCTTAAATAAAACGGTGACTTGATTTTAAGAATGAGTTTATTGACTTTCCATGTCGGCTTTAACAGCTCTCCTCTTTAATTGCTTCAGAACCCTTCTCTTCAATCGGTGAACCAAACTGTATTAAATAGTACTAATTATTTTATTTTTTTCATTTAAATCTCTTACGCATGTGCATCTCTATATTCTTCGATATAATTAAATCCTTTTTCAAGATTTCAGTGTAACGTTAAAAAAAAAAAGTCACAGAGGCGCATTGATGAAAATTTTATGTGTGTTTGACTGAATATAATAATAATAATAATAATAATAATAATAATAATAATGGTGTTGTCTTCTTCAGTTGAAGAAGCTTTAAAGAAGAAGACGAAGAAAATGTCGTCGTCAAACTCCCCATGTGCAGCGTGTAAGTGCCTCCGGCGGAAGTGCACGCAGGAGTGCGTGTTCGCGCCGTATTTTCCGCCGGATAATCCTCAGAAGTTCACCAACGTCCACAAGGTCTTCGGCGCCAGCAACGTGGCCAAGTTGCTGAACGAGCTGAACGCCGCTCATCGGGAGGACGCCGTTAACTCGCTGGCGTATGAGGCGGAGCAGCGCCTCCGCGACCCGGTGTACGGCTGCGTGGGACAAATCTCAATCCTCCAGCAGCGGCTGAAGCAAGTCCAGATTGAGTTGGACTCCGCCAAGAAGGAACTCTCCGCCTACATCGGCCCCGCCGCACTAATGCCCATGTTGAACAACCAGGGTTTCCTGCAACACCACTCCAACTTCAACCCGGCGGCCGCCGCCGCCGCCTACCAGATGGTGCCCTACAATGTCCAGCAAATGATGGGCCCTCCGACTGGGGTCCCACACGGTGCCGCCCAGCTCATGATTCGCGGCGGCGACCCTCACCACCCCCACCACCAGCACCACCAACAGCAACAGCAGCAGTTTCTTGAGGCGCAGCAGTTAGCAATGGCGGCGGCCGCCGCCGCTAGAGAGCAGGAGATGCTGAGAACCTTCGAGCACCAACAGAATCATCATCAGCAGCAGCACAGTGAGTTAGTGAGGTTCAACAATGGGTTTGACGACGACGAAGTGGGTGGTCCAGTCACAGCCACCGGATTCAACCAGATGGTGACGGCGGCGGCGCCAGTGGCGGCGCAGCCGTCGTTAGCCCTAGGAAATGCTTACGAAACAATCCCTTATCACCAGATTCAACATCAACAGCAAGAGCACTCTCATAATCAAACACACATGCTCTCTCATCACCCACACCAGATTCAACTTCAGCCGCAAGATCTTTTGCAGCAACAACAACAACATATCGTTGCAGCTCACCATCAACAACAGCATCAGCAGCAGCAGCACCAATTAGCAGCAGCTCAAACGCATGCCACACAATCACAACAGCAGCAGCAGCCAATGAGAGCTAAGAGCGAGGAGGGCAGGAGCATTTAAATCATTAATTTTTGTAATTGGTTCCATAATTTCCATATATCTTCCTCCGAGCTTTTGTTCATCAAACGGAAATATTCCATCCAGGTAACTACTTTCCCTTATTTTATTTATTTATTAATATTAATTTTTGTCAATATCTTGATCACGCATTATTAATGCCGGGGAAGAATTGGGGTTTGTCTCTTGTTATTATTGTTCTTGTGTATGAGAATTACTGCATTAATTGAAAAGGAAGGCAAAAAATTAACTACCTGGTTTAAATTTCAAGCAGGTGGGTTGGCTATGAGAATTATTGTCTTGTCACTGCCCCTTTTAGATGACATGTCACAAATTCAGTAATCATAACTCTTGCAAACCCTATGAACCCTAATTTCACTTTTTCTTTGTTTTCTTGCATTTTAGTGAGGATGCTAGTTTTTGGAGCCATATTTAGGCATATTTTATTCTGCAGAGAGAGAGAGAGAGAGATGCAGTTGTGTAATAAATGGGTCAAAAATATGTATATTAATTGTTAAAAGAAAGCTAGTTCTTCCCACTACATGCTATGCTGCCTGGCCACATTCACTAAGAAAAATGAATCAGGAATAGGGTGTTGTTATGATTCTGCTGGATTTTTGCCCTAGTCTATAATAATATGCTCAAAATGTCACATCTAGATAGTGAAATAACCTCCTGAATATATTTTTTGTACACGAATGCTCCTTTTCGTTTCTCATCATAATTTATTACAATATTAGGGCTCTTAAATATTATTTTTCTTAATTTTTTTTTATTATTATTTGCTTTTTTTTTAAGTTATTATTATTATTCTATTTTTAATGCTAGCTAGATCTGAAATACTGAAACCCTCATGTTTGATCAATTTGTCAACGTGTATATAATTATAGTAGAAAAACTTTGTCCTGTTGCATTGAAATTGTATAGAATAATATTTCTTGTTTCATATATTATGGAGATGTATAATAATAACTTGAATTCTTCTTGCAGCAAAGCTTAGGGCGGAGATTAGCGTAGCGAGGAAAAAGAAAGAGAGAGAGAAAGACTCATCAGATCGGGATAGAGAGAGAAACAAATCTTGTAATTTTGTCACTTGTACGTAATTACCAGTTTTTTTTTTTCTTTTTTTTTTTTTTGGAACTTCGAAAAAGACAAATTTCTGGAGGAAAAATACATTTGAAAAAAAAAACGTAGGAGCAGCGTTGATTTCAAACAATAGTTGTTCTCTTTCCGTTTACATTCTAAAGGTTACTTCTTTTTGCCGGTACATTCTCCATTTTTTTTATACTAACTATTGCTTTTCTTCGAAGTTACTATTGATAATTAATAATCTCGCTTAAATAATATTTTTTTTTTATAATTTCGATTGAATGAAAATATATTAAATTATTAATTTGATAATTTAATATTTCACTATATTAATAGAATTGTACTAGTCCAACTGTATTAATTTGTATTTCGTTTTGTTGTAAAGATAAAATAGACTAATACAAAATTATTTAACTGGTAGTATTACTTGATTTTTATTAATTAAAAAAAATGGGGGTAATTTATAGGCTTTTTTGGTTCTTGATGGTTGCAATTAGTATGGGAGTGCGTGTTGACAATGGACAAGAATTTAATAGCAAACATTATAAAAATTGTACGGTCCAAGAAGATGAGATTTGAGTTGGTAAATAGGGATTCCCATGTGAGAGGTGTTATTTCGTTGCTGATTTGGATGGTTGACCTTCATTTTTTTATTTTTTTATTTTTCATTTTTTATTTTTATTTTCGTAATTAAGTAAATCACCTGAAAATCATTGATTGACTAATGGCCTTTTAACGAGTCTAGTAGTCGTTACTAATAGGGTAAATTACAAACACCCGAAATGTATGGTCAAATTACAAAAAAACCCCTCTTGTTTAGATGATTACATCTACCCCTCAACTATGATTTTTTTCTTAGACCTCCACCATTGTGGTGCCAAATTCAACATAGTCATCTAGATTCCATGAAATGTGCTCTAGTTTGTACTTATTTTATGTAAAAATACAGTTTCCAATGCACCACAAACTGATATATACAAGCTAAAAATCACATATTATGATCATCTTACTTCATAATGTAGAGTTTGAATGAGATAAAATGGTTACAAAAGTGATAATATTCCATATAATCTCGAAGATTCCACTAAATTTGAGGAGTTGAGGGGGTGGTTGTAATTATCCAAACAAAAGGGGTGTTTTTATAATTTGACCATACCTCAGGGGGTGTTTGTAAGTTACCCTTACTAATATAATGCTATATGCATTTGTTTTATGTTTACCCGCACGTGCCGCAGAAGATAAAAGAAACTCTTAACAATGGCATACTCATCTCTTTTCATCTTTGACTCAAGTACTTAGAAATCCAATAAACGTGGCTTGATTTTAGTATAATTATATAAAATAACTAAAATACCCTTTATCATTTGATAATTTATAAAAGAGATTAAATATTTTGAGAATTTAAATAACAATTTATATTGGTTCATTGGAAATGTAAAGTGACAGATAATAAGAAAATAAAAATATTTTTCGAAAGTGACAGACCAATGGAATTCTCATCAAATTAAAGTTTATCTACTCAAACTAATTATGCTTACGTGTATATTTGTTTAAAATGATTAAAAAAAATAGTGGACCTTATGACAATTGCCTAAGTGACCTAACTGTTATTTGAATGTGGCAGGGACAAAAAGAAGTATATATATATATATATATAAATATATATATCTGAACACACAATAAATGCCCTCCTTTCACTTTCAATCTGGACTATAGTATGAGACCATTTAATGGTGGTACCTGGCCCATGTCACATGAGTGTGACAAAGTGTGAATTAAAAAAAAAAAAAAAAAGACTATTTTCTAAATTATAAATCTATTTCGTACATAAAATTCAGATAAATATGAAAGCAAAAGATTTCAATATATAAAAGAACAACATTAATTTCAAAGCTAGAAACAAAAAAAATAAAAGATATACTTCCCATTGTACGAGGAAACCAAAAGTATCATTTTGCCAATATTTATTTTAAAAAATATATGTTTTCTCTATCCTAATGTTTTAAGCTTTGACAATGAGTTGATCCATCCATTTGTATCGGTGATCGAACGTGTTACGACGTCAACCTTATTTCCTGGTGTCGCAGGAACGACGTCAAATCTTTATCTTTTGCTGAGGATCATCGAGACGCGGTTCCTACAACACCTGAAATGTTTTCCTGACGTAGATACTACTGTCAAGTTAGAAACCGTATCTTGAATTTTATGTCAATGTATTTAATGAAGAGGGCATTAGGTTTTAGTTTGAAGTGTTTGAGAGGAAACCCTATTTACAGATGTTTGTTTCTTTCGCGAGCTGCAAGATTCAGTATAGTTTTTGACTTTTTGTCATAATATATTTTATATATTTATAATATATTTAGAAATACCTACACATGAAAAATATTGAGAGATTATATCTATTTTAATATGGGCCTGAAGAAAAGATCCCTGAATCAATTTTTGGGCTTTCATTTAAAACAGGCCGAATATGTATTGGATAAAAAATTATATGGGCCCAATTTATTAAGCCCATTGATTTGCATAGTCAATCTGGACTTTGTTCGTAAATAAATTAAATAACAGATAAATAGATTTTAGGGCAAATTATGGTCACCCATGAGATATGACCAAATTATGAAGAAAAAAAACCCTATTGTTTTGGAAATTACATCACCCCTTCCTTTTCAATATTTTTACATAAAATTTATGTAATTCGGTTATTTACCGAACCAAATCGTATATATAGTTTGGTAAACCGTATGAAATGTTGGCGTACCGAAATTTCGGTTCGGTTTACCGAATTAATATCCATAAATTCACATAGTTAAGAATGTGAATGTAATTACACAAACATGAGGAGATTTTTCGTAATTTAACCATAACTAATGGGCGGCCATAATTTGCCTTAGATTTAAATAGATATTACATGTAACTCTACAGTAAGATGTAAACAAAAACATTAGATTATAATTATTATTATTAAATAAATAAACAACTAAATAAAAAAGTTAAAAAAAGAAAAAGAAAAAAACAATATCAAACCACATTAACTTTCAAAACGAAACCATATAACTTTAATCCATAAATTAAGTTTTCACCATAAAATTTATACTACAAAAACTTAAACTCCCAAAATAGTTTGATGATAATTCCGCAATAAAAATATCCAGATTTATTATCCGAATTTTCGGTAAATGATTTCGATTTCTCCTATGTTAATTGTACCTGCAAAAAAAAACCGATCCCATGTTTTTTTCCTTTTCAATCTCCTAAAACGGGTGCTCGGCCGATTTTCCCTTCCAGCTACAGCTCTTCGACTTCTGATCATCCTCATCGGCTTCTTCGATGCTTTCACCTTCTTCGGTAGTTGTAGCGGACCCCACTTGAGCAGCTGACGTGGATCCCCCTGCCATGTCATCACGCAAATGTTGCTGCGGTGAGAAACAATTTGTCTTTGCTCGATTGGACGATTCTCCATGTTCGTAGTCTTGTCGGAACCATGGGATTATTCCCATCATATTCATCCTGGCCGCCGGGGCAGACGATGGATCCGGCACCTTTCTTACGTGGAGCCTGTATTTCTTTATTTATATATAACACACACAAATTAAACTTTGCATGAAAAAAAATGTGCCCTAATAATTAAATTCGAATCAATTATGTTTATGTATATATATATATATATATATATAAATGTATATATATACACACACCTGCAAGTGGCTTTTGACTTCATCATTTGTGAGGCCTTCAACTTTCATCACTTCCCTAATCTGCTTAGGTGTGGCAACTGCAAAATGGACACACTCAAATGTTTGTTATATACTTATATTAAGGACTTGTTTGGTTACTAAGACAAAAACATTAAGCCAAAAATAAGATTAAATAATTTAATAAAAATTCAATTATATGTTGGACGAGAAGCGAGGATAAATAAATAATCTCTTAATTTTTAGACAAAAATTTTTTCGCAACCAAATGTGGCTAAAGAGAAGTAATATGCAAAAATTGTAGTTTTGGTCTTCTATATTGATCTATTTAGGGATGTAGTCCTCTAATTTTTCATGTTTTAATTTTCCATGCAATTACTTTGAAATTTTAGTAATTTTGGTCCTATGTTGCATGAATTTTTAATTTTATGAAGTGAGACATAAACTTCATGGATTTTAATACGGACGCTTAAAAATTATAAATTCGACACCTACACTTCCCTTGATAGAATTTCGATAATGTGATTCGACAAGGTTGTTTGCTACATCCTTAAACAACGACTAAAATTCAGAGTTCGATTGAAATAATACCAAAATTGCGAATTTTGCATAATTATTGCCTATAAAATTGAAATAGGACAACTTAGAGGACTAAAATTGATAAGAAAGCCAATATACAGGACCAAATTCACAATTGTTCACAAATAATATACACATTAGATTTCTTTCTTTAATTATTTAATTTGAATTTAATGGGATGAATAAGAATTAATGAAGGGTTTATAAATAAACACTTACCCTGTGCGCCTCCGAGCTGCTGCAGCGCGTCTATGAAGACCCGGTGGAGCTCCGGCGACCAGCAGCGCCGCTGCTTCCTCTGCTGTTCGTCCTGGTGCGGTTCCTTCAGTTTCGTCTTCTTAATCATGATACCCTGATCAGGAGCATCTTTCACAATCGAATCTTGAGCTGCTGTCGTCGTATGTTCTGCCACGTCAGCCTCCACTGGAATCGACAGCGTTAAACCGCCGCCGCCGCCGTGGACCGTTGGATTGACAACAGCCGCCGCCTTTTTCTCTTCCTTAATTGTCACACCCACACCCACACCGGATGGTTTCTTAAATGGCGAAAATGCCCCTCCCTCCCTGTTCCTGAATATGCTCTGGCTCTCACTGGATTCCTCTTCTTTGTTCTTCTGTACTCAAGGGCAAATAAGGCAACAACAAAAAATAAAAAAGATTCAGATTCATTAAAAAATAAAAAATAAAATTAGGGGTTAATTAGAGATTAAGATATTATAATTAATACAGATTTGAAGGATGAGTGTTGATTATTGTTGTCTTCCTCGTACTGAACAGGGGTGATCCAGAGGTGAAGAGAATTCATCCATTTCTTAGCCTCTTGTTGACTGATATTTGACGGTTTTGCCCTTCCTTCATCGTAAGAAGATTCACTCTTTAGCGGTATGAACTCCTCCATCACTGGTACCCTTTCTCTCTCCTCCCACTTCAAACTTTCCTTCTTCAATCTCTCAATTGCTTCATAAACAACAAATAATTAAATAATCCAAGAACATACAAAAAAATCATGAAAAAAATTTATAAGAGAGAGAGAGAGAGAGAGAGAGAGAGAGAGAGAGAGAGAGAGAGAGAGAGAGAGAGAGAGAGAGAGAGAGAGAGAGAGAGAGAGAGAGAGAGAGAGAGAGAGAGAGATACCATCTTTCAGGAGATGCATGGAGAGAGGAAGCTCACGTTGGAAAACATGGATCTTTCTCATTTCTTCTTGAAAAGAGTGGATATAAAAATCAAGCTTCGACATTTTCTTGGAGAAATCATGAATCATTGACAACTCTGTCAGAATATCTGAAATGGTCTTCGCTACAAAAATTGATCCCCCATCACAAGAAGAATCATTCACTTGCTTCAAATAATTCTCACCCATTCTCTGTGTGTGTGTGTGTGTGTGTGTGGTTTTGTTATTACACAGCCCAGATAAATATGCATGGAGAGGGTGTGGGTGGAGAATCATTTATATAGGCGTACAGTGAGGGTGAGTGGGAGAATAGCGGTGCAAAAATGTAAATAAGAAAAAGTTTGGGACAAGTGATTCTTCTCGAATAATTATAAAAAGGAAAAAAAGATTCGATGTGTTCTATGTTATGGATTCACACATTCGGCTCGTCGCATAATTTTTGTAATGTGGTAAGCGTGTTCTTTTGCCTATTCAAATTTTGGGGTTCTTTTGTAATATATTTTTTTCGCATGGGGTTGGATTCTAATTACATGATTTTTTGAAGATTCCCAAAAGGGTAGTGCCTAGTGGGGGCATTTTTGCAGGTTCACACTGCATTTGACGAGGAGAAAGATGTCTTTTTGGACTGAATTTTTTTTTAACTTAATTAAAAAAAAAAAAAAATTATTATTTGATTTTTGCTCATGTTAATCTTTGGTTATTTGGATTAATGAAACTTTGTTTGCTTTTATTAGAGATCAGATTCTTTGTAACTTTTTAGGTTCACTTTTCCAACAAACAAACCATTTAAAAAAGAGAAATCAGTTTCATAAGATAATCACTTTTTCTAGGATTATATATGTTTATTTTATTTTATTTATTTTTAATCTCAACTTTGTTGAATAGGATTATTGCATTTATGTGCATAATCTAGTTATCATTGATGATTGATGATTCAATAGATATGCAGGAAAATTGAAGGGATATAATCAAATTTATTTATTTTTAAAGTTTCATTCCTTGAAACAAATGGATGGATACAATAAAATAAAGGAGAATTTGGGTAGTCAAATTAAATAAAATTTGTCCCCTCAAAATAAATAAATTAATAATTTGGAAAAAGGAATAAAATGGCTAACGGCTGAGTGGCTCTCATTGAAGGAATTAATGAAGCTTTCTTGTAACTTTTTATTAATGAATAATCTCTAGATTATCTCAAAGACAATGAGTTATTGAATTTCTAGTCACCTTTTCTAATTTTATGCATGAAATATAAATTATTTTAAGACCTTTTTTCACTAATTCATAATATATATCTCACTCAATACAAATAGTCATTAATGAAATTAGTTTCAATTTACCTTCCAAATTTTCGGATTCGATTGTGTCGATAAGCCAAGTAATTATAATGACATATTCCGCATTAATTTTGAATTTTGCACGTTTTGGCTGTCACTCCGTTTTACCCTATCTCAAATCTCACGTGATTTAATTATAGCCGTTTTTAGTATATTTTAAATATACAACGGCAATAAAAATAAATGCCGATTACCTGTGATACATGGCATGTTTATCCGTAAGCGTACAGAGCAATACAGGTCGGATCGCACTCAGAAAAAAAGGAAAAAAGGAAATAGTGTATCTAACCCGGCCCGGCCCTATGTAATAAGGGAGCTAGGCCACAAATGGTTATATATGCATTATTATTTATAATTTTTTATTTTGTTACTTTTTATATGAATTTGAAAGCTATATATACATATAGTTTTTAATCCCATTTTTAAATCTCAAAATTAGTGATATTTAGTTTGTGTAGATTTAATCTTGATAATAGTATCCCACAATCACATACTAATAATAATAATATAAAATTGTTCAATTTCAACACTGGTTTCAATGTGTGAATTGCTCTTGATAATGAAGTGATCTTATGTATACTATTTGAATCGAAAATTGCGCGAAATGTAAAAGTAGGTATTTGCATGTAAGATGATTTAATTTTGGCTCACTTTAGTTGGTAATAATTAATTGTTGAGGATTGAATCACTAATGATGTAATCTAACTCGGTAACTCAGCAAAAATACAGAAACTATTGAATCTAACTCAAGCTATATAGGAATCATCAATTCAAAGACCCTAATTTACATGCAGTCGTGAATAAATAAATAAAAGAATTGCTGTTTACGATTTTGGTTTAATACCAATATTTTCAGTTGATACTAGGTACATCTCTCTCTCTCACACACACACACACACACACACACACAATTAGGGTTCCTTCATGATCACACACAAAAAGATTCTTTGGAGCACACCAATTCTTTATGGGATTTACTTTTTAAATTTTTTTTTTCTTTAACGAAATATTTAGCACTATCCATTTTGGAATCAGATTTTCCTTAACCGTGGATCTCTAAAAGCATAAATAAAACCATAGTTTTTAGTCCAATAAAAACTTGACACGTAGTTGGGTCACAGGGTGGGGTCTGAGATTCTTTACAAGTCTTTGTTTTGTTCTGTTACAGCTTTTTTTCTCTCCAGGGAGTCGTTCCTTCCAGAATCCATCGTGTTTTTTCATAACTGAAAATGTACTCCCTACTATTCAACTTTTTATAATAATAATAGCGTAAATTACTGCCACCATCCCTGAGCTAACGTTAAATTACGAAAAAATCCCTCATGCTTGAGTAATTACAACCATCCATCAACTATGAATCTTTTTACACGTTGTCAAATTAAGTGGAAACTTCTAGATTATGTAAAATATTTTATAGCTTGTAAACGCTTTAGCCCATTCGAGTTCCACATTTTAAAAGAAGATGATCATCAGGTGTGTTTCTTGACATCTAAATATCGGATTATTATGCACCAGAAACTACATTTTTGCACAAAACAAGTACTAACTAAAGAACATTCTATGAAATCTAGAAGATTATGTAGAATTGGACACCATAAGGGTAAAGGTGTAAGAAAATTCGTAATTGAGGGGCATGGTTGTAATTACCCAGACAACGTGAATTTTTTTGTAATTTAATCTTATCTCGGAGGTGGCTGTAATTTAGCCTAATAATATATTTTTTCATTCAAAAATGCAATATTGAAGTCTTTAGTCTTTACCATTCATATGATATCTAGATATTCCATTGGCTAAACCCCACAATATGGCATCCAAAAATATTCTTCCGTAAACATGAAAAATTTATAAAAAAAAAAAAATAATACTAATAGTTTTCAGTAGAAAAATAAAAATAAATTAAAACTATTGCTACAAATGCATATGTATGCGAACTTTATAATGGCAAATCGTGTCTTGGTACATGATTCTGCCTTGGCAAAATCGGACGGCTGTCAGTGATTCTTTCTTTTATTCAATATACACACAGTAATGGTGCTAAAAAAAGTGCATTTTTATAAGTTTTGTACGGTGCAAAATAGTATCAATTTCTACCTTTCTTTAACCATTACTTAAACTTTATTATTCCCTTCTGGCAATAAAAGGTATATTTTGCTGAATATATGTGTAAAAATGCCGACTCTATCACACTTTATTTAATTTAGTTAATGCAACCAAGAATTCATAAATTAAAATGCTATTTAAACTAACCTTTGCTTAAATCATGGTGGAGAAAGTCAAATGTGGATGAAGCAGAATCAGATCTTTATATCTGAAACGAGGTTATGTGTTAGAAGCTGTACTAAAGAAACTGTATTTATTCTTAATCCTGTCTTAATATTACTTTCCCACCTCAAATTCGTACTCGGATTCTTAACGTAATAGATTAATCTTCCCATCTAGTTAAAAGGGATTAGCCCGAAAGCATAATTTGATGCAAAATAAAGATGGATAAATCTTTTCGAAAATTCCTTCTTACGGCAGAATATTTTCTCAGTACCACCACCAATGGCACAGAATTTCCTGATCGTCTTTTCAGTAAAATTCTTAGCCTAAGAACCAATCCTATTTGGTGATTCGTGATCCACTAAAAATCAGACAACACGATAAGTCCCAGAAAAAAGAAAACGATTTAAGATTTTCAAACACAATCAATTCGCCACATAGCAAAGCAGTGGCGTACGATACCAGTAGAAAGGATCTATGGCTTTTGATTCCCTCGTGCCTGCTCTTTTGTATGAAAAAAATACATGGTTTCCCACTTTGCATCTGTTTTCATATCATCAAATTTGAACAGTCAAAGAACAAAGCTCGTATTCTAATTTATCCACCGTAAGGAAATAAAATTCTATGCTCGCTCAAGTTAACTAAATCTTGAGTAGCTCTAAATTGCAGGCATAATCTTCTGTCACGCTTTAGTGTCTTGCACTCTAAAAAAAATCTCAGCCAATGATTCACAAGAAAGACGATTCTAGTAACGGTCACTAATAATCGTTAACCATCTTTCCGAATTTTCAAGAAACGTACTTACCATTAATCGGAAGCCTCGTAAGATCAATATAGATAAAATCATCAAATGTAGGCAACTGAAGCAGGAGCTGAATCATAGAATGAGGAAATATAATATGCAGTAGCTGCAGAGATGAAGAAATGTCAAGTACAAGGAACAAGTGCAAACCTTCAAGTGTTTTTGTCCTTCTTCATGCTTGAGATGAAAACAGGTCGAAATGATAAAGTTGACCTACATTTCTTGATGTATAGATTCCGTAAAATACGTTACGTCTGTATATCACTACAATTCAAAAACTTCAAGTCTTATCGAATAGAAGAAACATGAAAATGTGAAATGAGAATTAGAGCAATACAGTGATACAATGTAATTACATTTCTCATTAGATAGGTGGATTAGCACCGAGAGAAGTTACAAGATGACATTTCAAGAAGTTGACAGGGGAAATTTGGATTTTCTTTTTTTTCAAATCTTTCTTTTGTGCTATAAATTAAGGGAAGAACAAAAACGAGGACAGCCTCATACAACATCTTTACTCGACCAAAAAAAAAAGAAAAAACAAGAAAAAAAAAACGAGTGCTTCATTGGCTGTCAGTGCAGAATTACATACGAGCAACTCACTTTTCTGGCTTTATGATATGAGCAGTTAGGAGTTTCGCAACTGTAAACCCATGGAACGTGTCCACGTTAAAAAGTTCTTTCAACTTCTCGTCACATAATATTTGTCTTTTGTCAGACGGATCCTTCGAGGAAATAAAGGAATGGAGAGAGAAAATTTTAGATTTCGTAAAACAATAAGCTCAAAAATACTATTAAGACGAAACTTAAAAAAGACTGAAAAATGATGTAAATGAGTACCTGCAAGTTATTTAACTTGATGTAATCCCAGATCCTCTTAACAACATTTGAACGAGGTAGTTCACTTTCTCCAGTGCCAAGAAACTTCACCAAAGCATCAGACAGTTTTAGAGGAACAAGAAAAGCTGCACCCCTTGGACGCTTTTCTTTTCTCTCTGGTTCTTCTTCATCTGATACAGACAGAATAAGGGGGAGAAAATAAATAAAGGCACAATTTTAATAGAGTTCAGTAACTCTTAAATAAAGAGCAGGATCAATGAAGAAGCATTAGCTCGGTCCATATTTATCTAATTAATACTCTTTGATAATTGATACAGAAAATGAATTGAACCATACAGGAACATATCTCGTTCCATTTCTTCCTCTACTCTTATCATTTTCCCTTTATAGACAACAGGACGGAATGTGACGACCAAAACTCGGTTTTATTCCCTTTATTCTGAAGTGTGATTGTGGATGATTAATAACTTGATACTGGAACCTTTATAAGTTGATGATTTACGATAAATAGGTTCTTTCTAATGTATTTTTACAAGACATTTACTTTAAAAATATTTATAAAGAATTAAAAATAAAACAAAAAATGAGTTGAACCGATCCAAATGTGACCTAGTTGGTTGTTCCATTCTATGTTCAATCGACGATCCGGATTTTAAAACCATTGTAAAAATGTGGATGAAACATAATCCCAAAACTATTTCAACAAGAAGAAACAATTAATTAACTCTCTAAGAAACAACATAGCATAATAAGAGCTCAGAACACAATTCCTACCTTCATCTCTCTCTTGCTTCCGTTTCTCTACAGGTGCAGCATTCACCGGAGCTGCTTGATATTAAAGACATTTCAGAAAATCATACAAGTGGAGTTCGAAGGAAACAGCTAAAGATGGAAAGGCTAAATAGATAACAAAACAGTACTCAACAAGGAAAATTTGCTGCGAGATGAAAAGCATTACATCATAGGGATTCAATATGTTCTTCAGAATTTTACAGCCATATTCGCATGCACATACCAATGATATAACCACTGGCGGAGCTTCTAAGGGGCAGGGGGGGCTGTTGCCCCCCCAAGAAAAAAAAAAAAATTTTTTTTTAGCTATTTTGACCTAATATTTTTTGAATATTACTTTTGACCCCCCAAAGATTTTGTAAATATGTTTCTTAACCCTTACTTTTTTGTTTATTCTCCATAATTTTATATAAATTATAGATATATATTATATTATAGATATGTGTCGTAATTTTTTTCGCAGTATAAACCTATTTTTTCAATGTCTTGTGAACCTAAAATTTTTTTCGGGGCGCTGCCCCGAACCCCGAAATTTTAGTTAGCCCCCCCTACTTTCTAATCCTGGTTCCGCCCCTGGATATAACTAACCAAAACAATGGTATCAAACACTTTTTTAAATTAAAAACAATTTTCTACGAAAACATTCAAGAACGGAATAAATTTATATTGAGCAGATAGATACTGTCACTTAAGTAAATTTGATGTGAGAAAATCATACCACTATCAGAACCCAAGGGCCATATGTGCTTTGCCAGGGACTTGTTCATTTGGAACATATCTATGGAATCCACCTCAAAAAGGTTGCGCAATGTATCGTCACAAATGATAGTTCTCCTATTTGACGGATCTTGCAAATTGTTCTCTTTAATATAACTCCACAGCTGCCTCACAACCTGTTATAAAACAGTATAAGCAGGTACATTAACCCAGAATTTTACCCCAAATAGCTATGAAAAAGTACAAAGCACCATAATTTGTTATACCTCGGTACGAGCCAATTCAGGTACTCCCGTAAATTTCTGAAGCTCTGGGGAAAGGGTGCATAACTTGGTAAACCCTCCTCCTCCACTTCTTTTCTTGACCTCCTTTTTCTTTTTAGATCTAACAAGATAAGAGTACATATGTAAGCTTTCATATGCAAAGGAATAGTAATTCTACAAAATATAATAAGTCATAATTCTACCAAATGTAACAAGTCACGATCCAAAGAACAGATGGCAGAATAGGGACTGCAGCTACTTAAAAATCTGAGCATTATATGACATTGCAGATATCAGTAGTATATATCTTTTTGTAAATTAGTACATGGCAGGCTGGCAAGGTGTTCTCATCATTCAAGTGTTAACAAATTAAATTATGTAAACGACAATCAATGTGTATTCGAAAGAGAAATTTTCATTTGCCTTAAACACATTGAAATATATAAGCAATAATAGTAGCACAGTGAAATATAAAAATACAGTAAGCCGATTTTGAGGCAATTCACGTGCTGCAAAAACTATGTCGCTGTCTGGATACACGATTAGGTTGTTTGGACATGTACACACTCGAGAAGCTGCTATCCACCCACATCTGATTCAAATGCAATATATAAACCAATTTTGAGGCAATCCAACTGTTGCTGATACTATATCTCTGTTTGAATATAAAATTAGATGGTTTGGACATGCATGCAATCAAGAAGCTATCGTGTATGTATTCTGCAAGGGCTGGGTATTGTATTACCAAAGAGGTACATTGAACTCACTAAATGAAAACAAAAAGATATTTTTGTCAAAATCGTTCGACCAACTAAAATGTTGAAAAAAAATGGAATACAGGCTAAAAATAATATTATGCAATTGGACTCATCCTAGAAACACGAGGAGCCAAAACTTCCTGTCATCAAAAGATCTATTCCCTGGTCAGAAAGGTATCCACTCCCCTTAGTCAGAATTTTCATTGGTGTATTGGCTTGTCGTTGTGTCATGAGAGGAAAAGATCAAGATCCTCAATCACCTATGGTGAGAGGGAATCTATTTCAAGTAAACTACGTTTACATATGACTTGGTTTACATATGCAGGAAACAAAATTCTGGGAAAATCATTATAGCTAAAAACAAGAACATCTGTCTATTGAATCCGAATGCTTGAATTTTCAGCAGATGGAACTTCAAACTGGAGTTGCCTAATATTAATTCAAATATGAACAAGGTATCCCACAATACGTGCTTCAGTGCTGGCTTAAGTAGCTTTTATCAACTTATTGAAAAGGTGAGGACAAAGTCAAAACTTAAAAGGACCAAGAAAACTCAAAGGCACCCAAATGCAGATAAATTATATAGATAATCAGAGTTGCCAAGTATGAAAAATAAGTAAACTAAATCAGTGAAGAACTCTAAGCAGTAAACCAAAAACAAACTTCGAAAACATTAACGCACAGAGTGATCCAAGTTAACCACTTAAGCCCCAAAAGTGCAACAAACGTGAGAGTGTGTGTGTATGTGTGTGTATAAGCACAACTTCAAGAACATGCATCTTCAGTTAATTAATTCATAACCCAACCTTAACCAACAATTAATTAAATTCCCTAATATTTTGCAAAATAGATAGTTCCCATATATTCATCGGCAGTAAACACGGAAAATATAAACCGAAATTAATTTATTCAATTTCATATAAGAAATTAAACTCAAAAATTTCTGAAAAAGGAACGGCAACTGAACTACTACATCGAAAATGACAAAAAAAATCGAAAATTTCAGAAACCAACCGTTTTTTGGTGGAAGCTTTTGGGTTACTAGAGGAAACCGATTCTTCTTCTCCTTCCTCTTCTTCTTCTACTTCTTCCTCCTCCTCTTCCTCCTCCGCCAATTCCGCCGCTCCTTCATCATTAATTTCATCTTCATTATTGGCTACACTTTCGAATTGGCTCTGCATGTAAACATCGACCTGTTCTCTGATAAACGCCTTCCTATCCGACAAATCGATGTCGAACTCCTGCTCGAGCCGCCGGCGTACGATAGCAGTTGTGGTCGTGTTCAGGTCCGACGTGCTCAGGAATTCCCGCAGCCGCTCGATCAGCTCCGAATCCGATACCATTTTCCCCCCCTCCGGTTCGTGCTCTGCTGTTTTTTCCGGTTTTCTCTAGGTTTGGATACGGGTATCTATCGCTGCTTTCGAAATGCCACCGGTTCGTTTGTGGATTTTTCAGGCTTTTGGGGGTTACTTTGGGAATTTAATTGCTACAGTTATTTACAATTTAATTCTGACAAAATTACAGTCGTAGTATCTATCTATTTTAGCAATTTATAATATGGTAAATTTAACTTTCCCCCTTTATTTGACGCGATATCAATCTACCCCTTCTATTTTTTATTGCATCGATTTATCCCATGTACTTAAAAAATTGTATAAATATGGCCATCGCTTTTAGATTATCAAAAATTCACCACTCCTAGTTTAAATAATTATTATAAAATTAAAAAATAAAAATAAATTGTGGCATCGTGGACTATATTTTCTCGTTGTCTTGAATTTTTTTGTTATTTTTTTCTGTTTTTCATTTTTAATTGTTTTTTTAATAATTATTTAAACTAGCAGATGTGGCGTTTATGTAATTTCAGAGCATAAATAAAATAATGTTAATGTCAAATGTCTAACAACTAACAGCGAAAGACCACATTAAAACAATTTTCAAAAACAATATAGCAAATCGATGCGATTAAGAATAAAATAAGATAAAGTGTTGCCTACCCAAATAAAAAGGAGGAAATTGGAATTTCCCTTTATAATATATAATGTACATAAACGAAATATAAACAACTTATTACGATTTTGTCCATGTTTTTTTTTTTCTTTCGGTGCGCTTTCAATTATATATCGAGCCAAACGCAGCCTTAAGCCCTACGGCGAGAGATGCCCGTCTCCCGCAGCCAAATTGCCGTTGGGAAAAAAGGGCAGCTGAATCACGTGATTCTAAAGCGGCATGGGACTTGCTTTTTGCCGAATCAAGGAACCTTTTGTGCTGGGCTTTTAAGCATCCCCCCACTACACTTTCATGAAAATGGGCCTAACCCATTATGAGGGCTTTTATCTTGTTTGGACCTTTGTTTTTTTTCTTTTTAACTTTTTTTAACATATGCCCCACTTTTGTGCCACCGTAGCTCAACCTCTCTACACTGCGATCATTTTAGATCTCTACTTATGCCTGAAAAAATGGACGTATCTGGTGATAGTCAACAACCATTAGTTGAAGTGCTATGATGTTGTCGCCAAAGAATCATCACCTCATTGTCATTTCAATCATGAACTATGAAACTCTGCAGGAGTTTCTTGCTACTTTAGGAGAAAAGTGTGGAGCTACATACCAAACTTCGCTGGTCAAACTATTTTTCAACAACCAAGCAATTTGTTAAGAACAAAATTTCGACCCTTTGAAATAGGATACCCAACGGCTCTAACTGCAACATGAGTTTGTGGAAGTCTCCTTCTTCTCCTATTTCTTCTTATTTGATCTTTATGCCTTTTCTCGCCGTCAATGTCTCTCCTTGGATAGAACGTTGTGACGTACAGTGATTTCAAAACAAAACGAATACAAATATAAAGTCGATGTTGCCTGAATACGTTGTCGGACACATTTTTTTCAAAAAAGTTTGTTGGAACATGTTATGTCGGTAGAACACGTTTTATGACTAGTAATATTTTTTTTAAATGGAAATCAAGTTCAGTTGTCATTCTGATATAAAGTGAAAGACATTCAAGATAGTTCAAGACATATAGAAAACTAAACCAGGTCAAAAATAATTTACTAGCTAAAATCATATATATATATATATATATATATATATATATATATATATATATATATATATATATACATCATAATCTGAAATATTATTATTTAAAATATAAACATTTCATTTTAATGTGAATAAATAAACTTAAAACTTATTTTCGTATTTGCTCTTTTTTATTTTTGAAAATAACAAAATTGAGTTACCAAACTTACTTTTTTTATAAGTGACCTATTCTATAAAACTGAAGAGGATAAATTTATGTCATGATTAAAACAATTTTACATACATAACCATTTTAAATTGTCAACTGTTATAAATAATATTAGTCAACTCTATACTAGAGACGGCAAGGTTAATTAAGACTTTTCACAAAATTTGGTAATGACTCATTGACTTGACAGTAACTCGGAAGTGGAAGCAAAATTACGAGTTTTGCCCATCATCGATTCCCACGCCAAAGTTTATCCGAATAAGGGTTAATTTTGTCATTCCACACAAAATGTTTAAACTGCAAAACTCTGTGACCAATCGGATTACAGAGGAAAGCATCGCGCTGGCTCAAACGTCGTCGTATGCAACTTCAACCAAACGACGCCGTACCACCAGCTTCACTTTCTTCTCCATCGTCCCCCACTGCTATTTACAGAGCACACACAATTCCATCATTCGCCAACCGCTGATGCACCAGAAACAATAATCTCACTGTTATTCCACACATGTAAAAGTACGCAAACAGCCCCCCTCCAACTCTGTTTTATCTAGCGACGCCCGAGGGCAAAACAGACTTATTGCTCGCCGATCTGCTCTTCCCCGTCGGGTCAACTGCCGGTTATCCGCCGACAAACAGTACACTGTCGTTTAGAGGGCGGAGTAATGTGAGTTAACTGAGTTTGAATTCTCGAATCCGGGGGTTTAGGTTTTACTGCCTGGTGGTATTGGGTGAAAAATGGATCGGTCGGCGATAACAGTCGGGCCGGGTATGGATATGCCGATCATGCACGACAGTGATCGGTACGACTTCGTCCGGGATATCGGGTCGGGTAACTTCGGTGTGGCCCGGTTGATGAGAGATAAACAGACAAAAGAGCTTGTTGCGGTTAAGTATATTGAGCGAGGCGACAAGGTTAGTTCCGTGATTATATTTGCCAATTTGATAATTTTGTGTGTGTGTGTGTGTGTGTGTGTGTGTGTGTGTGTGTGTGTGTGTGTGTGTGTTGCTTTAGCTTGTCTCTATTGCCTTTTTTCATGAAACCGCTTTTGAGTTGGTATTAAAGCTGGTATTGTTAAGCATGCAATTAATTTTGTCTGCACAAATAAGGAATGGCTATTTTGGGGAATTTTGCTGATTCCCCCCGGTATGTGATTGGTGTTTGGCGGATTTATAGATATATAATTTCCATTTTTGGGGATAATTTTGATGCGAAGCTTGCATTCGGATGAGATTAACATTTCTGATTATTTCCTGTTACAGAGAAACACAGCCTGAACATATTAATTAATTAATCAATGGTGTTCCATGTTTGTTAATAAGAAATGATGCTCAATTCATGCATGTAAAATATTAGCCAGAGTAATTACGAATACACCAAGAGTTTCTCCCAAAAGGCCTACTGCATATGCATGAACATGAACATGAACATGAACAAGTTGATATATAGTTCTTAGGACTAATGAATTTAAATCAATGCAAAGTCGTTTGTGAACATCGATAGAAGGACATATAGGTAATTTGCTGTGTAAAGAAGATCAGAGAAAAAAAAATTGTTTGAGGTACCCCTGCTTTCTAGACGAGGGACTAACAGAAAAAAAAAATGCTGAAATCACTTTAGATTATTGAAAATGCAGTTGATCTTATATGTTGAGCAAGACCTAATATATGGTTTAGGATCATTGATTGACCTTGAGCACTCGCTTCAAGGTTATTTGAGCAAGGGCACAATTGTCATTTACTACGGGGAAGCTATTTCGCACTATTGTTTGAGGTCATTGTTTTCTTTGTTGCCTTTCGGAATTCTCAGTGAATACAAAGATAATAAATTAGAATACATCACCGTTAGCTGAGAAAAAATTGTCGTATCTACTGAATTTCAACTAGCGCAAAAGGACACTATCATCGTCGTCATCACTTACTTTTTTTCATCCTATTGCTTGCAATAAATCCCATCCGTTTCTGAGCGCTGAAAACAAATACATCTCTCTCTACAAAGTGGTAGCTAAAAAGTAGCTGAGTCGCACCGAGTGCAAAACCGTCTCATTATTCACCAATCTCTCCTACCTACTGATACTTTGCGCTGTTAATCATTATCGGTGGTGATTAATTACTGAGCTGATTACAATTGTGGTGTTAGTGTTGCTAGTATTTAGCTATACAAATGGATCAGAAGGCGGAAAATAGTTGTCCAAGTACTGTGGCAATTGTACATGATAGTGATCGATATGAGTTTGTTAGAAATATTGGATCTGGCACTTGTGGGATAGCGCGGCTTATGAAGGATAAACAGAGTAATGAGTTGGTTGCCATCAAGTACATTGAGCGAGGGGGACCGGTCAGCTTTGTAACTTCAATTGCATATTAAGAATGTTTATTTTGATCTTTGTTTGGCATGCAATAATTGTAGTGGTTCAGGCACTAGATATTCTTTAAATGATTCTCTTTTTGCAATTTTTTTTTACTGTGATATGCAATTTGCAAGATAAGAATATAATTATTAATTTGTCGAGTCTAGCTAGATAGTAAATACCGTAAGAAATAAAATTCGAACTTGATAATTTTCCTTGTATTTTTTCCCCTTTTTTCCCATTAAGGACTTCTATCTTTTCCTTCTCCTGAGTAATTTGTGGCACTAAATTGGAATATTCAGCAATACTCGTATTGCTCCACTAGATTGTGATTTCCAAATAGTTCGACTAATGAATGTGTTAATTGGCAACATTGAATGTAGTAATATTCGAAGATTATAGGTAAGTGCCTTGTAGATATCTGTTAAGGAAAAAATGATATAAATTACATCAATATGCAACCATTCAGCTAATGTTTTTGAATTACGAGTTGTAATTTTCAGCTGGATTAACTCTGTAATGGCGCCACGTTTAATCCTAAATTTTGTCTACTTAATCTGGAGAAAATTCGCTTATTTTCTTCTATTATTCTTCGCCCCTCAATGAAATTTTTCCACAATCTAATGGATTTATTTCCAGATTTAACTTTTGTAACACAAAGTTTTACCAACATATTTTTCCAAATAATGACTTGCCTGGTTATTTTCATTGCAGATAGATGAAAATGTTCAGAGAGAAATTATCAATCACAGGTCTTTAAGGCACCCAAATATTGTTAGGTTTAAAGAGGTTGTTACTGCTTCTCAGTCTGGAAATTTACTCGTCTTAAAAGTTCCCTTGTAAGTAATACTCAAAATATGTTGCTTCAGGTGATTCTAACACCAACTCATCTGGCCATCGTAATGGAGTATGCATCTGGTGGAGAATTATTTGAGCGTATATGTAACGCAGGACGCTTCAGCGAGGATGAGGTTCTTAATTTTTTATTCCATGGTGATTTTGTAAGATATTTATGTTGCTGTTGGGATTATTTTAATGTATTGTCTGAAAATGTTTGCCATGCAGGCTCGTTTCTTTTTTCAACAACTTTTATCTGGAGTCAGCTACTGCCATTCAATGGTATCACACTGTTATATTATGTTAAGATTATTTCATAATCACAATTAAGTTTCATGCTGTATATGAAATATGATCGGTCAGCTTTTTTATTTTTATTTTTGATTTTTTTTTATGAAGCAAATATGTCATAGGGACTTGAAACTGGAAAACACACTGTTGGACGGAAGCCCAGCTCCCCGGTTGAAGATATGCGACTTTGGATATTCCAAGGTAATCTTCATACCCAAGAATTATCACAACTATATTTTGATCACGTAAGCGATATTTTGCAGCCGTCTCTAATTTTATTTTATTTTATTAATTTTCCTCCAGAGAATATGGTTGTCTAGTGTTTTATACTCACATCTGTTTATAATTGTATTTTTACAGTCTTCTTTGCTGCATTCCCAACCAAAATCTACAGTGGGAACTCCGGCATATATTGCTCCTGAGGTCTTACTTAGGAAAGAATATGATGGCAAGGTAAAATCATGAACTGCCTTGGTAAAAACTTTCTCACACTTCTTCATCACTATGTATATATGTTTTTCATAAATGAATAAGGGTTACTTGAAGAAACTCTAATATCTTTTGCTGGACGAAGTTGGATCATAAACATTTTATAGGTAATATAAAAAAAAAACATGATTAGTAGAGGTTGTATTACTCAGCTACACTGGGACATCTGAAGTGGCGAAATGCTTTGTTAAATTTATAGTTGTTTGCACTGACTTATTGGTGACTGCTTCATTTGGAGAAGCTCTATATATCTTTTTCCGTAGCATAATTTCACAAAACACGGGCAAGTAGTGATTATATTCTAGAGGATGTTCGGCCTTCTTGTTTTTCTAGGAAATCATGAGATTTGTGGAAGTTGTGTTATTCTTGTAAGGACACGTCGGTATTAACTTTCCAAGCAAAGTTATTTTGTGAATGTGATACCGTTATCGCTATATGGTGATCGGAACCACTTCTAATTGAGACATATAACGTTTTATTAATCTAACTTCTTTTCGAACATAAATATATGTAAATGATATTTAAATTGGTAGAGTCATGACTCATAAATGTCTTTTGCTTCAGATTGCAGATGTATGGTCTTGTGGTGTGACTTTATATGTTATGCTGGTCGGTGCCTACCCATTCGAAGACCCTGAAGAACCAAAAGACTTCCGCAAGACAATACAGAGGATCTTAAATGTTCAGTACTCTGTTCCGGAAAACCTTAAAATATCCGAGGAATGCTGGCATCTAATTTCGAGGATCTTTGTAGCAGACCCTGTACAAGTTAGTGATTCTTTTAACTTTTTCAACACAAGCTTCTTCCTTTTTTTTTTTTGATTGTTTTCATCGAACTTGGTCAGCGAATCACAATACCGGAAATAAGGAACCACGTGTGGTTTCTAAAGAACCTTCCGGGTGATCTAGTGGACGAGAGGACAATGGGGAGCCAGTTTGAAGAGCCTGATCAGCCAATGCAGAGCCTGGAAGTAATCATGCAAATAGTCTCGGAAGCCACAATACCTCCGGTGGGATTATATAATCTTGACTTGATGGACGATGACATGGACGACCTCGATTCTGATCCTGACCTTGACATTGACAGCAGCGGAGAGGTCATTTACGCAATGTGATTGCAGAATCTGAGGGCAAAATAGTAAAATCTTCTCATGAAAAAGTTTTTTTTTTAGAAAATCGAGGGAAGAGGAGGCAATGAAATGTTTATCGCTGTCTGATGTTACTTACTGTAATATACTTTTCTGTTATTGTTGTATTTGTGTTTCTGTAAGAATGTGATAATGTACCTAAGTTCAACTTTTGTATGCACTGTGTGTTGGAACTTTTATAGAGATCCTATGTTGTATAGTTATAAGTTTTAACGACCTGGGTTTTTGCTAGTATCTGTGATAATGGTTACCATTGCTAGTTTCTGTGATGAAGGAAAAAAATACAGTTTCGTATCACAAATTTGCACCGATTTCACATTTGGTCCCCCATGTTTACCAAAAACACATTTGATCCCTTATGTTTCAAAACTTCAACACTTTTAGTCATTTCGGTCAGTTTTTCCTTAAAACTAATGGAATCAAGCTTGTGCCCATCACTTCCTTAACTAATGGTAAATTGACGGAAATGACCACAAGTGTGGGGGTTAAATGTGAAATCGGTGCAAACTTGAGGGACGAAAACAATAATTTCTCCATTTGATAAATATAAATACATTATGATACAATGTGAAGTTTACAAAATGAAAAAAGGCATATTGGAACCATAGTCCCAGTGGGTATTTGGCTTTGCATCAGCATATATATATGATCATCTGCTGGTTTATCTGCCACCGTCGTTAGCCGGCGGCATTCCCTGAAATCCAACAACAACGACAGGGACAGTGTCGGGGTCGCAAGCACGAATTTCGCACCTCTCGAGCATAGTGGTTATTTGATTGATCTTCTCTTCCAAATCACTCACCAGAACCGAAATCCTTTTACTCTCTCGAAAGTGGAGGGCTGCCACGTCAATCTGGAAGAAATTGATGAGTGAATTTTCAAGTTTGCTTAATTTCTTGGCGTAGTAGAGCCTCATGAAAACGTTCCACCGCTTGACGGTGGAGCATTTTCGTACGAGCTCTTCGCCTTCCAATAAACGAACGGCGAAAGCTTCAGTTTCGACCCGAGGTCGGTTGAGGATTTTGTTGAAGATGTCTATGTCTTCAATGGCAAGCTTAATCGTGCAGAGGGTTGACTTTAGGCGGTTTAAGTCAAGAGCTGAAACGGGCGATTTTACAGGCTGCGTCGAGAACCGATGTGAATAACACATCAAAAGATGCTCCCAAGGCAGCTCCTTCGATCACGCTTCCCATGAATTAATATTGTCAACAAGAAAACAGTGCATGAAAGATCTTTCCAGACAAAATATTCGAAATGTATATGATTGAAGGGGTGATGTGAAATGGGATTTGGGTGTTTCAAATTAGAACTCGTACGGTGATTGAAGTTCACTACTGCTTTTAGCAGTATACTTAACACCAATAACTTATTACAAGTCAGTCGCATTCCCAATCATGCCAACCATAAAACCAGATTTTAAAGTCCCGTAAATTCTACGATTACATGAGTTAAACTTCTATAAATTGATGCAGCGGACACCGACCCAATTCTATTCATTTAGCAAAAATATTAATTAATCAAAATATTCTTTTAGCATAGTCATATTGTCCTGAGTGATTCTTATCAAAAAAAAAGGGCAAATGGCAAAAAGGCCCATCACATGGGACTTAAATGCATTTTGGTCCACAAAAAAAAAAAACAGTCTCTCAATTAAGCTCATCCCCATGTTTTTAGTCTAAAATACCCTCAATAATATAATTCTTATCAATTCCACCCATTATGATCTAACTTCCTTAATATTACACATTGACCCCGGATTTAAACAAATATATCACATTAACCCCCAAAACTTTTTTTTTCAGAAAATAAATTTTTTTTCCGAAATGTCCAGATTCCGGCGCTGACCGCCGGTCTCCGGCGTTGACTTTTTTTTTTTTTTTTTTCAAAAACTTTTTTTTTTCCTGAAATTTTTTCCGGTCAGTCAACCACCGTTGACCGCCGGTCTCCTGCGTTGACTTTTTTTTTTTTTTTGAATTTTTTTTTCTTAGAAGAAAAAAATATTTTAATTAATATTACTGTTTTAGCTACTAAATTACTGTCTCAGACAGTAATATTACTGTTTGGGACAGTAATATTATGAATATTATTTTTTCCAAACAATAATATTATGAATATTATTTTTCCGAACAGTAATATTATTAATATTATTGTCTAAGACAGTTAAATTACTGTTGAAGACAGTAATTTAGCATCTAAGGCAGTATTATTAATTAAAATATTTTTTTTTAAGAAAAAAAAATGAAAAACAACCAATTAACAGTTAAAATACTCTCTCCGACAGTTAAATAACTGTTGGAGACAGTAATTTAGCAAACTAATACAGTAATATTAATTAAAAATATTTTTTTTAAGAATAAAAAGTCAATTAACAGTTAAATCAATGTCTCCAACAGTTAAATAACTGCTGGAGACAGTAATTTAGCAACGAATACAGTAAATATTAATTAAAATATTTTTAAAGAAAAAAAAAGTCAATTAACAGCTAAATTATCTCCGGCAGTTAAATAACTGCCGGAGACAGTGACAATAATATTAATTAAAAAAAATTTAAGAAAAAACAAAATTATAAAAAAAAAAAAAAGTCAACGCCGGAGACCGGCGGTCAACGCCGGAATCTGGCCGGAAAAAAACATTTCAGAAAAAAAAAATTCTGAAAAAAAAAATTGGGGGGTTAATGTAATATATTTGTTTAAATCCGGGGTCAATGTGTAATATGAAGGAAGTTAGAGCACAATTGGTGGAATTGATAAGAATTAGGGTTAAAATTGGGGTCAAAATTGAAATTTGGGTTAAACTTGGTTAATTGATGAAATTAGGCTAAATTGGGGTGTAAATCATGAAATTGGAGTTGAATTGGGTTTCAATGAATTGAGGGTAATTTTGGTATATATAAAGGGATTTTACTTATTTGCAAATAAGTTTAAATGGGGTGGATTTATTTGAAAGACAAAAAAATTGGATGTCCCTATTTTAATTAAGTGCCCTTGTCATGGGCCTATTTGCCATTACCCCCAAAAAAATTGTCCTGAATGATGTTTAAAAGATGTTATTAATTTATCGAGCTTCAATTATACAAAGAGTCTCAATCACACTCCAACTCAATTTTGGGGAGATATTTAATTTGTCATCCCTGAATTTTGGTCAAATATTAAAATTAGTCCCTCACGTTTCAATTTTATTCGATTTCCTCCTTCCGTCAAAATTTTGGTACAAATTTTGCCCAAAGTACCCATTCAAATAAAAAACTCTCTTACTCTCTCATTCACACAACCACACTCACAACATTGATTAAATTTCCAAAAATAATTCTGAAGTGAAAAAAGAGAAGAAGCACATACCGGAGGTTAGGGGTGTAGCCGGTTTGTAAACCCCGCGGTTTCTAGCAAAATCCGCTCTCGTCCCGTCAATTAACGGTTCTTGATTTTAAGGAACCAAATTTGTCGGTTTTCGACGGGTTTAGGATAGACGGGTCTATTGCGGGTTTAAAGTAGAACCCAACCTTCACGGGTCGAAATTCGTCGTAATTTAAAAAAGTTATTTTCTTTAATAATTTATAAGTTTTACGCAAAATTATTTAAAAATTAAAATGAATGACCAAGTATAAAATTTTAAATTGAAACAAACGTGAATAAAATTAATGATAAATGTGACGAGTAAATGAAAATTAATAAGTTTTACAAGATTTAAAATAAAATACATAACCTTAAACAAAACGAGACGATGTTGTCGTTATAGATATAAGTTTTGACATGTAAGAGATACTTTATTCATGTATTATACATTATTAATTTATTATACTACATAATATAAACAAATCGATGTCGTTTTGTATAGCGAGGCGAGACGGGTCTCACGGGTTTTAAATTTTTTTGAACCTGTCTTAAATCCGTCTTAGACCAAAACCCGCGGTTCTTGTCCATTTTAGGATCCAATCCTATAGATGGATCTATCCATCCGATTCTAGTGGGGCCATTTTTAACGGGCTTGAAAACCCGCGGATCTTGTCCATTTTAGGATCTAATCCTATAGATGGATCTATCCATCTGGTTCTAATGTGGCGGTTTTTAACGGGTTTGACGTGTTCAACGGGTTGATGGGTCCGACTTGATCACCCCTACTGAAAGTCGGCACGGTTGTAGTGATGTGTCCACCCACGCCATTCATATCCGGGTCGGGTCGGCCCAGCCGGTTTAAACCATTTTTGAATTCTATCGGGTACCCAATTGAAAACAAAAAAGTGAAAATTAAGATTTAGCAATCCAGAACCCCTCTCTTTCACTCTCACTCTCACTCTCAGCCGGCCAAACCCACCGCCAGCAGCGGCGCCACCTCCGTCAGCCACGAAATCTTTTCACTCTCTCCGAGGTAATGCTCACCTTCTACGTGATGATAATCTCGCTTCTCTTTTTAGTATTTCTTTTCAAACAAATTGATTCACCTAAAATTTGGATTTTAGGTTTTGAGACATTTATTTACCTATATGTTTTTTTCCTCGAAAAGAATGAAAGGAAAGTGACTGCGTTGATTTATATAGGGTGGAAATTGAAAGCAGAGGTGGATTATGATTCTAAGTGGATGCTCTGGGGTTTTTCATTCGCTCCCTTATAGCAGAAAATCATGTAGTTTCAGGTCCTACAATTCGTCGATTTCCGACATTCCGAAAGTGGTGTCTTTCTACGATAGAAGCTCGTGCATACCTCATCTGCAAATTAAATCGCCTGCATCTCTAGGTATTTTCTATTTCCATGGACTTCAATAAAAAAAAAAGATATCGGAAGTGGTCAAGTAATTTTGGCTGAAAATTATGTATCCTCTAGTGTATTTATCTCGTTATCTATAACTCCAATGTTCGTATGCGGTGCGAAAAACGAGTTTCTTAAATATGTTTTCTTGTTTCGTTGATATAGAGTTGAACACGTAATGTTGGCTAGTAATCCTTAAATTGTTTCGTATATGATGGTGGCCGATTGAAGAATTAAGTAATGTGTTTCGTCACAGGGATCTTATTAGCTATTATATTATTTTGGATTGACCTTCTACTCGTCAAATTGTCACATTGTTAACCAGTTGATTTGATTAGGTTAATTAAACATTTGATCACTTTGGTCGCTATCGGTCCTTTGTCCTCTCTTGGCACACCAATTTTATGTGTTAAAAAATTAGTCTAAGTCGATTGTTTTTGGAAACTTACAATGGTGGGATCCTTACAAAGTCGGGTGAACTATAATGTAGTTGTAATAATATCAGCTTGGATTATGAAGACTCGCATACGATGATTTTGTACAATTAACCATGAATTTATTTTCTGTTAGACGGCATGTTTCTGACCATGGAATTCTTGATATAGGCCTCCACCATTTCCACCTTTCTTCTGCATCAACACCGCTCCTACATGGCGAACAAGGCAGCTTATCGCACACAATCCCCAAATTTCCGATTCGCCCTCGCCAATCGCTCTCCCCTAAAGCATCAAAGGACGTACCCTACAGCTACAGATACCCCGCCATGACAAAGAAGCCGAAATGGTGGTGGAGAACCCTAGCCTGCATCCCGTACCTAATGCCACTCCACGAAACATGGATGTACGCAGAAACGGCGTACCATTTGCACCCCTTTTTGGAGGATCTTGAATTTCTGACGTACCCGTTTTTGGGGTCGCTCGGGAGGTTGCCGAGCTGGTTTCTCATGGCGTACTTCTTTGTGGCTTACCTCGGAATTGTGAGGCGAAAGGAGTGGCCCCACTTTTTCAGGTTCCATGTCGTGATGGGGATGCTGCTCGAGATTGCTTTGCAGGTTATAGGGACTGTGAGCCGTTGGATGCCTTTGGCTGTGTACTGGGGTAAGATCGGTATGCATTTCTGGACAGCTGTTGCTTTTGCGTATTTGTTCACGGTTTTGGAGTGCATGAGGTGTGCGCTTGCTGGGATGTATGGTGATGTTCCGTTTGTGTGCGATGCTGCTTATATTCAAATCCCGTATGATTAAGATTAATGTGGCTCGTCTTTGTGTAGAAATTTGACCAAATCGAGACTTATGATTGGGTTTTTTTTTTGTCCATCGTATGTTTGTTGTTTACTTGTGATGTTTGAAGATTTGTAAAATGCAGACTTCTTTTCGGTACCGAATATTTGGGATTAACTGCTGCTGCATTCTTGAGCAAAGTTTCACCATTTCCGAGGCTGTCCGAAGCAATACTTTCATTTTTCCTTTTTGGCCCCGAATCTGCACTTTATTGTTTGTAGAAGTCTTCTAGTATTACATTGTCATGAACTGAATTATTAAAGGAACGACAAAATTATTAATTCAACTATGGTTGGTTGGAAAATTTAAAAATTCAAAATAAAAAATAAAAAAATATTTGGAACCGTTTTTGGATCGGGGAAATTGAACCCGACGTGAATCGAACACGCAACCTTCTGATCTGGAGTCAGACGCGCTACCATTGCGCCACGGATCCTGATGTTAATGAGTTCGACTTATTTAATATATATTATCATATTTACAATCTTTAACCAACACCACCACACCACCACCGAGTATTGACTACTGACCGCTTCAACAAAAAGAACAAGAACATGTAAATATGATCCCACAACAATTCATAAGACAGCAATTAACTTAATTAAAAAAAAAAAAAAAAAAAAAGTGAGTACGTAATCACTAATTAATCAAGATCAACTATTATTCATTCCATCTTCTTCTCTTTAATCACTTTTCCTCTTCCCGCAGCAATCTTGTTTTTCATCATCTGAAACTTATCTTCTGCCATAGAATAAAACCTTCTTGATTTAATCCCCACTACTTCTCCAAACCCTCTTATCCTTCCTTCATTCTTCACATAAATTACAGGCAGAGTCAATCCCCCCACCACTCCTGCAAATTAATTAATTCAAAGAATTCACTTGATCGATCTGTAATAACATATCATGCATAAAAGAATTGTGTTTTTTTGAATTACCCATGAAGAAGAGTGTAAGCAAATCAAACTGCTTAGCCAACAAAGAGAGCAAATACAAGGAAGCCACAGCTCCAACAAACACGAACCACTCACTATCAACGCTCACTCGGAACATAAGTCGAACACCTTCCTCGCACTTCCGCCGGAGTGAGTTTGCGCACCCGATTGCAGCCTCTTCGCTGATTTCTAGTTCTGATAAATCGGGGGCCTCTCTGCATATATATATATGCATTTCCAAATCCGAATTAAAATTTAAAATTCAAAATTAAATGGGAATAAGTAATTAATATATACCTTTTCAAGAGGCGGTGGATGTTTCCCCAGAAGAAGAGGCACACAGCGGCGGCGATGGCTATGTAAGAAACGAGGGTGATGAAGTTGTACTTGTAAATCTGCATCGCTGTCCATGCTGATGTGGCCGCGAGTAGGGCGAAGAGATTGAGTTGTTTTCTTCTCCACGTCACCAAGTCCTTGAATAAATCTGTTAAACACAGAAATTAAGTTGATGTACATCGTTTCAATTCATGTCTGCTTCTCTGTGTGTGTGTGTGTGTGTGTGTGTGTGTGTGTGTGTGAGAGAGAGAGAGAGAGAGAGAGAGAGAGAGAGAGAGAGAGAGAGAGAGAGAGAGAGAGAGAGAGAGAGAGAGAAACCAGCTGATTCATTCTGGGGCAGAACAACTTGGGGTGGAGATGATTCGTTCTGGGGCAGATCAACAGGAACTTTGGGTGGAGATAATTCCCAATTATCAGACATGGTTGATATTATTACAGAGATTATAACTTCGAATTTGGAAGAAGAGATGAAGAAAGAAAGAGGAGATGAAGAAGAAGAGGAAGAAAGGATAAGGGAATTGTCGAGACACGTAACACGTATACTTTCTTCAAACTGCCACGTGGACGCCATGCACGCTCCCTCTTTAATTTTGATTTATTGATTTTTAATTCTGATTTTGAATATTGAATATTTCCATCCACTGCCATCACATTTATTATCTAATCAATTGATATATATATAATCAGATTTTAATTATCATCATACTACGTGAATTGCAATTTAAGGGCTCGTTATGTGTTAAATTTTATAATTTAAATTAACTAGCATTTTTTTTTTCGTGCGATGCACGGGATCTTATTTTAAAAGTGAAAAAAATAATCAAATCAATACATAACAAGAAACTATAGTGTACTAAAATAGTAAAATTTAATAATGTAATATTATTCATATTTTATATAATATTATTTTTTAAATTACATATTAAGATTTATAATCTGAATTAGAGAAAAAAAAGTTAAAAATAAATAACTACCGAAGTACCATTAGGGTAAGATTTTTCATGATTTAGTTTCAATTTTGATAATTAATGTTAAAAATTATAGTTAGAAATTAGTAGAGAAAAAATATTAAAAATAAATAATTATAAAAATATCATTAGGGTTTTTTTAGGGTTGCCGAACGTTTTTTTCTTTAATATATAAGATATATATTTTGGAGGGTAAAATAGTATTTTATTGTTTTAGTTACTATTTATTAAATTAATGTGCGGGGAAGGGTACTACTAATTTAATAAAATAATAGTTTTCAATAGCAGATTTTGATTTTATCAGCGGATTTGAAAAACTATGAATCTTGTCAACCGAACGTGTTACTAGTCCCTACGTATTTAGCTAGTAGAACCTTATAGTGATAACCAAACGAGCTGATGTAATAAACACACATTCACAAAGTCCAAATTTCAAATAACCATGTGTGTGTGTATATAGTATAAATAATGTTTTATTTTTTACCTAATTCATTTAAATATAGCCGATTCAATTAATATTTTACCTAATTCATTTATGAATATATATTTGAGAGCTGTAACTAATTTACAGGACCATATTTAATAAGCCCATTCCATCCCACAGGCCCATATTTAATCGTTCCTTAAGTATTTGTGCGATGTATGTGAATTTGGATGGATTATGTGTTCAATTTAATGTTGCAGTTTGCATTTAATCGTGATCGTTACCACGAATTGAATTTAATCCATGCATGAAAATATGGATGAAAAAAAATATATAAATTAATTAATCAATAATAGAATACACTTTTAAAATAGTGGTTAACATAATATCGCTGGAGTTTATCATCCAAGATAAATTACATTGGAAATAATTAGGGGATTAAGTGAAGCATTTGAAAGGTGTTTGTATAATTATTAACTAGTAATTATGTGTGTGCAAAATATACAACGCAATAAAGATGTTCTCTTAACGTGCAAGTTAAGTATATTGCTTTTAAGGCCCCTACACAATGAAATCACTATCTAAAGGGCCGTTTCAGTTTCAGTTTCAGTTTAAATAATATCGTTTCAACTTCAAACATCATTGTAGCTATTTTCCAAGCTGAATTTGCAAAACCCAAAGCACAAAATTTATAGTTCTAATAGTTAGCTATCTAATTCAACTTGAATAACAAATATTAGATATCGAGTGAAAAAGATGTGCATGAATCAATGAACACTGTCCATATTTTTAATGTTTTAGAGTTGTCTAAAATTCAAAATATAAACTCATTTATGTATAATTTTATTACCCGACATCAGATCTAGTTGAGTCAAGTTTTGTTAGAAAACTGTATGAAGGATTACAATTTTGGTGTTTTAAGTTTTATCAAAATTAGAATAACAAAAAGTCAAAATCAATTTCGAAGTAAGAAAGTGTGATAGTAAAATTGAATGAATATTAAACATTTCAATTATTTATTCCTAAAAAAAGCATTTCAATTATTTAGGGTGGTGATAAAATAAAAATCAAATAAGGGGGGTTAATAATAATAAGTAGAGAAACCGTGTGGGCACCCCACTATATATTCTAATTGGTGAAGTATGGTTCAAATAAATGACATACTAAAATCAGCACCGCTCGTCTTTTGTTTTCATAATATCGTCACAACTCACATGGGTGACAATTATTAAATAATTTTATTTAAACAAAAAATAATTACCACTTTATATAAAGTCCAAAAATAGTGTAGGCTCAATTTTAATTATCTGATTCATATCGCATGGAGCAGGATAACTCGCCATCAGCAGACAAGCACAACTCATAGTAATCACGCCACATTCACATGTGATCTGACCAAAGACAGAAACACAACTTAATTATACGACATGTATAAATACAACTTGAAGCACTTGCAAGGAAATGAAACTCAACACACACATTCTTATTATATTTCTTTACGTACATTTAAATTATTTCTCCACGGTTCTAACTTACTTGACCGTCGGAATGCTAATGACGGAAATTCATCCTTCGACACTCACTTTTGTAGGTAATAGATATTTTTTTTGTTAGGAAATTAGAAGTGAAATTAAAGGGATCTAGCAATTATATTTTCTCCTTCATCCTTTTATCTCCATTTGAATAAAAGATATGGATAATTAGGTATCTATCTTTTGAACTGCTCACAAGAAAAAAAAAAGAAAAAAAAAAGTGGATGATAGAGAGAGGAGATTAAAGTAAAAGAAAAAAAGAATCAAATTAAAGAATAAAAAAAAGACTAGTGTTGGGAGAATATGTGGGGGTTGATTAATCATGCACGTGAATGGCTGACACCCAAATCACTGCCATGCAAACTAATACACAACTAATTAATTATTAATTAACTATATTATTAAATTATTAATCACCAACTCCCCCTGCACAAAACAAACTTATCTGCAGTAATAATAATATAATTGTCTCTTTGTGAATTATGAAACTGAAATTATTGAAAGTGGGCTCACGAATTTTATTAATCAACAGTCTCAATTATTTTTTATTCGAACGTACCGACCGAGCCATTTATGAATGAGTCGATTAATTATCGGAATTGGTAAAATAGAAAGTGGATCGAAATTGAGTCGGTTGGCCGATCAACATGGATGAAAAATAGTTGACGGCAATCAATAACATTAACTAGCGGCGTGATTTCTGTCATTTAACCGCCAACCACCGCCCCCTTTTCTTTTTTCGGCGACTAAAATAATATATTTAAATAATTGTGACAAAAAGAACTCAAATTAAAATAAAAAAAAAATCCAAGAATGGATTTGATAATAATTAACGAGAAAACGCGTGAATTACAGTAGATTATGAAAGTTATCAATGTGGGCGGGCGGGCAGACATTTATACTAGGATAAAGCTTTAACCTTTTTCTTTTTCAAAAACCCTGTCAGTTTTATTTTATTTAATTAATTATTTATATAATATTTATACATACATTATACAGACATACATGTCCAGTGGCTAAAACCCACTTGCAGTTGCAGCGGCTAATTAAAAACCAACACAGGTTTTGAAGAAAGATTCACACACACACACACACACACACACACAAAAAACACATTCTTTCCAGTTTTGCACTAATTTAACCGGTCTGAATAAACCTGGTACGTTTGCATTTTTATTTATTTTTCATCAAATATTTGATTCTTTGATTGAATCCCACTTCAGATCTGTTGGTGTTCATGTTTAATTTCTTGTTCTTGTCACTCCACAGTTTTATCAAGATTCGTTTTTTATTTATTTTGAATTGAAGTGGGAGGATCTTGGTGAAAATGGGGGCACGAATTTTGGTGCAACTGGTGGTGGTTTTATCATTTTGGAGTAGTAGTGTGTTTGTTGCAAAAGCAGAGGATGATTACAAGTACTACACATGGACTGTAACTTATGGAACTTCTTCTCCACTTGGCCTTTCTCAACAGGTCAGCTACCTACTCTGTGTGTGTGTATATATATGTGTGTGTGTGTATAAATGTGTGTGTTTTTAGATAGATAGATATAAATATAATGTATGTATATTTGTTGCAGGTGATACTCATCAACGGTCAATTTCCTGGTCCTACCCTTGTGTCTGTGACAAATGAGAACATAATCCTAAACGTTGTCAATAAATTGGACCAGCCTTTCCTTTTAACATGGTACGAAACAAATTATTTATGTTGTCGAAATCATTTAATTAGTAGTGTTCGAATAAACGAAATGTCGAAGAAGAAATGTTGTTGTTGTTGTTGTTGATTCGATCTTGATTCTTGTGTTGGTGGTTTATTTGTTACGCGCGTATAGGAATGGGATAAAGCAGAGGAAGAATTCGTGGCAAGACGGTGTTTTGGGGACTAATTGTCCGATCCCTTCCAACGGAAACTTCACCTACAAGTTTCAAATGAAGGATCAAATCGGAAGCTACACGTATTTTCCGTCGACTCTTATGCACAGAGCTGCCGGAGGATTTGGAGCACTCAATATCTATGCGAGATCGGTTATTTCAGTTCCTTATCCGAAACCCGATGGAGATTTCACACTACTCGTCGGCGATTGGTTTAAGACCGGTCACAAGGTGAGCGTTTATTTTCACATATATTTCTTGTTATATATATTTTTTTACTTGCGTTAGTTGCATTCGGCACCCGTGTATTTATTCTAATTGTCAAAAAACTCGTCGGTGTTATAAATATTAGCAAAAACCTCCTTATGATTTGTTTTTATTAGTAAACTACCCCCTGACAACCGTATCATTTAGGGGATTGTGTGCTACAAAAATGCATCATATAGTAGTACTATTAAGATGTCGAATATATCTCTCGGTTAGTTTCTAAAAAAATGAGGACAAAATCGACTTTTTTTTTTGCAGGGATTGCAGCAAACACTTGACTCGGGAAACCCGTTACCATTCCCCGACGGGATCCTTATAAACGGGCGGGGTCGATCTTCCTTCAGTGGTGATCAAGGTTTAATCTTAATAAACCTTAACAATTATTTATGAATTTAATGTGTGACATATTATTTATTGTGTTCACATTTAAATTTTCTTGTCTATTTTTTTTTCCAGGGAAAACTTACATGTTCAGGGTTTCGAACATCGGGTTATCAACCTCGTTCAACTTCAGAATCCAAGGCCATAAACTGAAGCTAGTCGAAGTCGAAGGGTCCCACGTACTTCAAAACATCTACGATTCTCTCGATGTCCACGTAGGACAGTCCATTACAATCCTCGTCACATTAAATCAATCTCCGAAAGACTATTACATAGTTGCATCAACAAGGTTCACACAAACAGTCCTTACGGCCACTGCAGTACTACACTACACTAACTCCCAAGTTCCCGTTTCTGGTCCCACTCCCGCGGGCCCCACTAACGAAATAGCCTGGTCTATCGATCAAGCTCGATCTTACAGGTATATAGGCAACAATGTTTATTGCAATTAGTACCCCTGTGTTACATCGAATTTCTAAAAAAACATCCCATCTTATTTTATCGGGCTTTTTTTGGCCAATAAAGTAACATAGGGTAGTTTTTTAGTAGTTCGATATAACACAGGGGTACCGATTATAAATTTATAAGTAACAACTAACGAATTCTTGTAATAAAATTGAAAATTTGGCTAATTTTCCTATTTATTGTTTTTTAGGTGGAATTTGACAGCAAATGCAGCGAGGCCGAATCCACAGGGTTCGTTCCATTACGGTACAATAGTGCCAACTAGGACGATTGTGCTCGCCAACTCAGCGCCCGTTATAAACGGGAAGCAGAGATATGCTGTAAACGGTGTTTCTTACATCAATTCGGATACTCCTTTGAAGCTTGCCGACTATTACAACATCCCCGGTGTTTTCAGCGTTAACTCCATACAGAGTGCGCCATCTGGCAGTGGCGCCAGCCTGGCGACTTCTGTGCTGGGAACTTCCCACCATGATTTTATCGAGGTTGTTCTTCAAAATGACGAAAATGCCATTCAGTCGTGGCATCTCGACGGTTACGATTTCTGGGTTGTCGGGTAAGCCCATCATCGCATTTTAATAAAAAATGCAATATATATACATATATATATATATATTCATAATTATATAACTCGGCATTTTCGCTGTCTTTTCGTGATCCAATCAGATTCGGGGCGGGAAAATGGACGCAAGATAGTAAAAAGACTTACAACCTTGTCGATGCTTTGACTAGACACACTACACAGGTAATAAAAAAATATAAAAAAAAATTATGAAACTTTGTATGTAAATTTGACATGTATTCGATATTCGTCGGCCATTGTTACTCGACTAACGTTTTTTTCTCGAGTTTTATCGCAGGTGTATCCGAATTCGTGGACGGCGATATTAGTATCATTGGACAATCAAGGAATGTGGAATATGCGATCCGCGATATGGGGAAGGCAATACTTAGGACAACAGTTTTATCTTAGGGTTTATAATCCGACGCAAAGTCTAGCGAACGAATACGACATTCCCACGAACGCTCTGCTCTGCGGTAAAGCCGTTGGTCGAAAGCGCCGTTAGTTAAATCGGTTAAAACATTTTTTTTTCGGAGTCAAGAGAGGTTGACTGATATATATACAAGTATAATACTACTATAGTGAGAGAGGATTAATATTTGGCTCTTTATTAATTATTTGTATATTTATAAGGTTTGTTTTAAGACCATTTGGCTGGTTTTGATATTTTATTTATGTGATTTTATATGAATATTTAAATTATTTCCAAATTAAATTATAAAAGAATTCCCTTCTCTTATTGATTTTGAAAACATCTGTCCAGGTTTATTATACGTGAAATAACACTTTACCCCCTGTAGTTTTAGTTTTGTGCACATAACTCTCCGTAGTTTGAACTTTGTATACATGACTTACCTGTACTTTTAATATAAGCATACGCGCACAAAATTGTTTTGCGTTGTATTAAAAATATGACGAGTTTAATTAGTGGGCCCATATTACCAAGCCTGTCGAAATGGGTTGGGCCCAATTGTGAGACCTTTTTATATTTAAAAAGCCCAATTAGTAGCCCACTTCAAATTTTTTTTCCAATAATTATGGACATATGGTACATCATGCAAGATGAGTTGCACATCTCTATTTGGCTACTTGTTTATAATTCAAATAAAGTTATTCGATCTCGATTTAAAATCGATCGACTGATTCGAAATGAAGTTGTTCTTGACACAATAAAATCAAATTTGAAACACAAATTCTGGTTCGATAAGATATAAAATATAACTCGAACTCGAGTTTGATCAGAAAAAAATAATAAAATATGTATGATAATCAAACTATTTGAAATCGATTGCATATTAAATCAAACTCAAAACATATTAGTGCAGCTAATAGGTAATTTTTCACTTCATCATTTATTCAAGTAAGCTTTTGATGCCATGCACGAGGTTATGAAGGAAATGTATTAAGCTAATTAAATTAATTAAACAAAAGATAGTTGTTGCATGCTGCAATAATTGTCACGTGATATGCACATGGGATATAACTTCACGTAGATCTCGAAGTATGTATTCACAAGTAAAACTAAATTAAATTAAATTTTGAATTGCAAACAACGTAAGAGTGAAAATTTCAACTATACTTTATGGTTTCCAATTTTTTGGTAATCATTCCGTGAATAGATTAATGTATAGTTTCTGGCTGTTCTCAAGCAATACTGGACTGGAGGGTAAAACGGTCATTGCGATGATATAATATGTAATTAAAAATAAATTATTTAAATATTTAACCAAAAATTACCGCCAAAATCTCGAAACCCAATGAACGAGTGAGTGACAGTGGTATTACTGTTGATCCACAGAAGCCTCCCATTGTCTCCGGTTCGCCATGTGAAAGTAGGTAACCTCTTTTAACTGCACCGGATCTATCCCGCCATTTTTCCCATTATTAATAATATAATATTTTCCTCATTGTAATTACTCTCTAATTAGTAATTAATTATCATTAATGGGTTTTCACCTGTCTAAGCTAGTTAATTATGTGATCCGTTCTTGGCTGCGCCCTTCTCGCTTTTCTAATTACTTATTCCACCGACGAATCTCATTCGAGACTCTCGAAACATACAATATTGAGTATTCCTACCATTACCCTTATTACAAATAATTATTTCTTTAGTTAATAATCATTGAATTCCTAAAATAAATATAGGGAATTTTTTCTTTTCTTCATTTTTGCTAAAGATACAAATTAATTTGTCTACCAGTTGGTAGAATTACAAACTGATAGACAAATAAATTATTTGTCACTTATTTGTTACTCGTAATTAGTTGAGAAGATATTATTTGAGAAATACTTTCATTCATCCCCTTCGTTTCGAAATAAGTGTCTCTTAAGGTTAATATACATATACTCTAATTAAGATTAAAAGATTAAATACTCTTGATTTTAGGAAAATAAATTGTTTTTAACAAAAATACCCTCTTCGTTGCTTTCTCATCTCTCGTTATTACTTCATTAATCTGTCATTAGTGGTAGGATAAAGCTTAACGAATAAACTATTTTTCTATCTTCAAATTCTAAAGTGACAGTTAATATAAAACAAACCGAGTACTCTCCGTTCGTATTCTAACTACATGTACCATAAACCAAAACAACAAATAATTTGGTACAAATAGGGTACAATAATATATTTAATGTTAGAAAATTAAGTGGACTATAATATCATATGTACCATACTTACTTTAAGTTGAAGAATTGAGACTTACAAGAAATGTAGATACTAGTCAAATAGATCGAAAAGTCAGAGGCCAAAAAGAGTTGAAGAAATTTGTAATTAAGCATCATTAATTAGCAAGAAGTACGGCGCACATTAGATTCTTCTCGATTTCCGATTTGCGTTGCATGTTAGCATGCATCCTACGTTGTTAATTCTTCACTTAATTTATATATATATACACACATGTATATAATACACTCCTCCCATGTTTTCTCCACACTGTCATTCTTCCATTGTTCAACTCTAAAAATTTCCTCCATTTTTTGTAACTATATTTACACATTGGAGGAAATTAAACACAAACTTTAGTTAAAAAAAAAATGAGGCAGGCAATTTTCCTTCATTTTTTCCTCGGATTTTTAGCCTGTCTGAACACGGTTTCCTACGTGCAAGCAGAAGATCCATACGTGTTTCTCAATTGGGTAGTCGAATACGGTGATATTTCACCTCTTGACATCAAGCAAAGGGTATTGTTTTTACTTAATTATTATCTCATCATCGATAAATCTCGAATATATTTGAATTAATGATTTTGTTAAATGTTGTGTTTTTCTTGCAGGGAATTCTAATCAACGGACAATTTCCAGGGCCGACCATTAACGTTATTACAAACGACAATGTAATAGTTAACGTCGAAAACAAACTTGACGAGCCTCTCCTCTTCACATGGTGAGAGTTATTCCCTTTCTTTATCCTAATTAATGTTGATTGGCGAAGCCAGTATAGGACCAATCACAGGGGCCATGCCCCCCCCCCCCCCACACCATTTCTAAAAATAAAATAAAAATTAAATATAGAGATTTGTTATTTTTCGAGCACTGTAGCCTTTTTAATTTCAGGCCCATATAGAATTTTTGAATTATTGATTTACGGAAATATTACGTCAGGAATGGAATAAAACAGAGGAAGGCCGCGTGGCAAGACGGAGTTCTAGGGACTAATTGTCCGATTCCTCCGAACTCGAATTGGACATACAGAATGCAGATGAAGGATCAAATCGGTACTTACAATTATTTCCCTTCGACATTGCTTCACCGAGCAGCCGGCGGATTCGGTGGGTTAAATATATTAGCTAGGTCCGTTATATCGGTTCCTTATCCCAAGCCGTACGAGGAACTCACCGTACTCGTCAGTGATTGGTGGAAGAAAGACCACAAGGTTTGTTACTTTTTACAAATTTTTTCTTTTAATTTATTATGTTTATAATTGTTTCTTTATTTTTATTATTTGTTTAATTAAAATTGCAATTTTTATTATTATTAATTCAAGAATCCTAATAAAAACAATTGAAAAAACAGGATTTGCAAAAAATACTAGACTCAGGGAGCCCTTTTCCATTACCTGATGGCATTCTCATAAATGGGAAACCTCATTCTACTTCTTTTCCTGTTGTTCCTGGTATGGTTTTTTAATTTATTTATTTTATTTATCACATTAAACTCAATTTTTTTTAATGGTTAACTGAATTTTCTAGTATATATATTTCAGCCAGATGTAGCATCTATATATAAGACCTAACTTTCTTTTCTTCGTTTCGGTGACAAAAAAAAAAATCAGGGCAAACCTATTTGTTCCGGGTGTCGAACGTGGGATTGACAACTTCTATAAACTTCCGTATCCAAAACCACAAGCTCCTCCTCGTGGAAGTAGAAGGGTCCCACACAATGCAAGAAGTCTACGATTCACTCGACATTCACGTCGGCCAATCGAGCTCTTTCTTGGTCACCCTATATTCCGACCCGAAGGACTATTTCATAGTCGCCTCATCGCGTTTTATCAAGCCCGTTCTTACTGCATCCGCAATCCTCAACTATCAGGGTTCGAAAAATGCAGCCTCTGGCCCACTACCCAACGCGCCAATTTTCCAATTCCACGGCTCTATGAAGCAAGCCAGAAGCATAAGGTAATTAATTAATTACCAGTTTTTTTTTATTAATTTAAATCAGGATAGTTACTGATTCTCCAATTACACTAATCAGCCTGTCCAGCATGTCAGATGCCTAATTATACTTTTTTTTCTTATCAGATGGAATTTGACAGCGAATGCAGCGAGGCCAAATCCACAAGGGTCATATCATTATGGTACAATAAAAGTAGCGAGGACGATCGTGCTTGAAAATACTGCGGCCGTAATCGACGGGAAATTGAGATACGCAATAAACAATGTGTCCTATGTCAATCCAGACACACCTTTGAAGCTGGCTGATTATTTCAATATTCCAGGTGTTTATACCTTAAACACCACCAAGGACACCCCACCGGTGGGCCCCGCGGTTCTTGGAACCGGGGTTGTCGGTACTACCCTGCACGACTTTGTCGAGATCGTTTTCCAAAACAGGGAATCCTCCCTTCAGTCTTGGCATTTGGATGGCAACGATTTCTGGAGTGTTGGGTAATTAATATATATCCCAACCACAATTATTATTATTATTATTATTATATATACATCTAATATTGCAATACAGGTTTGGTAGTGGGAAATGGAATTCTGCATTGAGGAGGAGGTTCTACAATTTAAATGATGCCACCACCAGACACACAATTCAGGTAATTAGTTAATGGCATTGATTTCGCGACGAATTAATATAAAATTTAATATAAATAAGATATGAATCTCGACTCGAACTTTTCGTTTTTCTTATGTATGTAGGTGTATCCTTTTTCATGGAGTGCAATTCTTGTGTCATTGGACAACAAGGGGATTTGGAATTTGAGGTCTGCGAATTGGCCGAGGCGATATCTCGGACAAGAGCTTTATGTTAGAGTGTGGAACGACGAGCCTAGCCCGTTTACGGAGTACGGCATTCCGGACAATGTTTTACTTTGTGGCAAGGCTAAGAAATGATTTGTTGTTAGTGTTTTTTTTTTTTTTTGAATTTATATCTTTTGTTGTTTCATTTGTATCAGTTACGAGGGTGTGACTGTCAAATTGTATTGTGGAAATGATGGGGAAAAAAAAGGATCATAGTTCCATTTTAGTTTAGCCATCATTTTTCTATTTCCATGTCATTGATTAGTGAATTAATTTCATGACATAAGCTGTTTATTTTCTTTATATATTCCCTTGCCTTTTTGCTTTAAACTCCATGATGTATATTTAATTATTAAATTATAATAATAATAATAATAATAATAATAATAATAATAATAATAATAAAACGAAAAGGAATAGAAAAAAGGATTATCTTCTCTGTAGGCCCGGGTCAATGACTTCAAAATGTTCAATGGGATTAACATTTCCGTCCAAGCCCATAGACTCTAACCGACTAATATAACGAAAAGTCAATTATTTTATTGGACCTCAGAAGGTCTTACGGCTGCTTTAAAAATGATAAGACATGATAATATAATATTTTCGAGTCGACAAATTAATCAAATACGACAACCGATTTTTCTTTTTTTTTTTCTTTCTTTTTTGAGATTGTAGAACAATTCATAAAGAAACTCGATTTATAGTAAAAACCCATCTCTAAATGAATCATTTTTTTTAATTAAACGAACTAAAAGAGTCATTTTAAAGAGTGGAGGTTAATGAAACTTATTTTAGAGACATCATGCACGGTCCACGTGGGATGGCGTAAAGCAAATGCGGTTTCGTAGATTCTATATACATCGGATGATTCTACACTATTGATCTACACATAGTAACACGTACATAGATATATTTATGGTGCAAAACCATCCAAAGCTTTTCACCAGGTGTACGTAGCACCGTCTCATGGACAAGCAAATGCCTAATGGTCGGTTAATTAATCACCAAATTAAATCATCTTTAATTACCACATGGTTTATTTCAAATCATATTATAAAATTAAACCAATTTTTTTATTACTGTAGTTGCAGGTGCATGGAATATTAATTGGAATCAAATTCCAACTGTGAGAATCACATTGCAGATTTCAGCAAACTGTTCCCAAAAGCTGCTTCGACAATTCTATATATATATATATATATATATATATATATATATATATATATATATGAAATCACTTTTCTTTTAACCAATGAAAAATAAACGAGATCAAAAAGCATCTCCATGCATGTTAGTTTCAGAAGCACGCTTATGATCTTGATTCTTGACCATGTTTCTGCTGGTCAAGAGAATATATATATACACAGTGTATCTTCCACTAATTTAATAATTAATAGGAGTATTAAATAATTTCAATTTGTTGTTTTCTTCGAGAAGATTTGTCAATAATTTTACAATTAAGATACTGTCCAAATCTTCTTTGTGCCAAGTGAATCTTCTCCCGCGGTTCAAGAAATTCATATATACACATACATATATACATACACATATACACTACTAGTGCAGATTTAAAAGATAATGTGACATCTGCATAAACAGACAATAATCAACAGAATATAATTAATTAATTAAAACCTAAATCCTTATATTAACCACACAATAATCTCGATTAATAAACATATCAAACTTACAACAACTAATTAGTTAAAAATAAAAGAAAATAATTAAAGATGATGATGCTACTGGCTAAAGTACTAGTGATATTTCATATATGATATACCAAACCCCAAATTAACTAACACACATGAATTAAAGAACACACAAACACCAAACCCTAGCTTGTCTGAAATTTAACTGAAATTTCTACAAACTGGTGGGAAAATCAGTTGCCCAGGAAAGAGTGGCATTATTGTTATTATTGTTATTCCAGAACCCTAATTCACCTGCTGAAACTGGTGCTGACTCAAGAATAGCTGAATTCATGGAACAAGTTGCAGACGCCACGTGTCCGAGTATTATTGGTCCGTTTTGATCTGGGTAGTAGTTTGTTGTTGTTGGCCTGAACTTTTGATACAGTTCTTGAAATAGTAATCCATTGTTGCTATTCTGATCAGCTGAATCACCGTGTCCGAATCCTTGGTTACTGGGTTGATCGGTTTGGGTTCTGTAGGAAGAATTCGACAGACTCATGTAGGGTAAATGGGTCGGGTCAACCGGGTCGAAACCCATGGTCCGAGCATTCATGGATGATCCGAACAGCAAACCGTCTTCCTTCACTGAGTTTGTCAGATGACTGGTAGGGTAGTTATGAAGGTTCTGGTTTGCTCTGAGTAAGGAGAGAATGTGGGAATTTTGAGATGGGGCCCACAGTGTAGGGTTTGTGGAAAGCGCCGCCGCCTGTTCATGGTGGTCGAAGCCGCCACCGCCGCCGAAAAGGCCGCCGGCCGTCCTGCCAATCTCCGAAGACAGCGACTTCAGCTTCCCGGCGACGCCAGTTTTCGAGACGGCCGCAGCTATGGTGGCGCTCTTGTTCTTGCGGCAGCCGCCGCCGATGGGGACGTTGCGGAGGGCGCCGCCTTTGGTCCAGTAGCGGCGGCAGGTCTTGCAGAAATGGCGTGGCTGGGTGAGGTTGTAGTTGTTGTAGTAGCAGAACTTCGTGTTCGGAGAATCGCATCGAGGGCACCTCACGCTCTCGGCCGCCGCCGCCGCCGCCGCCGCGGCGGAAGAAGACGGCGAAGATGACTGGCCGTCAAAAAACCCCTTGGATCTATCCCCTCCGCCAATTATACCGACATTACTTCCACCCAACAGCTCCTGCATCATCTTTCTCTTCTTCTTCAGATCTACAGAAACTGAAAAAAAGGTAAAGAAAGTAGGTTTAGGGTTTTGTCTGAAAGAATATGAGAGAGAGAGAATATATTGCGTTTGGTTTTGTTGAGTTATTGAATGAGTTTTAGATTTGTTTGAAGCAGAATTTTATGGGGTAGAGAGCAAATTAAACAGAAGATCTGAAACACCAGGCTAAGGTAAAACTTTAATATAGGATGAAGCAGTATAGAGACAAGCAACTTTGTCTATTCTCCAAAATAAATAAATAAATAAATAATTATTATAATAATAAATGGTTTTGAAAAATTGGATTTTAGTTGTTTTTTTTTATTGGATTATTATATTTTCTTAGGTGGGTAGTATACTATAGCATAGACACAATCATATTGTCTTTTCTTTGTTTAATTTATTTCAACTATCTGAGGAATAAGAATAATCTACTATGGGAAATGAAATCTAAGATCATCTCCAACAATCGTTTAAGTTGGTTATCCATATTTTTAATTTGGCACACGTACATTGTTATGCACCACCATTTTTAACTGTATACTCCAACAACATTGTTTACAATTTAAACAACAATTATATTTTATTATTTTTTCATATTTTAATTTTGAATTTTCCTTAAATTTGGAAATTAAAAAGAATGGGTTGTGGTTGTTTTATTATTTTATTATTTTTCCACAATGCTTAAAGTTCAACTTTGGTGTTCCAAATTTGAACAACCAAATTTACAATTTGTTAAAATTTGCATTTTTCCATGATATTGTTGAGTTCTCTTTTTGGCCTCAAAATGTGTAAAAAGTGCAAATAATAGAATTTCATTTGAGTGTTGGAGTTACCCTAACAAATGTTTTCATTTGAATAATTTATGAAATTTTGGCACATACTCAGAATTCGTTTGTAAAAAATAATAAAATATGTAAAAAATATATTTAATTTGAGGTTAAGACGATTCGTGCTCGGCTCGATATATAAATAAAATTAATGTCATAATATAATTGTAAATGTGATACATATTAATATTGTACGAGAGTGTAGGTTTACTCAATACTTCTATACGATTGGATGCGGGTTCGAGCTGTCTTTATTGTACGAAAGAACCACAGCTCATGATGTTCAGTCGAACAGTTCTCACCAACAAACACGAAATACTTACCATGGAATTGCACTAATTATTGCAATTTATTTCTTGTGAAGTGTCAAATCAAGTAGAATTTTCTTGTTCGATGTCTAATTTACTATACAACCTAATTATCAATGGACACACGCTCAAGAGAGCCATGATTATTAATCATAATTTTTTACTATTTTTTTGTAACACGAGGGTGGTTAATTTGATTTTTCTTCTTTGCTAATTAGTATTATTTACCATTCGTGTTTTCTTGTTTTCAAACTTTATATTGTGATTTGTGCGTGTGCTTGAACCAAATCTTTAATGAATGCAGTGATGATCACAAACATATTTATTACAACACATACAGACCAATATTATATGCGGCACGAATGCTCAATCTTTCGGCCCGAAATGCTACATTTGTTGAAATTATAAAGACGTCACGTGTACATTGGATTTACGTATCATATGTAAGTGCGTTGGGTAAATATCCGCTTTTGTGCAATAGAACTACTTAAACCGCTCTTATGTGTGACAAAGTCGACATAAGAATTAAATATTGGCAAGAAAATTCGAATTCGTGTCCATTAAAATAATTATATTATCCAAAATAAAATTAATCTCATTAGCTACGTACTAGAAAGTAAATTATCTTGGTCTTAAAATAGACAAATTAAATAGTTGTGTGATGTAACCCTTGCCCACTACCAGGTCAGTCAATGCATAAAAAGTCGGTCAAGCATATATACAATATACCATGTTGAGCTAATTAAAGTGTGAGCTGAGTGTAAAATATTCAGGCAGATAATATAATGCAATATATAGTTTTTATTCAATGCTAACTAGAAAGCTAGAAATCGAAATTAAGATGATTTTCTATTATTTTTATATAAATTATTAAAAAAAAAAAAGTAAAATATGTGAGTGGGGGAGTGTGAAGGGTGAAAAGGAAAAATGAAAGAGAAAAATGTAATTAATAATTAAGAAGAAAGAGACGAGACAGCACAACAAAAACCCATGCTTGTTTTCTTCTTCCTCTTCATTATATTAGTGACAGTTCAATTATAAGACTTGGGTCCATTTATGGATATATACTATTACTACTAACTCTTTTTTTTTTTTTTTTATAATTTCTCATAATATTCAATTATAGAATATTGATCCCTTTTTCCATCTATATCTGTATAAATATTTATTTTATTTGTTTCGCAGTAGTTTGAATTTGTCCTAACCAAGACAAGAGATACTACGTACGTACGAACACCACCTGACCTAATTACCTGACCAGAACATGCACATCTGACCGCGCGTGCCGTCCGGAATATGATCAGAGGAGGCCGGTTTTTTTATTTCATTTTTTCTTTTTCTTTTCAAATAATAATTTCTCTGATAACGGAAAAAAGAAAAAAAAAAAAAGACAGATCAGACAACGTGGAAGCTCTGCTGATGGAGCACTATTGAATCAGTGACTTTTTATATCCATTATTACCGTGGTGGTGGTGGACTGGTGGACCGGTGGTGGTGAAAACGACGTTAGATTAATTAGGTGGTGGTGGTGGACCGGTGGTGGCCGGAGTAGGAGGACAGATGATATATTTATATATTGTGCTTCCACGTCAGAGAATAGTGATCAACTCATCCTCGATTCTCGGGCTCTTCTTCTTCATCACTTGACTACTCTGTACTGTTGCTAAATTCTTGCATGCGGGCCCACCCCCACACACGCTCTCTGCTGATCTGTCACTTTCACATTACAACATTAATTAATTATTATTATTTTCTTTTTCTTTTTTTTTTTGTTGGAAAACAACGTGAAATAATATGCTACTTTCGGATTTTGGATTATTATTATTAGTGCTTAATTTAAGATATATATATATAATTAGTACTAGTAGTACTGAGTGACTGTTCTTAATTACTTGAATAATTAAAGGGATTTTCACATACACGAAAGAAAACTATGCATGGGTGGTGGTGATCATACGTCATATATTCATAATTAAATATATATTCCTGTTAGGGTAATAGTATGTTGATACACCAACAAATGTGCATGCTTGATCATATCATATATTAATTTGTTTTATATATCAAAATTAAATAAAACTAAATTAAAATTCCCCTGAAATCAAATTTCTATAATTAAGTTATTTAATTAGTGTACAAATGACACCGGAAATTAAAAAAAAAAAAAAAAAAAAAAAAAAAAAAAAAACCCCACCCGGATAGAGAGTACAATTCACGCGGTGGGCCCAGGCGCGAGTGTGGTTGTCTCTCTTTACGCGGCAAACTAATCTTTATCTTGGGGTCCCGTCACCATTCAATTCACTCTTTTTTTCTTATTTTTTTATTCCCTATCAAATCGAATTAAAGTAGGTACGGTCCGATTTATGCGGTCGAATAATTATTCGGTCAATAATTCATACTTTGATTCTTTCTCCACAGTCCACACTGCCCTGCTTGCCTCTGCCTTCATATACATATTTCTTCGCTATTATTTATTTTCTCTCTTTTCTTTTTTTCCCATAATAGAAGAATTCAATTAATATTTGATTGAATATCAATTAGAGAATGACACGTGTTACTTTTTATTGTTTGACCATCTTGTTGGACTTTGGGTCTACACTGAATTAATCAATAATTCGGTCGATTAACTCGATCTCCACTTGAGGCGGCCCAAACAAACCCGATTTATTATTTTAATACTCGATTTTTTATGGGCCTGTGACGTGGCCCAATTCGATAAACCCTATTTGATGGGCTTTTGTTTTTGAAGTAAAATTAATGGGCTTTCTTTCCGACACCGTCAATTGTTGTTTTATTTTTTAGCGACGTTAATTAAATTAATTAATTCAAAGATTGCAGGATTAATTTTTTTTTAATGTGATATAATAAAAATAATAATAATAAATACTGCTCCGGGTTTCTCCTCTGACGAGGAATTCCTGTATTTTGAGAAGTTCAACTGTATACGCCACCTGTTTTCTCCGATCGAAAATTCATCTCCGATTTCCCCCACCGCCGCCGTTAATCGCGATGAACTGCGAAGTCTGCCAACTCAAAGAACTCGTGAGTTTCCTTTTTTTCTCTTCAACGTTGAATTTATGAGAGGCTGTATCTATAATTATTTTTTTATACTGAAAATAATCTGATTTTCTCACCTACTAAATTAGGATATTGAGCACTTCGAGATTCGTGAAGTTCTCCGATGTAAGTTTTTGCTCCCTCTTTCCCCCACACAACTACTAACCCTACTTTTTCCCCATTTAATTAGTGACGAATTCCTCAATTTTGCTTCTAATTTCGTCGCCAAATTGAAATTGAGCTTATATTGTGATTCCTTTCACCGACGACTCTGTGATTGGGTTCGTTGATGTTTTTATTTTGAGGAAAAAACAAAAAACCTTTTTTTTAGTGAACTGTCATCAGCTGCTATCGAGATTGCTAAAAGGGCATATCGTAATTTTGCAGGCATTCTACACACTGTTTTGTTCCACAGAGCTTTAGGGCTAGTACGCCCGAAAGATATCGATTTGGAGCTCTTTGAGATCACATATGTAAGTGTAATTTCCGATTTTATTAAAGTTCTTGCAGATTTTATCTTCCCCAGATGCCTTTTGTAGTTGATGTTTTATACACTGTTTTGTTCGGTGTTGGTTTTCTGTTCTAGTTTTGTGCGGTTTCGGAATTACGGTCTTCGTTCTAAACTAAAATTCTATTTCGTTTTGGATAAGGCTTTAAAAAAGTTGCCGAATCTGCAGCTTGTTTGTCGATTAATAGTTTACCGCATTTATTTAATCGTGAAAAAAGTTCACATATGTACTCTTCTTCTTCCGGTTGAATGCAATTTATGACCTTGTGTTAATTACCCCAACTACCAGTATCGGTAAAAGAATATTCCTTCCTGTTCCGATCGAATGCAATCTACGGGGTTTCCTAATATAAAGCAGATGTCTCTGACTTATGACTATTCGAGATGCGATTTTTATTCCGCCATCTTTTTATGCAGGTGCAATGTGGTGATGTGGAGCTCGAGAGGAAAATAGACGAGAAGATTGACCAATTCATAGATAGGGTAGAGAAGCATCCTAACAAGAAAAATCAGGTCCGTCGATTACGATAATACATTAATCTGAGTGAACAAATCAGTTTAAATCGGTACTGAGAGGTTCAGTACACACATGCTGCGTTAGCGTTCGCAACGGATGTCAAATCCGTTTCTTGTTTCACGTTTACAAATAAAGCCACATTTTTTTTTAATTTTGTATTGTTTAAATATTTTTTTTTCTTCGTGATATTGCTTTCTTCGTTCGGATTCATTAAGATGTTTTTAGTGATGCAGATATGTTTATCCTTCTACGAGGTGAAAAACAAGCAGGCTACATGGTTCACTAATAAAGTCGAACGCCTCTACTGGGAACAATGGTACATAAATTTGAATGTTGCTCAACACCCAAAAGGAATTTCTGGGAAATCGTATTCTTCCAAAGTAGTAGTTGACCCTGGAGGTATTATCTGCCGTGTTATTGGTTAAAAAAGACGAATAATCTGATTTTTTTTTTTGACTTTATACTGTATCCATGTCTACTGAAAATGCAGCTGAGTCGAGGAGTGCTCGGCGTGCAGCCCTTGAAACTTCGCTTCGTGATGTTCTGTTTCAGATAATTAGATTTGTAAATGAGAAGAAGGATCACATCCCTCCAATCCCAAACCTTGAAGGTGTCTCGTTTCCTTACGAAATTACTATCTCAAGGTATTTTCTTGTTCTTGTCGTTTCCGCGATTTAGTGATGCAAATACTGTAGAGTCTGACTATGCTATTGTGTACTGTCATTCCATATGAATTCCAATGTGATGATTAGTAGAACAATCGTGCTAAAATAGGCAAGATTACGAGTCTTAAATATAGTTGTCACTTGCAAATATTTTCTTGATGTAGTTACAATCTTGGGTAAATTATGGCCTCCCCCTGAGGGAAGGTTTAATTACGAAAACCCCCTCTTATTTAGGGAATTACAACCACCCCTCAACTATGAATTTTTTCAGCGTCCACCCATGCGGTGTCAAATTTAGTAGAATCTTCTAGATTATGTGGAATATTCTCGAATTTGTACCCGTTTTACTCCATTTGAGCTCCACATTTTGAAACGAGATGATTATAAGATGTGTCTCTTGGCTTGTAAAAATCAGATTGTGGTGGATTAAAAAAATTGCATTTTTTCACAAAACGAGTACAACTTAGAAAAACATTCACGGAATGTAGAAGATTATGTTGAATTTGACACCATAAGGGTGGATGCGTAAGAAGATTCATAGTTGAGGGGTGGTTGTAATTACCCAAACATGAGGGGTTGTTCTTGTAATTTGACCTTACCTTAGGGGTGGCCGTAATTTACCCTAAATACCGTTGACACTGATGTATACAACCATGTCATTCCAATGCAATCTTATTTTATTACACCATGTGTTTAAACACTTTTAGCAAGACTATGAAGTTCCCTTGTTAAGAATCTACAAGAAGTTGCATCACACGAAAAACTTCATTGTTGTTTAGATATAAATCCCGTGGCAGTAATATTCTGTTTAGCTTCATAATGACGTGGATAAAGCGATTAGTAATATAGTTAGCTAAGTTTTGACTTGAAAAAGTGCACCGATTATTGTTACTTGTGTGTTGGTAGAGGTAACCGAAGCCAAGTATAAAGCTGCTAAGTTATGTATGTACAACTGCCTTTGTTTCAGTTCATCGGATTCTGCGTTCGGGATGGACATGTTAAAGAGGATGCTGCAAACCGGTCATCCTACTATGCTTAGCTGAATCGCCGAGTCAACACGCTCTGTTGGCCACGACTTCAATTAGTTTTCGATCGCCTTCTGTGAATATTTTGATTGGCTATAAATTTATGTAAATTAAGAGCTGTACATTACAGCAAAGACTGAATTTCGATACTTCTACGGTCTTCTTTTTTTTTTTTTTTAAATTATTATGTAAATATCTGCTTGCTTGAACTTTTTTTGTTCGACTTTTTTTAATTTAAACATGTGGTGAGACTTTAGAAATCAATCTCTATGCTCACACAATGTGAAGTTGTGAACTGGATTTTGACCCACGTGCTAAAAATTAGAGTGCTACTATCCTACACCACTAATGCAACCCTAGCAATAAACCAAACATCTTTTTGTCAATTACGTACAGACAAAAACTCTCTCCTTTTGTTTGGCCCCCGCCCTACCACAGAAAATTAGGATCAATTAGGGCTACAAATTGGAATCCAATTTCCAAATTCTATTAAGATTTCAATTTTGAAACATTAATTTTCAATCCAATTTCCGATTCTTTGGAATTTCTTTTGTAATTCATATTGCAATACCTATGAGATATGGCAATGTTTGCATTCTTTTATCTGATTTTAGTTTTAGAAATAATTATGAAATATAAAAATAAATTACATTTACAATATTGATTTTACTATGTACTTTATATTATAAATGAATAAAAAAAGTTCGACTAAAAAATATCCGATTTTGAAAAATGTTTTCTTCATCCAAAATTCCGAAATTATGCTATCCGATCTTTTTTTTTTTTTTTTGTAATTAATTTTTCATTTTCTAAAAGTGGTAATTTAGGTTCTGATTTCGAATCCAACCGACCTCATCTAGCCATTTCAACCATTCACCAACTAATTACATATTTACATGTATATATAAACACAACAAAAGACCTCCAAATAATTGCAAAAGTGTGCAATAACACAAAAAAACAGAGAAAAATGGCAGATAAAAATAAGCAGAAGAAGAAGCACTTCGTTCTGGTTCACGGCTTCTGCCACGGAGCTTGGTGCTGGTACAAGCTCGTAAGCATGCTCAAGATCAACGGCAGACACAGCGTCACCGCATTGGACCTCGGTGGATGTGGGGTCCACCCTAAGCAGCTCCATCTCATTTCTTCCTTTTCCGATTTTTCTCAGCCGTTGATCGATTTCTTGGCTCGTCTTCCGGACGACGAGACGGCGATCTTGGTCGGCCATAGCTACGGCGGAATTCCGATTTCTGTGGCTATGGAGAATTTCCCGAACAAGATTTCCCTCTCGGTTTTCGTCACTGCTTACATGCCTAATTGTACGGACCCGCCCGCAACTCTCATTCATGAGGTTTGTTTGTATATATATTTTAATTATTATTATTATTTTAATGTTGTAGTATGGTCTAATAGTCGAACATTCATGCGAAAAGTTTCATTAACGCATAATTCATTTCGTGTCGAAATTTGACTTTTTTTATGGGAATATCACTATGGTAAATTTTTTGATGAAAATTCTTAGGGTGTGTTTGGACGGAAGTATTTGAGCGAACTTATTTCAAGTTTATCGATTGATTCGTATTTTATGTTTTTTTTTTGATGGATTTCGAATCGATAGTTCTTCAAAAGGTGCTCAATGGAGTCACTCATGGATTGCGAATTCACGTTCGACGAAGCCTCGGGGAAATTACCAATTTCAGCTAACCTCGGCCCAAATTACATGGCCACCAAACTTTACAAAAACTGCCCATTAGAGGTCGGAATTAAACTAATTACACGATAAAACCGTTTTTTTCCGTTTCATCGCAGATTATTCGATAATAAACCATTTTTAATTTTTTTTTTCAGGATTTGGAGTTGAGCAAAATGCTGATAAGGCCGAGCTTGTTTTTCTTGGAGGAAACGAGCAAGAAAGCGTTGCTGTCACAAGAGAATTACGGTTCGGTGAAACGGTGCTATGTAGTATGCGAGGACGACGAGGTTATGGGGGAAGAATTTCAGAGGTATAATGTCGAAAATAGCCCTCCGGACGACGTAGTTACCATACCAGATGCTGGTCATATGGTCATGCTAACAAAACCAGAGATGCTCTGCCTTCGTTTGCTGGAATTAGCTGACAAATATTAGTTGATAAAATACTTGTTTGGCTTGTTGGCAAGTTTTAGTAGCACTGAAAATCGATCGGATCGGATTGAAATTACCACTTGTTGAAAATTTCCGGTTCTTATTATGTGAACTAAAATAAATCCGAAATCAGAATTCAAAAACTTATTCCAAAATTGGAAATTTCCGGATCGGAATCGGTGGAAGCAGGAAAATTTCAATTTTTATTTATATTAAATATGAAATACATAATAATTTTCGACAACAAATAATGGAATTTTAGAAAATTAATTAAAATCAGATCGAAAATCGAAATCCCGCTCTGGGGTATATTCCAATTTTCATTCCAAAAAATCAGAAAAAATGGAAAATTGGAATTAGGGAATTCAGAACAGAGGAATGGGGATAGCTAGCAGAGGACGAGCCTTCTGCAACGTAATTCCAAATTTCTCTTCCATGTCAATAATCTCTTCTTCAACCTTCCAATCGAACGAATTCAGAAGCGATCCCACCATCATCGGCACCATTCTCACGGCGAGCGGCAATCCAGGGCATATCCTTCTCCCCCCGCCGAACGGGATTAGCTCGAAATCCCTTCCCTTCACGTCAACTTCCGATCCGACGAACCTCTCCGGTTTGAATTCCAGCGGATTCTCCCATATTCCGGCGTCCCTTCCGATCGCCCAGGCGTTGACCAGCACCTGCGAGTTCTTCGGCACCGTGTAGCCGCAAACGTCCACGTCATCCTCCACCCTGCGCGGGATCAGGAACGGCACCGGCGGGTGGAGCCTGAGTGTCTCCTTCACCATGCATCGGAGGTAAGGGAGGCGTGAGATGTCTGCTTCTTCTAGAACTTTTCCTTTTCCGACGATTTCCTCGAGCTCCGCTTTGGCTTTCTTCATGATCTCTGGGTTTGCTAGAGCCTCCGCCATAGCCCACTCCACTGTACTGGAGCTTGTATCAGTTCCGGCGATAAATAAGTCCTGCCGAGGAGGGAAAAGGGACATTGTGAAATAGGCACCAGGTGTTCGACAAATTTACTGAAAGAAGAACTAATATATGATCGTAGATATTTTCATCTATAGATTAGAATTTAGAAAACATTGATTCGAAGGACAAACCAAGCACATGCGTTCGATGTGAGTCCGATCAATTTCTTCTGGATTCTCCTTCCAGGCGGCGAGAAGCACGTCCATTACATCAGCATTTTGATCGGACTTTCCCTTTTCGAGTCTTTCATCGATCAAACCACCAAAAAGATAAAGCAACTCTCCAAAATGAACCGTCGTTCGTCGTCTTACACCTTGTGGATCCAATTTTCCCAGAATCGGAAAAAAATCCACGAGATTAGGCTTGCCCGCCTCCACCATGATATTCCACACAAGATCCCTGAATTCCTTGGCCGAATCCGAAAAAGGGTCCGTCAAATCTTTGCAGAAAATAGTGCTGGACAGCAAATTCAACGAAGTCCTAAACGCCGCCCGCCCCACATCCACCACCTCACCGCTCCGGCAGTAGTCGACGAGCTCCTGCACCTTTCTGCACCTGAGCTTCTGTCCGGAGTCGAGGCGGCTGCTGGAGAACATGTTGGCAGTGAGGGCTTTCCGTAGGCTGCGCCACCTGGGCCCCACCGGAAGCCACACCACGGAGTACTTGAACTGATCGTGGGCGTGTATAGCATTCGGAATCGACCGGCTGGAAAAGGCCAGGTCATGCTTCTGCAATACTTCCTTAGCCATTTCGGCAGAGGAAATCACTACGGTGTTTATGAAGCCGAGGCGGAGGTACATGAGTGGGCCGTGAGTCTTGGCTAGACGGCACAAGGACTTGTGGGGCTGGTCGCCGAGCAAGTGGAGGTTGCCGATGAGGGGCAGCGGAGTGGGGCCGGGGGGAAGCTTTTTGCCCCTTGTGGAGATCGTTTGGACAGCTGTCATTAAGATGAGGATGAATACTAATCCTAGGGAGAAAAGTGTGATGAAATCCATGGCTTTTTTCGTGTTTGTTTATACATAAGATATGCATTGCTCGCGGCTTATATAAATAAACATTCTGGAAAATCAAGGATTGTGGTATGTTGCAGACTTATAGGTACAAGTCTCTGTTTATTTATTATTACCAAATATTTTGGCAAGTGTCGCTGCATAACAATAAATCGATACGATGCTTGTTAGCTGTTTGAAACTTTCTACTATGTTATTTTTTTCGATGGATTTCGAATCACTAGTTCTTCATAAGGTGTATGGAATCACTCATGGATTGCGGATTCACGTTCTCCGAAGCCTCGGGAAAGTTACCAATTTCAGCGACCTTCGGCCCAAATTACATGGCTGCCAAACTTTACAAAAACTGCCCATTAGAGGTTTGAATTAAACTTATTACACGATAAACCCATTTTTTCGTTTTATCGCAGAATATTGATCACAAACCTTTTTATTATTATTATTATTTTTTTTCAGGATTTGGAGTTGAGCAAAATGCTGATTAGACCGCGCTTGTTTTTCTTGGAGGAAACGAGCAAGAAATATTTGCTGTCACGATTGAATTATGGTTCGGTGAAACGTTGCTATGTATGTGAGGATGATGAGGTTATGGGTAAAGAATTGCAGAGGTATATTGTCGAAAATAGCCCTCCAGATGATGTCATTAACATACCATATGCTGGTCATATGGTCTTGCTTACAAAACCTCAGATGATGATCTGCTTTGGTTTGTTGGGATTAGCTGACAAATATTAGTTGATAAACTATACTTGTTGAGAAGTTCCATAGGGTAAAACATCTTAATGTTTTATGTTTCTCCCCTTTTCAGATAGGTAGGTTTGGAAATCGGAAAATTTCGGATCGAAATTAATTCTTTTGGATTTTTTTTTGATTTCTTCTAGAATTGAAATTTTGATTCCAATTCGGTTCCGAAAAAAAAGGGAAAAATTGGAACGAAAAACTTTGTTCATCATCGAAAATATTTGGAACATAATCGCGGAATTCGAAAGATTCAAATTTTTAGTAACCTAAAATATAAAGTACATACGAATCTATTCTCTCAAAACATATTTTTCCCAAAATAAAATGAATCCCAAAACCATTAATATTTTCGTGTCCAACGAAACATTATTGAATTTAACAAATATCAAATAAATTTGAATTATTTATTTAAACATGATTAACTTTCACCAAAACAAACGAGCCAAAAGTATTACATATATAAAATTGTTCAAAAAAATGCAATAAAATCCATTATAATTTAGAAGAGGGACTTTTATTCAAAGAATAGACAAAATCCCACACGGGCCCAGGGCCCGATCCCCTGGCCCGACACATTCCGACAAAGGAATTGATAACAATTTATTCTTTACGAAGACGATGAAAACAATTAATTAGAGAGGAATTGGTACAGCTAGCAATGGACGAGCCTTCTGCAACGTAATTCCAAATTTCTCTTCCATGTCAAATTCCCCAATCCCACTATATTCAATCTTCCAATCGAACGAATTCAGAAGCGACCCCACCATCACCGGCACCATTTTCACGGCGAGCGGCAATCCAGGGCAAATCCTTCTCCCCCCGCCGAACGGGATCAGCTCGAAATCCCTTCCCTTCACGTCAACTTCCGATCCGACGAACCTCTCCGGTTTGAATTCCAGCGGATTCTCCCAGATTCCGGCGTCCCTTCCGATCGCCCAGGCGTTGACCAGCACCTGCGAGTTCTTCGGCACCGTGTAGCCGCAAACGTCCACGTCATCCTCCACCCTGCGCGGGATCAGGAGCGGCACCGGCGGGTGGAGTCTGAGTGTCTCCTTCACCATGCATTGGAGGTAAGGGAGTCGTGAGATGTCTGCTTCTTCTATAACTTTTCCTTTTCCGACGACTTCCTCGAGCTCCGCTTTGGCTTTCTTCATGATCTCTGAGTTTGCTAGAGCCTCCGCCATAGCCCACTCCACTGTGCTTGAACTTGTATCAGTTCCGGCAGCAAATAAGTCCTGCCGAATAGGAAAAAAGGTACATTTTGTGAATTAGGCACCAGGTGTTCGACGAATTTACTGAAAGAAGATATCATATATGATCGTTAGATATTTTCATATTTTCATTCTAGATTAGAAAACATTGATTCCAAGTACAAACCAAGCAAATGCGTTCGATGTGAGTCCGATCAATGTCTTCTGGATTTTCTTTACATGCGGCGAGAAGAACGTCGATTACGTCCGCATTTTGATCGGATTTTCCCCTTTCGATTCTTTCATCGATCAAACCACTCAAAAGATCAATCACCTTCCCGAAATTAACGGTCATTCGTCTTCGTATACCTTGAGGATCCAATTTGCCAAGAATCGGAAAAAAATCGACGAGGTTAGGCTTACCCGCCTCCAACATGATATTCCACACTAGATCCTTTAATTCCTTTGCCGAATCCGAAAAAGGGTCCGTCAAATCTTTGGAGAAAATCGTATTCGACAGCAAATTCAAGGAAGTCCTGAACGCCGCCCGCCCCACATCCACCGCCTCGCCGGAGATGCTGCTTCTCCGGCAGTATTCGACGAGCTCATCCACCTTTCTGCACCGGAGATTCTGTCCGAAGTCGAGGCGGCCGACGGAGAGCATGTTGGAGTTGAGGGCTTTGCGGAGGCTGCGCCACCTGGGCCCCACCGGAAGCCACACGGCGGAGTACTTGAACTGATCGTGAGCGAGTAAGGCGTTCGGAACCGACCGGCTGGAAAATGCCAGGTCATGCTTCTGCAGTACTTCCTTTGCCATTTCGGCAGAGGAAATCACAACGGTGTTTATGAAGCCGAGGCGGACCCGCATGAGTGGGCCGTGAGTCTCGGCTAGGCGGCATAGGGATTTGTGGGGCTGGTCGCCGAGCAAGTGGAGGTTTCCGATGAGGGGCAGCAGAGTTGGCCCGGGGGGCAGCTTTTTGCCCCTTGTTGAGATTGTTTGGATTGCATGAATTATTATGAGCACGAATATTAGAACTAGGGCAAGTGTGATGAAATCCATGGCTTTTTTTTGTGTTTGTTTATACATAAGATATGCATTGCTCGTGGCATATATATATATATATATATATATATATATATATATACACACACACACACATTCTGAAAAATCAAGAATTATGATATGTTCCAAACTTATAGGTATAAGTCTCTGTTTAGTTTTATTATTACCAAATATTGGGTCCGAGGAAAGCACTTACACGAAAGAAAGTGATTGTTAGCTTTTTTGGGTATGTCACAAGTGTGCCTACATTACAATAAATCGATATGCTTGTTACTTGTCTCAAACTTTATAGTATGTTGTATTTTGATAGAAAGATTGTTATGTCAGAGACAAGTCTAAAATGACTTGACTACACGTCACACAGTCAATAATTTTACATTTGTCTTATTTTTATGTTAAAAAAAATCACATATCTTAAAAATGAGATTCGAACTCGGATCAAATGACTTAACACTAATCTACAATCTAATCGAGTAGGCTTACTTTTTACTTTTTAATTTTATATTAATTTAATTATATATATATATATAGGGCAAATAGCAAAAAAGCCCATCACATGAGACTTAAATGCATTTTGGTCCACCAACTAAACAGTCTCTCAATTAAGCCCATCCCCATGTCTTTAGTCTAAAATACCCTCAATAATATAATTCTTATCAATTCCACCATTATACTCTAACTTCTTTAATATTATACATTGACCCCGAATTTAAACAAATATCTCACATTAACCCCCAAAACCTTTTTTTTTTTCAGAAAATAATTTTTTTTCTGAAATGCTTTTTTTCCGGCCAGATTCCGGCGTTGACCACCGGATACTGCCAGTCTCCGTCGTTGACTTTTTTTTTTTTTTTTTGAAACTTTTTTTTTTCCTGAAATTTTTTTCCGGCCGGTCAACCACCGTTGACCGCCGGTCTCCGGCGTTGACTTTTTTTTTTTGGAATTTTTTTTTCTTAGAAAAAAATATTTTAATTAATATTACTGTCTTGGCTACTAAATTACTGTCTCAGACAGTAATATTAGTGTTTGGGACAGTAATATTATGAATATTATTTTTCCGAACAGTAATATTATTAATATTATTGTCTAAGACAGTTAAATTATTGTTGGAGACACTAATTTAACATCTAAGGCAGTAATATTAATTAAAATAATTTTTTTAAGGAAAAAAAAAAAAAAGGTCAATTAACAGTTAAATTACTGTCTCCGACAGTTAAATAACTGTCGGAGACAGTAATTTAGCAACGAATACAGTAATATTAATTAAAAATATTTTTTTTAAGAATAAAAAAGTCAATTAACAGTTAAATTACTTTCTCCGACAGTTAAATAACTGTTGGAGACAGTAATTTAGCAACGAATACAATAATATTAATTAAAATATTTTTGAAGAAAAAAAAAAGAAACAAAAGAGTCAATTAACAGTTAAATTACTGTCTCCGTGGAGACAGTAATTTAGCAGCCAAGACAGTAATATTAATTAAAATATTTTTTTTAAGAAAAAACAAAATTATAAAAAAAAATGCCGGAGACCCGGCGGTCAACGGCAGTTGACCTGCCGGAAAAAAATTTCAGGAAAAAAAAATTCAAAAAAAAAAAAAGAAAAAAAAAAAGTCAACGCCGGAGACCGCCTCCGGCGGTCTCCGGTGGTGGCGGGTCAAAATTGGGGTCAAAATTGAAATTAGGGTTAAAATTGGTTAATTGATGAAATTGGACTAAATTGGGGTGTAAATCATGAAATTGGAGTTAAATTGGGTTTCAATGAATTGGGGGTAATTTTGGTATATATAAAAGGATTTTCATTATTTGCAAATAAGTTTGAATGGGCTGGATTTATTTGATATATATATATATATATATATATATATATATATATATATATATATATATATATATATATATATATATATATATATATATATATATATATATATATATATATATATATATATATATATATATATATATATATATATATATATATATATATATATATATACACACACACAAATCGGCACTTTGTTAAAAACACAGTCTAATTTCCTTTCATATCACGGACGGGCATATTTTTTTCAGTTTTGTTAAAAGTCTCGGCTTAGTTATACATCTTAGACCGAAAATAAAGATTTTAGATTGAAAATACATTATTCTCTTCACCTCAATCATTGTAAACCACACCCCTCCAAAAAATGGCGCAATTTTTTCGCTCATCTGCCGTCGACTGTCCAATTTTCGTCAACTATGATATTTATTTCAATTCAAATTCTATAACTAATTTGTCCATCTTCAATATAGACTGTCTATTTTCAGTCTAAGCTCTTGAACTAAGTTTCAGTTTAATATCTCTAATTAAGCTGCAGATTTTGTCGCAAATCCAAGATGCCCGGGTGAATTATTAACTATGCAAATAGTTTTGATTGAATTTTAATCAATTTTCCCTAGATAAATATGAAGTATATTTTTGTTGCACGTTGCTCTATTTGGCTATGTCATAAGATATTAAAAGAAGTTTATAAGATGTTTAAAAGTTTGTAAGCTCTTTTAAAGTGTTTGGTATTTTTTTTAAATACTCCTATTCCACTTTTCTATTTAAGATCTTATAATAAGTAAAAAACTGGTTATAAGTTCATTATCCAAATACTTTAAAAATTAATTCTAAACATAATACGTAACAATTTATCAGCTCTTAAAACAGTCTATCAGATGTAAGAGTTTATCAGTTATTTCAAATAAATTTAGCCAAACATGCCCTACCTAGTCTACAAATATGAATTATTGTATACGTCCAATAAAAGACACTTATATATATGTGCCCTAGAAGTCTTAGAACCATGTGCATGTATAGTAGTAGAGTAGCTACTAGTAAAAGAAAAGACAAATAATGCATACTGTACTGGTACACGGTGCTTGCCACGGGGCATGGTGCTGGTACAAGCTGAAGCCGCTGCTCGAGGCGGCCGGCCACCGCGTGACGGCGGTTGACCTGGCCGCTTCCGGCGTTGACCGGAGAAGTCTGGAGGAGCTCCGCAGCCTTGCCGACTACACGCAGCCGTTACTGGAACTGATGGCCTCGATTCCGCCGCACGAGAAGGTGGTGCTGGTGGGGCACAGCCTTGGCGGGATGAATCTCGGCCTTGCCATGGATATGTATTCCGACAAGATTAGCGTAGCTGTTTTTGTTGCAGCTTTCATGCCTGATTGCACTAATCCACCCTCTTACGTTTTGGACCAGGTAGATCAACTTGTATAAACCCTAATTAGGGTTCCATTTTACATGTTTTTTTTAGATCCAACATATTTTCCATTATTCAAAAGGAAAAATTATATTTCTTATAAAAGCATATAATTTCGGACGAAGTAATTTCCCTTATTTGTCATTTAATATAAAAATATTAAAAAACAAAATTTTGTTTTTATTATTGAGAAAATAAATCAATTAACAAGGTGGGGTCATTACATAAATGCTATTGGATGTGAGTATCACATAAGGGCATCTTCGGTTTCTTCGACCCTACACCCGGTGAAAAACACCGGGTGGGTCTTCTGCTGCCATGTGTTTTTTTTTTTATTTTTCTAAAACCCCTAAAGGTAAACCCTAGCGGGGAATCTATTATAAAATACAAAAAAGAGACACGTGCCAGCAGAAGACCCACCCAATGTTTTTCACCGGGTGTAGGGTCGAACAAATCGGGCATCTTCCGCTCTAGACCATATCCTATTTTTTACACATAATTTATGTGTATTTAACCTCCCAACTTAAATCGCTAAATCACTATTACACTTAAAATTATGATGATTTGATTTTAGTCTTCCATTGTGGTCAACACTTATATCACCATATTAACAAATCATATATTTTCACCAATTTTTTTGTTGAAAAATTTGCATCTCCCACCCTTCCACCATTTTACCATTGTTTTCCATCAAATTCTATTTTTCCTATCAAATATAGAAATTAAAATGGGATCTGGTGTAATTAACACCATTTTATAATTAACATATAAAATTATTATATTAACTGATTTCATGTGATTACCAATTTATAAACGTATTTATAAAAAAATATATTAGTGCTAATTAATGAATTAGTGTTCAAAAGATAAATTATCAATGAAATAATTTGTTTTGATCAAAAAAAATATTGTAGTGTTTTTTTTATTAATTTTGTTGTAATATTTTTATGCATTAAGTGATAAAATTATTGTTTATGCGTGGTTTATTATATGTATAATAATTTAAGTTGATTTTCATTCATGTTATTTCAATAGTTTTTTGAAATTTATCATAATTTTAAAATTATATAATTAATAAAGTATTACTTATAATCGGATTTATAATCAATAATTTATAAAATAGACTAAAATGATGATTAACATTAAATTTATAATTTTGTGATATATTTGGTGAAATATCTTTGGATACCAAACCAAATGCTATTCTCTATAAATAGGAAAATGGTGAAATATTATTATTCTATTATTTGGTATAAAATTTGATGGAATTGGTGGGTGTACAAATACACTATTTCTTCATCAAAAGTAGTGAAATTGTCGAATGGTGTGCTAAGAATGGGAGATAAACCCATTTTTTCACCACAAGAAATAGGATTTGGTGAAAAAATAGCGATAACGTTGGAAGATGCTCTAATAAAAGATTTATCAGTTACTAGCAAGTAGAAAATAAATTTCCCTATAATTAAATTTCAGTTTAAATATTAGTGTACATTTTTTTAATAGCTAAATGTAACGATATGTTAGTGAAAATCATGCTAGAGATTATGTAATTAAAAAAAAAAATCAATGGTATTCTATACATAATCTAAACAATGTATTCAAGTCTTGATACATATAATAGAAACTTACCGAATTTTATATAGTAAATAAGTTTCGTTTCTTCATTTGTAGCTCGAGATTCCTTCATTTTACGCGTACGAATTTTAAATACGCATTTCATTTTTTTTTTTACCTTATAACTTCATATTCTTTACTCTTTGTTCATATAAATTGGAAGTATTGCGAGCGAACTCCCGCAGAAGAATGGTTAGACACTGAGTTCTCGTCCAAACAAGACCTTACTTCAATGTTTTTCGGCCCCAAATTCATCTCGTCAAAACTTTACAATCTCTGTCCTCCCGAGGTTTGTTCATTTTTACGGACTAATTTCATAATCTTCGAAATCGAGATCAAGTTTCAAAGTTTTATTTTAATTTAGCATTGATTTTTAATAATTAATTGAACTCAAAAAATGTTTGGCTTGCAGGACGTGGCATTAGCAAATATGTTGCTAAGGCCAAGCTCACTATTCCTTGAAGATTTGTCAAAGAAGAGTGCATTCTCAAAACAAGGGTTTGGTTCTGTGGAGAGGGCCTACATAGTGTGCACACAAGACAAGGCTATTCCGGTAAATTTCCAGCGCTGGCAGATAGAAACAAACGGAGTGGCAATAGTAAAAGAAATTGAGAACGCAGATCACATGGCTATGCTCTCAACCCCACAACAACTCTGCCAATGTCTCCTTGAGATAGCAAATAATTATATTTAATAATTTCTGCTTATATAAATAAATGTATCTCATATTTTACAGACTAAATATATTTTCCAGAATAAATATATATGTCAAACAATAAATGTGTTATTTCCAATTGAAAGAATATATTTTAGACTATTTTAGCTATATTATATTAGCTAAAATATTAAATATAATTTTATTAATTGTTAATTCTTCAAAATATCCGTAAAAAAAATTCGGGGCCTCTATCTCCGAACCCATGTAAACAATTAGTCCATTATTACTGACCTCGTCGCCGAACGTGGGGAAGGATCATTTATATAGACACTGACAAGATCTCTTTCTCAGAAAATGGAGATACTCTAAGCATTCCATTAGTTATGTATGTGTCAACGTTCCAAAACAAAATATACTTGTATGCATAAATTAAAAAACCCCTGATTCGATTTGTATGCGTAAAAAACCCCAGTTTCGACGGGGTAAATGTATGCATAAGGCTCGCGAGCTTATAAACAACTAAAAATAATTCGAGTTCGGGTTTCAGCTTTTTTCGAGGCGGTTCATCGAGCTCACTAGTTGGCTCAACTCGTTTACCGTCCCTAGAGCTCATATTACAATTTGTGTTTGCATAGAAGGTTATTTTCGACAGTCAGCCACTGCAGAATTGGGAGGTATTCAATGTTTGTCTCATAAAATTAAATGTTATATTAATTAGGTAGAACGTCAAATCAAATAAAAGTTAGTTAGGTTGGCTTCTTGAATCTTGTCTCATTAATATACACCCACCCACCTCCTTGATTTTTTTTGACCTACTTAATTTGGAAGAATAATCAAAATACAAGTAATAACATTTATTTTAAGAGGAAATTAAATAATTTATATGTAACATATAGCCTAATATAAATTGTTAAGATATGTTACATATAAACTGAACTAATTTATATGTAACTATCGTGCTGTTTATATTTAAGAGGAAATTAAATAATTTATACAACTAATTTATTTAGCCACTAATATATAAAGTTTGACTAAGCTCATAAAATGTTAATAAAAGTTTATAAAATATTTAAAAGTTTATAAGTTTTTTAAAGTGTTTGATAAAAAAAATTTAAATCTTAAAAATTCAAAAAATAAGTTGATTGAGAGTAAATAATATTTTTTTTAAAGTACTTCTACTCCAAGTCTCCACGGACCACCTTTTTATTTAAGATCTTGTAAATAATGAGTAAAAATAACTTATAAGCTCATTATCCAAACACTTTAAAATTAATTTTAAAAATAAGGCGTAACAACTTATGAGCTCTTACTAGCAGTACTAATCGGTCTACAAATATGAATTATTGTATACGTAGTAAAAAAAATTACAAAAAACCCCCTCATATATATGCATAATTACTTGTCCACTAAAAACATGTGCATGTATAGTAGCTGTAGTAAAAGAAAAGAAATTAAAAGAGAAAAAAAAAAAAAACCAATGGAAACCACAAATCAACAATCAGTGCACATTGTTCTGGTACACGGTGCCTGCCACGGGGCATGGTGCTGGTACAAGCTGAAGCCGCTGCTCGAGGCGGCCGGTAGGGGTGTGCATGGGTCGGTACGGCTCGGTTTTTCTAATAAACCAAACACGTACCGATAATATCGGTTTCTCATATTTTAAAAACCGAATATGTCGGTTTTTTTCGGTTCGGTGTGAATCGGTTTTTCGGTTTTCGGTTAACGGTTTCGGTATCAATTCGGTTTATTTTCGGTTTCGATTTCGTCTATTTGTTCGAACCGGTTCGGCATAAAACCCATATATTTGGACTTTCATTATATTTATTTGAGAATATTAACAAATAACAACCGAAAATTAACTAATAAAAAACACGTCACAACCAAAATTAATTAATAGAAAACGATGTCACATGGAGGCGCTCGAAAGATAGAGGCACGCTAGGGTAAGTATTTATAATATATATAAAAAATACATCATTTTGTATAAATCGGTTCGGTTCGGGAAATCGGTTCGGTAATTTTTAAATTCTCCATACACAAACCGATATTTTCGGTTTTTCAAAAAAAAATTACCGTGTATGCGGTTTTAAGTCGGAACGGTACATATCGGCTCGGTTTTTTCGGTTTTCGGTTCGGTTTTTCGGTTTTTTTGCTCACCCCTAGCGGCCGGCCACCGTGTGACGGCCGTTGACCTGGCTGCTTCCGGCATTGACCGGAGAAGTCTGGAAGAGGTCCGCAGCCTTGCCGACTACTCGCAGCCGTTACTGGAACTGATGGCCTCGATTCTGCCGCACGAGAAGGTGGTCCTGGTGGGGCACAGCCTTGGTGGAATGAATCTCGGCCTTGCCATGGATATGTATTCCGACAAGATTAGCGTAGCTGTGTTTGTATCAGCTTTCATGCCTGATTGCACTAATCGGCCCTCTTTCGTTTTGGACCAGGTATAGTTGTCGGCTAACTTGATCCGTAGATTAAATATATATTTTTGTAGATCCACACATAATTACATACACATCCATGTGTATGTGTGTGCTTAGTGAGTACATACATGAAACAAGAAGAAACAACCTAATTAAGTTCTATTGTATTTATTAAATTGGAGAAAACAAATTAAATCTCTAGAAATAAATCTTGTAATGTTATTTAAATATATTTACATAACTTCATGTTCCTTATTCTTTCCACGTATATAAATTCCGAAGTATTGCGAGCGAGTTCCGGTGGCGGAATGGTTAGACACTGAATTATTACCCTATGGCGACCATCTTACTTCATTACTCTTCGCCCCCGAAATCATCTCGTCCAAACTTTACCATCTATGTTCTGCCGAGGTTCGTCTATTTTCACCGATTAATTAATAGATCAAATTTTGATAAATAACCCTACAAAAATAACTAGTACAAAGTGTTTGTTTTGGCAGGATGTGGCGTTAGCAAAAATGTTGCTAAGGCCAAGCTCACTATTCCTTGAAGATTTGTCAAACAAGAGTGCATTCACAAAAGAAAGGTTTGGTTCTGTGGAGAGGGCTTACATAGTGTGCACATAAGACAAGACTCTTCCGGTAAATTTCCAGCGCTGGCAGATAGAAACAAATGGAGTGGCAATAGTAAAAGAAATCAAGAATGCAGATCACATGGCTATGCTCTCAACCCCACAACAACTCTCTCAATATCTTCTTGAGATAGCAAATAATTTCATTTAATTCCTCCTAATAATAAATAAATAAATAAATAAGATGTACTTAATATTTTTTTCAGAATAAATATCTTTTATCGCAATTCGTCGGGCAATAGTAAGACTATCCGTGGAAAATGCCATTGTTGCATTCTCGATTTTTGGTACAGTTGCAGATTTTAAATTCACATACATGAAAATGAATTTATGTCAATATAATACAAATAATCAGGGGTACTGCTTAATTAACAATATTTATCGGCTAAATTTTCGAGACACGCACATAATTCATGGGATTTAGAAAACATAGGCATGTGATCTGCACCAGAAATAAAGTTCACCTCGTCAGTCGGATTATTGTCGATCATCCATTCCTGGAAAGTTCGGTTCAGTATATTGTCTTGTTCGCAAACCACATAACCACGGCGAACTGAACCGTACTTTTCTTTTGTAAGAACAACTTCTTTTGATAAACCCAGTCCACCGTACGGTACTTCTCGTCTAACCAACAAGGTTGCAAGACTCAAATCCTATTTCATTTTTCCAGTGTACAAAACAAAAAAACAAAAATAATAATAGAGCGAATGAGATTATACTAGTAATTAGTATATAAGTGGTAGATATATAATTATATATTGCTAATTACCTCGGGAGATGAGAGTTGGTACAAGTGTTTGGCCATAAAATTGGGGCCGAAGATGAAGGAGGTTGGAGGTTTTTCGTCTCCGTTGGCAAATGAGAATCGGCTATCCATATAATAACCCGCTTCCCTCTCGAGCTTTTAATGTAAGGTTTGTCAAAAACGAATACATAGGTAGTAAAAACGAACTCAATTTCATCGTCACAATAAATTAATCACGTAATCGACACTTAAACGTTGACAATTTGTTTTTGTTTTTTTTTTGGGTCAAGAGTTTTGTACTTGTAATATGAGATTATATACTAACTACCTCAACTATAATTGGTTGACTTATTCATCTTTTTCTTGATTTACTGCAAAATTATGCATTGGTCCACTTATAAAATTGGGCCAAATAAATAATTAACGATTTTATTTTTACCTTTCCAAGAGCAGTGAGGACAGTAAAATCGGGACCCGGCATGATCGCCGCCACAAAAACAGCCAAACCAATTTTGTCCGGAAACTTCTCCATCACAAGAGATATGCAAATCCCACCCAAGCTGTGGCCCACAAGAACCACCCGTTCATCCGACGGCAAACCCTCCATCAACTCCACCAGCGGGCGGCAATAGTCGGAGAACAAGCTGAGTTCCTCCACGCATCCGGTGTCAGCTCCAGCACCCGCCATGTCGAGGGCGGTTACGCGGTGGCCCGCCGATCTCAGCCTCGTCACCACTTTGTACCAACACCATGCGCCATGGCATGCTCCATGAACCAACACAAAGTGCTTCTGGTTATTTTTCCCATCTAATTCCATTTTTTATCTTGATTTTCTCAGCTTCTGTGTAAAAATGTCGTCTACTAGGATGGATTAGGTTTGTCCACATTCAGACAAGGTTGTGGGGACTATGTTTTTGGATTTATATGTTTACTTTGTGTAGATAAAAGTATCTTCAAGAAAAATGTGGTGGGCCCACGAGCATATTACGTGTCGTCTCCAATTTTTTATTTAATTCATTGCTAAAATGCAGAGCTCCTCAAATCTCACCAACCTGTAATAAGATACCAATCAATCAATAAGAACATATTTTTTTTATGTTAATTGTGAAAATAAGCACATTAAATTTCAAAATTTGAGACGAGCATTTGTATACATATATACATACATATATATATATATATATATATATATATATATATATATATATATATATATATATATATATATATATATATATATAATATAACAGACTCACCGCCGCAGAAGAACCTGTGGATTATATGGAAATAAATTCTTTTTGTTGAGACTGTTTATGGATGTTCTCAATGAAATTAAACAATCCATAGCAGCCATAAAGGATGTTCTCTTAGGGCATAGTTGACCTAAACCTTGCTCCGATCCCGGAAATTCAACAAATAAACTCCATGAATTGCAAATAATCCTCAGTGATCTGGTAAGAAGTGATTATTTTAACTCAATTGATGGGAAATATTATTCAAGATAAAGGAAGTTTCGAATACAAACCTCAAAAGGTATTCAGCACAGCTTGATCCAGTGTCTTTTGAGATAAGATAATCGAGAAGAACTTGATGATCGTAGAGTATCTGTAGGAAATATAAATTCGATAAAAGAAAAATGAAAAATAAAAATAAAAAAATTCTTAGAGCATAAAAAAATGGTGATATTAAGCCTTTCAACAAACATATTACCTCAGAAAGAAATAAATGAAATAGGTGTACTGGATTAAACAAGTCAGAAGCAAGAAAGACTAGATTATTCTCCACTTTAGCAAGAGACTCGTTTTTAATAATCCTACAAAGGGTTACCAAAAGTTCATCAGAAAACGACTCGATAAACACTTCAAAGAAAAATTAGAAACATTGATCTTTGGTGGAATCACTTACTGACGATCTGGATAAAATGGTACATGAAAGAGTTGCAAGAGCATTTCAAACAGGATATCGTCCTACAATTCAACAAGAACTTGATCAACGAGAAAAAAATTTAATGATGAAAATCTTAATGAAACTCAAAAGAAAATTGATACAATATAAGTAGTTCTGAAACAAATACAAGTCGATATGGAGATAATTTATTAGAAACCAAAGAAAATAAGATAAGGGAATGAGAAGAAACCTCGTGCATAAATAGCTGGAGGAAGGATAAGGAAAATCTGACGCACCGCTCAAAATATGGTTCATCGTTCGCCAAAATATCAGCAAGAAAATGAACTTTTAGCCACTCGTGTAGCTTTATAAAACCTGTACTTGTACTGCAGTTTTCGGAATTGTGCGTAATTTGTGCTTCATCAGGACTTTCTTTCTTCATACTGGCAAAACTTAGGGAACATTTCAAGAAAAGAAAAATGGCCAGCCTTTGCAAATGGGAATGCAACATGGTTTGTTTTTCGGGATCGGAAATGCTTGTGCAGAACGGCGAGCCTTCCATAAAACCAGCCCGATCAAGTTTTACTCCACATATAGGCTGCGATAATAAATCTTCAAAGTACTTGTGGATTAGATGTATAAATGTCACGGGCATCGTTTTTTCAATGTTGATATTAGAGCAAAGTTTCACCATTAGCATCTGCATATTCAACATCCATCAGAAAATATGAAGGGGAAAAAACCGGACAAATTCGATAAATGACTTGGGGATTATTTAATATTTACCAGCACTTTATGTCTGAAATAATTAGAGATTCGGACATGCTCAGGACTCTGAAGTTTGATGTGGCAGAAGGCTGTCAGTTTAGTAACAAGGTTAATGATTCTGCAAATAAATGGTGAGTAACCAACTCTATCTTCAAGAACAATGCTATGTTCGAACGAAGAAGAAAGAAACTGAACGAGGTTTCCAAAAAACATTGTTATTTCTCTCTGTTCTGCTTTTCGTAAATCATCATTTCCTTTAAGAGCTTCGGTACTGTGACCAAAGTAGATATCTCTCAATACATCCCAGGGTAAATTCATCAAAGAGCTCACAGAATCTAGGTACGGTATCATGGTTTTGTCGTCGCATTCTTGCTTTAAATATTTCTGTATATTGCGTAAAACTCGAAAAATAGCAGCTACCACAGACCAATTCGCACTTTTCAGTTTCGTCTTCAGTAAAGATTCGGAAGTGGATGAATCGTAATCTAAATATCTGACTTCCAAATATCTAAGACTGTTACAAATTGCGATTTCCAAGGAGACGCACAACAAATGCATAAAATCATCCCAACCGCTATCCTGCAAACGAAAAAAAAAGAAACCGTTATTTGGAATCAAGATATATGAGAGATGATATACAATTGCCAGGGGTTGTATTATGTATGGTAGGTACATACTGATGTAAGCAAAAACTCGGAAACTGCAACGAGTATATTCCCAGCTAAGTGCTGACTATATCGACTATTGAGAGCAAGCAAACGCATCTGCGAAGAAATCGAGAAAATGAATGCAAGGTCGATAATCTGAATGCAAGCATACAAGTATAACCACCAAAATTGAGTTAACAAGAAGCTATTTACCAGGTCACCGATGATATTATCCAAACAACGATGATCGTTCGAATTCGAATTTGTGGCAACCAAACATTGGCTGTCATTTGCAGGCTCTGCTAACAGTTCCTGCTAACAATTTATTTATTTTCATATTGGGGGGAAACAAAAATGAAGGAAAACAGAACCTTCTTCTAGAATTTGTCTGGTTATGGATAAATACCTCGTTGGAATCTAATTGATGTGTCCACCGTTTAACTTCTCTGAAAACCTAAAATTGAAAAAAACAAATCGAGAATTAGTTTTGAAGAAAAAGGAGGAGAAAATCTAATGCAATGATGATTGAACGAAAAATTAGTAGCAAAAACCTGAGAGAGAGCGATTAGAAGGTTTTTTTCGATTTCTTCAGTTACAGAATCGGAGGCGAGGTCCTAGAAAAACACACACTTACGGTGAAAATGTTTCATATAACAGAAATCAAAAAGCAGAAAAAAGTGAAAAGCGCAGAAGAATTTGGGGAAAAGGTTTATAAATTGATTACGGAGAAAGGATGAAGAGTTTCACTGAGGCGGCGGCAGAGGCGGCGGCATTCAGGCCGATGGCTCATTCTCCGGCGAACTTCAGTTGGCAAAGAGTGAGAGAGAAGATTTTGAAACCAGTTTTAATTGATATTTACACGAATATAAATAACAATATTAAAATAATAAAAAGTATTAGAGTTTCTTAATTACCAAACAAATGTTTAATCATTTTCGATAATTAAGATTAAGAAACAAAGTATAATAACAGAGTGAAGAGTGAAGACTGTTCGGAGTTAAAATAGAGGAATAAAATCGTCTCTTCGTTTTCGTTTGATCAAATTGAATCTTTTTCATCTCTTCATTCTGCTTATAGATTAGTGGAAAAATAAACAGCAGCAAAAGACTTTTTTATGCCACCGGCGCCACTGCACAAAGCATCTTCCGTCGCAACCCACCTCATCAACAAATGCGCCGCCACGACCTCTCTCCGGGAAGCACGGCAACTCCACGCCCTCCTCCTCACCACCCCACCCACCCCGACGGAATCCCCATTATTCATAAACAACAACCTCCTGTCAATGTACGGCAGGTGCGGGTCTTTAGCGGACTCACAGCACCTGTTCGACACAATGCCTCACAGAAGCGTCGTGTCTTACAACGCCTTAATTTCTGCCTATTCTCGTAATCCTCGTCACGCCCATTTGGCGTTTCCGCTGTATGATCAGTTGGAGAATGACAGCCTCGTACCAAATGGGTCGACCATTACTAGCCTTTTGCATGCATCGGCCGGACTAGGTAACTTATGGGTCGGGTCTTCGCTTCACGCCCGGTGTGTGAAAGCTGGATTGTCGGATAATGTACGTGTTCAAACATCTTTACTCGGTATGTATTCGAGTTGTGGTGATGTGGTTTGTGCCAAGAATGTCTTTGGCCACATGATGGATAAAGATGACATTGCGTGGAACTCGATTATATCTGCCTATGTGAAGAATGGTAGAGCACTCGAAAGTCTTGAAATTTTCCGGAGTATGTTAAGAAACGGGGATAATCCTACTCAATTCACATACTCATTGGCGTTGACTGCTTGTGCCAAGTCAGAAGATTACGATAGTGGGAAACTCATCCACGCCCAGGTTCTTCTATCAGGCACGCCAATCGATTTGCCTCTGCAAAACTCGCTGCTCGATATGTACTGTAGCTGCAACGACACCCACACAGCTTATAATGTCTTTTTGAGGATCAAGAATCCCGATTTGATTTCTTGGAACTCAATGATAGGTGGGTTTTCAGAGAATGGAGATGCAAACAAGGCTATGTGCATGTTCATTCAACTTATGCGAATATCTTACTTGCAACCCGATGAATATACTTTGGCAGCTGTTATTTCCGGTACATGTGAATTTCCAGCTCGTTCTTACGGAAAGCCACTTCATGCTCGAACAGAGAAAACTAGTCTCGGAGGAAATAGTATGCATATTAGGAGCTCACTTATATCCATGTATTTCATCAATAATGATCCTTTATCCTCTCAAAAGATTTTCGGTTCTTTTCCGAATAATGATGCTGTTCTTTGGACAGACATGATTGCTGGGCATGTTAGAATCGGTGACAGCGAAAATGCGTTGAATTTCTTCCACGAAATGTCTAAACAATGTGTCAATCTAGATAGTTTCGCTCTTAGTAGTGCATTAAGTGCATGTGCCGACCTTGTTACTCTAAGACAAGGAGAGATGATCCATTGTCTGGCTGTGAAAACAGGAAACGAAAATGAAGTTTGCGTGCACAGCAGTTTAGTTGACATGTACGCCAAAAATGGGGAACTCGAGTCCGCCACGTGTACATTCTCTCGCTTACCTAAGCACGATTTGATGTGCTGGAACTCGATGCTCACAGGATATAGCCACCATGGGAAGGCCAACGAAGCGTTTCGAATTTTCTTCAAGATGCTAAAGCACGGGTTTAAACCAGATCCAGTCACTATTCTATCTCTTCTATCTGTTTGCAACCACTGTGGCTTGGTGGAAAAGGGTCGATTTTTCTGGAGTTATATGGAGGAGAATTGCTTGAGGAGAGGGCCGAGGCATTACTCGTGCATGATAAGTATGTTGAGCAGAGGTGGATTGTGGGAGGAGGCTGAGGAAATGATTATGGAGTCACCTTTTGTGGATGATTATTTGGAGTATTGGAGAACGGTTTTGAGTTCGTGTATAAAGAATGGGGATTTGGGAGTGGGGATTAGAGCTGCTGACCGGATTTCGAGGGCTGGTGTAGAAGACAGTGCTGCGAATGTGCTGTTATCTAAGATATATGCTGCAACGGGGAGGTGGGGTGATGTTCTTGAAACGAGGAGGAAGATGAAGAAATTGACGGTGGAGAAGGAGGCTGGTTTAAGCTGGGTTGAGGTTCGGAATAATTTTCATGTCTTCTCTTCGAGCGATGGATTGTGTATGCAGAACGGTGAAATGCGGGCTGAGTTGGATAAATTGCTGGGAAATTTGATGCCGGTGGCGGTGGAGGAGATCCTAGGGGTGTAAATTGGAAAGATTTTTTTCGAATTTCGTTCGATTTCGATCGGGATATTTCCGGTACTGGAACAACGTTTTTTGTATCTAATTCCGAGAGTTTGGACTTCCGATTTTTCCGACCTTTTTTTATACGGAATTCAGAATTTCGATTTTTTACCAAGAAAATTACACTTGTAAGTTGTAATATCAGGGATCACTACCTATTTGTATTACAGGTGACTAACAAAAATAAAATTCTGAATTCGACCGATTACGATTCAAAAATTTCTGATTTGAGAACAAGATTTCTTATACCGATTTCGAAATTTTGTTTTTTTACTGATCACAACTATTTTTCTTATAAAATCTCAATATCATCACAAATAGATGGCACGAAAAGTTTTTTCGTATAGTCATTCACAAACAAAATAAATAGCATGTCACAACAAAATAAAGCTCGAAAATTGAGGAACTAAAATATTTTCAGCAACATGGATAGACGTAGAGGCTGGTATACAGTGTTACAATGAGGTCATCTTTAGGGTTCATAACGAGATCAATGCCGGAGCTAATGAGTGAAAACTCGAAGAAAAATTAAAAAATGCAGAAACCAAAAATTGATATGCAACAAGGGCAGAATATAATTTTGTTAGAATATCTGCAACAGCGACGATGCCTTGTCTCCGACTAACGCCGTCCAGTGCGACTCTTGGCTCTTGCCTTCTGCAGGACAAATAGGAAAACGAATACACTTAGATATCTCACACGAAGGCATATTCATACAAACCAATAAAAAGGAATCAACATAAACTCAAGCTCGTTAAACAATCAAAAACAATTTAAAGCTCAATTAAAATTTCAAAATAAACTTGGTATTATTGGTGAAAAGGGCGAAGATGAAAGAAGTTGTTGAAACAATCTCAAATTTACTCACTGATGCAGTCCCGAAGCTCGCTCCTGATCCTGCTGCAGCTCCTATTCACAAAATAATATAAGTTCAGTAAGAATGTGCCAAGAAAAACGCTACAAGAATAAACTAATTCCATATAGCACTAATATGATATGTCATAAATTGAAGTTTGTGCCTTGAGGCTTGGTCGTATAGCTCTTCAGCAACAAATTGTGGTTTTTTTTAGAAGCTCAATGCAAATACTCTTATACAGTGCATTTAGTCTGAACATAAACTATACTGTCACGAAAGTAGTTGGATGAATTCTCATTGGACAAAATGAAAACTTGATATAATATAATTGCTAACCTGTTGCAAAAGGTGTTGAGAAGTTTGAGACTCCAGAGGCAGGGGTTGAACCAAACAAGGGATTGGAACTCCCAAAGGGGGACGGTGAAGCAGATAAAGAACCAAAAGCCGATGACTGTGGAGTAACAGCAGATCCTAACAAAGATGAGAACTGTGTAGAACCGGTGGTGGGGGTAGAGAAAAGAGGAGTTGACGATGTAGCAGCAGCTGGAGTAGAAAAAAGTGATGATGTGGTAGCAGCTGGAGTAGAAAAGAGTGATGATGTGGCAGCAGCTGGGGTAGAAAAGAGTGATGATGTGGCAGCAGCTGGGGTAGAAAAGAGTGAGGAACCACTTCCACTTGAAGCTGACGCAGCGGCAGATGTATTTGGTGCCGTTGATGCTCCAGGTGCAGCAGCTGACGTGGCAAATTGTCCAGCTGTCTGAGCCGTGGAATGCGAAGATGCGGGCAAGTATAAAGTTGGGTGAATCCTTCGAGCAGCGGCCTCTTGCTTGGCTGTTTCTCTCCGGTCAGCCTCGAGAAATGGATTGTTCCCATCTCCTCTACGCCTTTGATCGGCAAGATATGCTGTCTTCATGGATTCAATGTATTGATGAATGCTTTCCACCTGCAGAATCGTTAATGAATGCGAGTCATTAGCAACATTTTAGGCAAAAAGTACAATCAGTAGAACAACCAAGTCTGTATTCAAAAACCTGACTTTTAAAAACTGAAGTGAACGGGAAAAAATATGTAAAAACTCCTGAACTATGTCTGACACGAACAAATTTCGACATATTAACCTTATTAATAGAACTAACATGCAGATTTCCGGTCCGGAACAGGGTAAAAAGAAAATCTGTGTGAACTACTGTGGTGTGGAACGTTAAGTTCGCCTTGATATGGATAATCTAGATACGGTCCCATTATTAGACTGAAAATGAAACTCATGATAAAAGGTGAAAAGCAGATCAGGCTAAGGATGGAATATGGAATTAAGGATAATATTCATTTAATACAGGATACCTTCTATCAGTCTCATCTATACACCAAAAAAAAGAGAGCAAAATAGTTGAAATAGCCAGCATATATCCTTTTTATCAGTCTCGTGCTAATAGGAGGAACAAGGGATTATGATTATTTAAAATGCAGCAAGTAACACTTCTTCGTTACCTTAGACGCAACATGCACAAAGAAGTCATTAACATTTGCCATGACTTTAGGCAGAGATTGCAACAAGGAAGAACTTGAATTGAAAGAGTTCTTTTCAGAGTCTAATAGCAGCAACTGCTCCAACTCATCAATCCATTGACGACACTCCGAGAGATACTTCTCAAATCGGGCAACAGTTTGTTGCATAAATGGAGATGGCTTCTTTGGTAGTCCGCTGTAGAAATCAAGAACTGGAACCATAGAGTTTGCTGCAGGTTGACCACTTGATGTTTGAGTGGTAGTTGCACCTAAAGGTTGGGGTGGTGCAGCGGCACCACCTGCAGCAGATTTATTCTCGTGAACAAACCTGGGCCTAAGCATCATAAAAGATCGAACAGCCACCTCGGTGTTTCGTAGCATTTCTTTCACAACAGTCATTAACTCTTGCAAGGTTGCCTTTTGTCTTTCCATAGATATACTAATTCCACCGAGTTCCTGAGATAGAATGCAAACATATTAGAACATGCAAAACCAACCACTTAGAGTGACAAAGATAGTGGGATAATTTTCCCAGCAGTGAGTCAAGTCGCCATATTATACAGGGTGGAAAACCAACAAGCCATGATTTGTTTATTACAAAAGAAACCTTACATGTGGTTAACAAACTAAACGTGCAAGAAAAACCATTGCAACGCATCTTATCAAGCTATAGATGTCCAAACACATACACATACAATTGTGAAGATAGATTTCAGAGAATTGATCAAAAATTTTGAATTTCGCCTGAAATAATGACTAAACTTGAAAGAAAAATCGGCGCAACAGTTCATCAAACTAAAAAGGCTCAAATGCAGACATGATAAAGATAAAATCAAGAATCAAATAACAATCAAGTTGACCGCATTTTCAACAGAATTCCATTCATACTACCTTATAAAGACTAAGCTAACACAGCCTACAAAAACTGAGATAATTCTTGAACTTAAAAAATGCAAAAATATGTTAAAAGCATAATACAAACCTGAACAATATAGCTGGCATCTAGCTCAAATCCGTTATTAGATACCGATGAGTCGTAAAGCCTGTCACACTGGTCAAGACGCTGGCTCTCATCTCTGTACTCCAATATTTTATCCCTACATCCACAGAGAGAGAAAAAAACCTCCAATTAACCTACGGAAAAAAAATTAAAAAAAGAGGAAAAATCCACCAAAAGGAACTCAAGAGAGAGGAGATTTTACTCAATTTGAAGTAGGACTTTTTGCGAATCAGGATGAAGGTCGGCCCATTTGGTGCTATAAGTGGCGGGAACTTTATCATTTGTAAAAAGATAAAGCTGCGGCTGCGTTTGCTGCGGCTGCGTTTGCTGCTGCTGCTGCTGCTGTGGCTGTTGGAGTTGTAATTGGAATTGTTGTTGTTGCTGATTTTGCTGTTGCTGTTGCTGTTGAAAGGGAGAAGGTTGTTGGAATGTAGACTGGAACGGCGATTGCTGTTGCTGCTGAGGTGCGAATGAGAACGCCATTGAAGGGAGATTATCGTTCACTATTCGAAAGCCCTAATTTGAAATTTTGAAAAAAAATCCCCAAATTTACAGGGATGGGAAATCACTGCGACAAAATTCGGATGCACAATTGAAATTCGGAACAGAAAAAAAAAAGGGACGAGGATACAAAACCCTTCTTTTCACTTTAAAACCCTAACATCAGAGAAAGAGAGAAAGAGAAGAAGAAAAGGGCGCCATTGTCCGTGATATTCCATATAACTTAATTAATTACTCTAATCTTTGTTTTCTATTAATTAACTTAGAACAAGGCTATTTCATCCACTAAATTTCTCGCGACACTCCACCACTTTGCTTATTTCCAATTATACCCTCAACTACACACCCCACTTTCATAACGGGAAAAAACCGGTCGTTCACCCTTGCCCTTGCCGTCGAAAATCACCATTTCATGAATGAAGGGAAGAATGGAAGAAAAAGAAAAGCAAAACGAATCAAGAAAAAAAAATTTGTACTGAATTTTTGAAGAGTTTCAGTACCGATATTCTCTACAAATTTATGTATCGATTCGTCTAATAGTTTTATGTACCGCTTCTCTCAACAATTTTCTGTACCGATCAATATTTTTCTTTCATAATCCCTTTTTCATTAGACACAAAAAAAATACACAAAAAAAATACTTTTTTTTTTCATTTCATTGAAAAAAAAAAAAAAAAAGATAATTATCTATAAGTCCATTGAAATTTTTTCCGACATCAATTATTTCTTTCATTATGGTTAACTAAGCACGAATGGGTAGAGGAGAAAAAAACGGAGGCATGCATCTGAAAATTAATTAAATAGATAATTAAGACATAAAAGACCCATAATACTGTTAATTAAAGAGGTTTGTTTAATGCCTGCTACATTTTGCTAATTTGATCTCCAAGATTACATTACAAAGATACAAAATTAAGCACTAATTAATACGTTTTCATTTCATAAAACTTCCTCCGGGTGTGGAAATAGCAAGATCTGGCCAGGTAAAAGAGTCCCCACCCACAAACCCGGCTTCTCCACTCTCCATCTGCCACGTGTTCCCACTCGCGGGCCCACCCTCAGCAACCCCTGGAAATGACCAAACGGTCCTTCCCAGCCCAAAGCCCACGTCATCAAGCCCAGGCCCAATTCCGATACCAAACCCACCCAAAGCCCAAAGTCCGGGCCCCTGTGTACTCAGCAATGAAGTAAAACTCCCACACATCTTCGCATCACCGGCGCCGCCGTGATCGGCCCCGAAAGGCGCCAGTAGCTGAGAAGCTGCGGCGGCGGGGAATCCGCGGAAGTCGTGATGGGGCGAAGAAAAGACGGAGGACCCGTCGGTGGAGGAGGCGCCGCCGGAAATGGCGGTGGTGCGGGACCGCTTGGCGTTCTTGCGGCTGCCGCCTCCGACGGGGATGTCGCGGAGCGTGCCGCCGTGGGTCCAGTAGCGCCGGCACGACTTGCAGAAGTGGCGTGGCTGCGAGAAGTTGTAGTTGTTGTAGTAGCAGAACTTGGTGTTGGTGGAGTCGCACCTCGGGCAGGGGAGGTGCTCCGGCTCCGGCGGCGGCGCCCCCACCACCTGGCTCGTCCTCGTACCCTTCCTCTCACTTGTGCCCGTCGCCATATAGAGAAAAACTGAAAATGTGGGTTTTGAGTTATGGAGGTTTTACAGGGTTTTTATTATGGAGGGTTAGAGAGAGAAAGATGAGAGAGAGAAAGAAGAGAGAGAAAGAGATTGTCGTGTCTGAGTGAACAGCTTTTGCAGAGGTATTAGTTAGTAAGAGGGAATGCGCATATATACAACAATATATATATATATATATATATATATATATATATATATATATATATATATGTGTGTGTGTGTGTATTTATATTCAGTCGGCTCAAAAACAGGCTTTGTTTGGGTCGGCTTCCAAATGGGGGCTCTTTGTTGGTGTTTATATGCATGAAATACTGCACCTTCTGTACAGTGTACCCTTCTCTCTCTCTCTCTCTCTATTCTTTCTCTCTCTAGATAATGTTTTGGATTTGAATTAGAATTAGTTGGTGGGTGGGGTGGGATTATCATTACAACCTTAAACAAATGAATTAATACGATGTTGGTGGAGTGATGAGTGGTCAATTTAGTGGGGAGTTATGTACATGTGTGGGTAATTAATTAATGACTCATTATATATGTGATGTCATCATATATCATCATGTTCAAGACATGGGCTTAATTATTATGATGATGATATATATTCAACGTTAAGTGGGATCCTTTCTTTGAAATCGTACTTAATTAGTCATCTTTAATTATTATTATTTTATTAATTTACATATTCTAACATGTAAGTTTGTAACAATACAAACAGTAGATAAATCTAATCTTATCCAATCTTACTGTTGGAGAGTCAACATTTTATAATCTTAGGATTGGATATGTACATTATTTTAGTAATTCCAATGGGCTTATTTTGTAATGTAGCCTATAGTTAATTACAATTTAAATAATTGTATTGAGAAGAAAAGAAAAAGAAAAAAAAAAATGACAAATTAATAGAGACAATTTCATACTCCAATAGATGGCGACAAAAGGTGAAGAACAAAATGAAGAGAGAGAAAGAAGGGAACACAGGACACGCTCACAGTGTGACCGTGTAAGAGATATTGATTAGTGAATAAGGAGAGAGAGAGAAAAGAGAGAGAGAGAGAGAGAGAATATAATGAGTGTCGGAATAGCGTGGGGTAGCAATTATTGGATTGGATTATTGGTTACCCTCCTCTCCGGGACCCGTCGTTTTCATACTGCACCAACTCCGTACTCTAAATTAGTAGCCGGATTTATCGCTCCTTTGTCCCCCCCACAGGCCGCCTCTCTTCTTCACTCCACTGTTGTCTTCCCCACCGTAGACTCCGTGCTCTGCCAACATCACGCCCGTCCATACGTACAGAATCATGCATGCATGCATGTTTTAGCTACTGACTTGGTCAGACCAAATAATATCAGCTGATGTTTGGTAAATTGCCAAGACTCATTCCCCACTATTGATATATCTTATGAGGTAGGTATAATAGTACTCTCGGTTGTGATTTATATTTAATTAATTATTGTCATGATTTCAAATTATCGTTCTCCATTCTAATTAAATTACAAAATTTATCGATTCTCGACGACGAAAGACTACGATTAATCTTTTATTCTAACGATTCAAATGGGTTAATTTCGAAGGAAAGCGACGACACTACATGAATTGAATTGAAGTGAGACAAAGTCATAAGCGAGTTTGAATTGATCAGAAAAATCGGCCACCAAACAACATAAGACTAAAAATTGTGGCACGTTGAACAGTACATTAGTAGAGAATATTTGCAGTGCAAAAAGGAAAACACTTGGTCGGGAAATTATACAGTGTGGCCGGTTTACATGCATACATATATATATGAATAGCACGCGCGCGACTGTATAGTGTATATATGACTCGTGGGTGGGTGGGTGCATAAGCACTGCCGTACACAAGCCAGGCCCCGCCAATGCAAGAATGGCCGGCGCTAGCTGTACTGTTGACCAATTTTGACTAGAGACTGCGCGGCGCGCCACTCCTTGTCTATATCAACGGAGTCTTTGTCACTTTCACACACACACACACACACACACTAATTGCGCTTACTGTACATGTGTGTGTGTGTGTTTTGTTGAACTTGTGTTTATTGGTTGGTGAGAGAGAAGAAAAAATTAAACACGTGGCAGTGGGTTGTTTGCTTATTACAGGGTCGCTTTCCTTTTTGTCCTCTTGTCATAGGAGAATATAATCAAAATCCCCTTTGTCCACGAATAATTGAATTACTACTCTACTTCCCTCATCTTCATACTAGCCTTACTACTACCTACATTTCTACTATATAGGTAAATTACAATCACTACCATTAAGTAAGGTCTATTTACAAAATAACCCCTCGTTTTTCTATAACTACATTCAACCTCTTGCAATTTGTAGATTTCTTACATAAATACCCTTTTGTATGGATGGGGTTGGATGCAAGAAATTTACAAACTGCAGGGTCTGAAATCTGGATGCAATTTCTCAAAAGGAAGGGTTTTTTTCGTAGTTACACTTTCACTCAGGGAGTTGGTTGCAATTTATTACCATATATATATATATATATATATATATTGGGGCTCTTTGAGAAAACCCCCTCACTACTTTTTTTAATTGAGGGAGGCCCAAAATATTTTAGTCCATTTGAGAAAAGTCCATACCCATTTGCAGCCATTATGTTTTCCAGCTTTACCCCCGCCCCGCCACCTCAGCGCTCCGCGATTTCTTCTTTTTTTTTTTTTTTTTTTTTTTTTCCGTTTTTTTAATCGACTATGACGCATAGTCGATTAGTCTTAAATCGACTATGCTTCATAGTCGATTAAGGAAAATCTTTAATTTTTTAATTTTTTTTTCTAATTTTGTTTTTAAATGTTTTTGGGTTTTTTAATTTTTTTCTCTCTCAGATTTATTAATGCATAGTCGATTAAAATTTTAGTTATTAAAAATAACAAATCACAATTACAAAAAAAATGCAAAAATCAACTATATTTAAAAAAAAACATATACAAACATTGTAATTGATTTATACATTGGAATCAATAAACAAAAAATCAGAAAAAAAAAAAAATTAACAACTAGAGTCGGTTAACCTTAATCGACTATTGAACATAGTCGATTAAGTCTTAATCGACTATTGAACATAGTCGATTAAACACACGTAGTCGATTAAGGGCCCTGCCTGCGCGAATTTTTTTTTCTACGCCGTCTTCCGCCACAATCGACCAAAAAACCCTAGATCTGCTCTTCATCGTCACCATGTCGTCGCCACACCACACCATCACCACCCCACTTCCATATGTGCAATGAACTCAACTGAAAATATAAATGCAATAATTACAGTACATGGCACCTTCTCTAGACGCGTGTCAGGACATAGTTGTGGTTGAGGTCCCGAAGTTAGGGAAAGAAGCTGCACAGAAGGCCATAAAAAAATGGCGTCAACCCAAGTCAAAGATCACCCACCTCGTTTTCTGCACCACCAGCGGCGTCGATATGCCCAAGCTCCTCGGCCTCCGCCCCTCCGTCAAAGGTTTCATGATGTACCAGCAGGGCTGCTTCGCCGGAGGAACCGTCCTCCGCATGGCTAAAGATCTCGCCGAGAACAACGCCGGCGCTAGGGATTTGGTCGTCTGCGCTGAAATCACCAACATCATGTTCTGGGGACCCAACGGCAGCCCCCTCGACAGCCTCATCGAGCGGCTTTTGTTCGGCGACGGGGCCGCCGCCGTCATCGTGGGCTCCGACCCGGTGGTCGGAGTTGAACGGCCGCTGTTCCAGCTCGTCTCGGCGGCGGTAGCGGTGGACGGTGGGGGAGAGGTAGAGGCGGTGGTGAAAGGCAGGTGAATTTGGGAAAAGAGAAATTAGGGTTTCAAAATAGTATATTAACAATTAAGGGTAGATTTGGAATTATAAAAATAATATTTGGTGGAATACTAACTAAGGGGGTTATCTCAAATTATTTTTGGAAGGGGGGGTTTTCTTTACTACATTTACTAGATGAGGGGGGTCTTGCTAATAATCCCATATATATTATAGCTTCTACATTGGTAAATAAATTGTGATATAAAAAATTTAAGAAAGTCACAATAATTATAAAACTGAAAAAGAAAACCGAGATTTTTTTAATAAATTGTGCAAAATATATAAAATTATAGAAAATTTACAGCAATTTTAAAATACTTACTAGTATGTGTCAATATTTGAATTTATGAACTTAACAAGATTATTTAGATTTAATAAAAATAAAATAAATTAATAATTTATTTTGAGGGAATTGCCAAATTGATACAGCCAAACACATTAGTAAATTGTAGGGCTGGAAAAAAAATACCGATTACCATATACCATGGTATACCAACCAAGGATTACCGAAAAATTACCGAAACAACGGTTACCATTGTCTACGGTACGGTATTAGTACCGTACCATTACAATATGGTACGGTATTGGTATTGTATTTCTAATACCACGGTAATACCATACCGTACCGCAATTTACATTTTAATCCGATTAATATATTTTTTTCGATATTATTTTTTGTAATTCTATTTTGTTTACTTAGAAGCTTATAAATGGCATCAATTATTTTTTCCTTAAGTTAGTGGTAGTGTATTTGTTTTTTTTTTTTTTTCTACAAAGTTGAATTTTGTAATTGAACATATATGTTCTACTAAATTGTCTTTTATGTTTCTTATAGCCAACTAATTTTATTATATATGATGTATGAATATTTTATTCTTTTACCTACATGTATGTATAGCATTAGTAAAGTATTTATTGTATGTAATAATTATTAAGTACAATCAAGTTCCTAATAAATACCTAGTTGTTCCATTAAACAACATTTACATTATCATGGTATATGTTCTTGTTTCAATGAAGAAAATTATGTTAATTATTCTGATTATACATCGGACCTTCTTAGAAAATAAGCATACAAGAGTAACTAGAACTATTTTCAATTAGGATATATATATATATATATATATATATATATTTTTTTTAAGTCATTTGTTCTTTAATCTTTGATGCATCACCAAGTACGGTAAATACCATGTACCGATTGTACCGTACCGAAAATAACGGTATACCGAACATTGGTATACCGAAGTTTTTGGTACGGTAACGGTATGAATTTTTTCAATACCGCAATGTACGGTAGGTACACGGTATTGAGCTAAATATTTGGCAACCGTACCGAATCCACCCCTAGTAAATTGTATAAGCCCAAATAACAGTTCTTTGTATTCGGCTTTGTGGGCTTAATTAACACAAGACAAACAAAAATTACACGCATATTTCAGGCCCGTAAATGTAGCCAATTTTCAGGCCCAATTGAACCCAAAGCATCATATTTTCAGACCCAGATTCAGCCTATTTCAGGCAAATGTTAGCATATTTCTAGGCCCAAGTGTAGGCCCAATAAGAACAATTACCAGCATATATCGGCCCAATTTCAGGCCCGATTTGAACGATTGCAGGCATATTTTGGCCCAATATGAACAATTACAGGCATATTTCAGCCCAATTTCAGGCCCAGTAAAACCCCAACCAGAAAATCAAAAATCAAAGATCTCGAAGCTGCCGGAGATTCACCGGTCATATCATGTGTATTTCTTCTCACTACCATTGGAGTACAAGCTCGAACTAAATTATTGATTAGCTTACGAGTCGATTCGCGAGTTTTTTCTACTTTTTATTTTTTATTCTGATTATAAATGTAAATAATATGTGTAATAATATATAAAAAAAGAAATATATATAATAAATACATGATACATAAATAAAAAAATTAAAATTTCAGTTTATTTTTTATTTTTGAATTCTTTATTAATATACAATACAACAATGTATAAATGTTTATTTTTAAATACACGTATCACCTACAAAAGAGAGTGGGGGGTTTATCGTCAATTCACATTAACACATTCGAATTTCCCTCGTCCCGAAGCCCCAAATAGTAATATAGCCAGTAATAAATTTGACCGTTGGGGGAAAACCCCTCTTCCCAATTTCACTTTCTGCACAATCACAGTGACCTAATTCTCATTTCACCATCCCTAAATCACATACCCTAGAGCTTCAATTCAACTCAACAATGGTGGTGACTCTAACCCTCGGAAGTTCACAAAACCCTAACATCTCCGAAGAAAAACCGCTCCCAGAAAATGGCAAGGCTAATTGGGATTACGAGCTCTGCAGAGAACAGCGAATCAAAGAGAATCGCGAGAGAATGCAAAAGCTTGGTATTCTTAATCTCTCCGTCGAACTCAATTCCCTTAAGCCCACTCCCAGCAGATCCTCTCACCGGAAAACTCCTCCCTGCCGCCACTCTCCTCTGCCCACTCCCGGCCCTGTCCGCCGCTCCTCCAGGTGTTTTATTGCTCTTTGCTCCCTTATTGTGTGTTGGCCATTTGTATCATATGTGAGTGAGATATGGAATAAAAACGGGATCTTTTTTTAGGTTTTGTATGTAAACATTGATTAATTGCGCATTCTAAGGTTTATTTGCATGTGTCTGTATATATTTATGGTGGGAACAACAGGCTACAAAACTCGACACCGGTTACTTACTGCGAACTGAACGTGCCAAACAATGAAAAATCTTGGAATGATGTGAGGGAGGTGGGGTCCAAACCCGAAGTTTACACCGATGAACATGAAAAATTGCTGGGCAACACTGAATTGGAATGGACTCTTTTCGTTGATGGATACGGAAAAGATGGGAAGCGTATTTACGATCCTGTTAAGGGGAAGACTTGCCATCAATGCAGGTCATTTAACCCCTTTCCTCTCATTATTCTGTTTATGTTGTTTTTTGACTTGACTTAGATTGAAAATGTGAAGTTCCTGTACTATGCTTTAGATGCTCCGTTAATTTCGATACGATGCTAATTAACGCGTGCCAAACAGTACCTAATTTAAAAGGCCGAATACGGATTTTTGGGTTGCTCTCGTTGGTATGTGTATGCCCTTGTTGAAATGTGCATAGTTAGTGTATTTGTTACTGTTTCAGGCAAAAGACACTTGGCCATCGTACGCATTGCATCAAATGCAACTTGGTTCAAGGGCAGTTCTGCGGAGATTGCTTGTATATGAGGTATGACGATAAAACGGAACATCAAATTGATAAATTTTACATCCGGTAACCTTCAATTAGAAACAACTAATTCATCGATGATAAACTTGATTCCAGATATGGGGAGAATGTGCTCGAAGCAAATCAGAATCCAAACTGGATTTGCCCTGCTTGTCGTGGAATTTGCAACTGCAGTTTGTGCAGACAAGCAAAAGGGTGGCCTCCTACAGGAACCCTTTACAGAAAGGTCAAAAATTAACCCTCTCGTTTTTCGTCTCTTTTAAAACGAGCATTATCTGTAGTAGCTAACTCCAAGCTTTTTCCATGTCTACTTTTGATCAGATTTCGAGTCTTGGCTACAAGTCGGTTGCACATTATCTCATCCAAACGCGTCGCTCGAATACGGATTCCGACGAAAATGTTGGTAATAAGGTGCCGATTTCTGCGAAGAGATCACTGCCGTTTTCAGACATTGATGAACACTCAGAGAATGCTCCTCTGTCTGAATTGAATCAAGAATTCGGCGATGGTAAAATTGCTGCAGAAACTACTATGGAGCCACTGAATCACGATAAAGATTCAATACCCGAAACGGTTGAAAGAGGCGATGAAAGTGAAATCAAGAAAGAGGAGAACTTTATTCCGGAAAACGGGGATTTTATTGCACCAGAGGCGGCAACTCCAAAATCCATGAAGAAGAAGCGTGTGCTGTCTGAACCAACAACTGATAGTGATAGTATAGCCAGAAGGTTGACACAGAGGCGCAATAAGACCGACAATTGTGAGGAGACAAGGAATGAAGAAGATGTATCGAAAATAGCTGATGTGGACAGCATTGCTAGTCGATTGCGAACGAGACGGAGGGTATTATAGACCAGGTACATTCCTACTTCTTTTGAAATGAGAGATATGATCAAACTCTAATGCTGCAAAAAAATTGTCGAATATTAATCTAATTCGAGAACGACTGGTTTGCCTTATTGAAATATATTTATGCTTCGTTTGGTTTTCAAGATAAGATTGTACGATTAAATAAGGTAAGTGTTCGATAGTTTCCTAATAAATAACGGTTGACCTGAAAAAAATTATTGGACCAACTAAACGTTGAAGAAGACGACACTTACAATATTAAGACGTGTTTGGGGAGAGTCCTTTAGACAAGTACTTAGATTAATTTAATTGCTTTTGACTAATCAAGTAACAAATCAATTAAAGAAAATCATCACATGCTAGCAAAAAGTGACTCAAAGCAAAAGGGCACCCATACAAGAAAAAAGAATCCACCTACCTTCTCCTCAATCATTCTTAAATGGAGTTACTTCAAATTCAAATTGACATAAAGCACTACATTTAGGGCTTTTGAAATACATTATTGGGTAAATTGCACTTAACCCCCTCTGGTTAGAGCTTTGTGTACATTACCCCCTGAAATTAGTATTTTATAAAGTTCTTGAAATTAGTATTGTTAAGAATTAACAAATAAATAAATGAAGGTGGTTTTTAAAATGAAAGTAACATCTAACAAAAACACGCTGGTTTTTCTTAAGGAATAATTCATTGAATGTATTTGCCCAAAATACAAATCCTTTGACAACACTCCAAAAGATTATGTTATTATTGTATTATATATATATATATATATATATGCATACAAAAAATATATAATTATTGATTCAATAGTATTTTCCTCTTGTTTGCTAGAATTACATCAATTTAACCAAAAAAAAATGTAATTTTGATTCATACACATCGATTGACATTTTTCATGCCATTTTTTAGCAATCAATTGGTAAATTGTCATTGTCAATGAGGAAATACGATTTAAAACATTCGACGAATTTTATCAGATTATATTATATCCAATACAAGTTTTATACACATTAATTAGTATATGTGTATAATATAATTACGCGTATATAAATAAAATATGAAAAATACGGAATTTAATTAATTCACCGAATAATGTAGCATTAGGAGAGGATTTTGGACCATAGGATGCTTTTTCAATGGAGAGGTTGATAGCAAATAAATGCAATAAAACGAACACATATTATCTGCATTTATTACTCGACAATGTACTGAAAACTACTTAATATATATATATATATTATATATATATATATATATATATATATATATATATATATATATATATATATTATGTGAAATTTTAATTTCTACTGATGCATGTATGCATAATTAAAATTACATAATTAATCTGCTGAAAATATGATTTTGTTTAAGAATATAAATTAGGAAAGGTGGGGAAGAGTGAGAGAGAGAGAGAGAGAGAGAGAGAGAGAGAGAGAGAAGGCATTAATTATGTCTGTGTTTGTGCAACGGTTCCAATATTTTGTACCTCGTGTCCTATTTATTGTTTCTGTGTAGGTTAGTTGAGCCCAATATATACATACAGTATATAAATAATTTGCAATAAAAAAAAAATATTATTTAAGTTTAGTTATAACTGTAATTTTACTCAATAGATTTTCTGAACCAGCATAAATTATTGAGTTGATTGATTTAATAATTAATATACATACATGTAAAAGAACTTTGTGTAGCTGGGCCACTATGGTATATGCTTAATTCTCATAATTGAATTAGTTAAATAATCGGATTTGTTGGTAGTCGTCGTCCTGGATTTATTATTATTATCTTTATTTTTTAAGTAAAAAATAGCCATTACTTGGGACTTTTCACCAGATGTAGCATCTTATAGACTGAAATTAAGTACAAGTGGGACAATCGAGCACTTAAAATTCCCCTAATATTTAATCATTTTATTTTATATATATTGTATATTTATAAACATTACTCCGCAATTAGTGATAATAATATCCCACAAGCCAATGTACTCGAAAACCGAACAAACTGTCTTTGGCTTCAAACCTTATAACAATGTCGGAATTTGTTAAAATCAGTAATTTCTTACCGACATTTAATCCTTTATTATTGACTATCCATTTAGTTTGTAATTACACAAATATGAAGAATTTTTTTTCTGATCTTACCTAATTTACCGATTAAGTAATGCTTTAACGTAAGTGCTGTTTAAACTGCACATGCACAATAATTAATTAGTCAGCCTCATCAAATAAATTAATTACCCGATAATAATAAACTTCTAAACAAGTGATTAAAATTTAAAACCAAAGCCCATTAAGATAAAAAAAAAAAAAAATCAAGATCTAGGCAAAAGTTAATTTTTTTTAATATTAAAAATCACAAGATGTTCAGTTAAAAACTTCCAAGAAAAATAAGAGGGCTGTGACAGAAAACAGCTTTTAAAAACAACTTATTATTTGACTTTTTTTTAAGCATTGACTATTAACTATTAAGCGGTAATTGGTGGGGACCCACCACAATTTGTTTAATCAAGAACCGATTTTTATTTTGGATAAATATTAAGGTGGTGTTTGCAAATGATTATTTAAAAGTAGAAGTTAGTGATTGTGATTTAAGTTAGTTTTAAGTGTTTATTTTTAAAAGTTGGGGGTGTTTGCAAATATTCCAGAAAATGAACTTAAATAGAAAAAACAGGGTTAGGGGTGCTTTTAAAAAAATAGCTTAAAGCATATTATTTTAAGAGAAGCAAAAGCAAAAGTTGATTTTGCAAACACGTAAAAACAGATTATGAGAAAAAAAAACCGCATAATCACTTTCAAAAAGCATTTGCAAACACCACCTAAATATAAGTGGGCAGAATCAAATTATATTGATTATTGGGTGAGTAGAAAAGTCAAACGTGAATTTTTTCGACACTGTTTGTTTGAGAGCATAAAGGCAGGTTTGTGTTTAGCACTACTAATCACTTTTAGAGATACTGCTGCTTAAATAGAGTCAATGTCAAAGGAGGAGAGAGAGAGAGAGAGAGGTGTGAGAAACAGAGCGGCTGATATATATATACTGATATAGAGAGAGAGAAAGAGAGAGAGAGAGAGAGAGAGAGAGAGAGAGAGAAGAGTGGGGGTGGTGGTAATGAATAGGGGTATGTTTTCGGATTCACAAATGAAGTAAATGTGCATTTGTTGTGGCGGGTCTGTCTTAAATTTCTTTGCAGAGAGATAGAGAGAGAGAAGAGAGAGAGAGAGAGAGAGAGAGAGAGAGAGAGAGAGAGAGATATTCAACCACAAAAGAGGAGGTGGTTTCTTTCATTGATTTTACAGGACCTTCTGAAGGAATTTTTTTTTCTTTTTTCTTTTTTTTTTTTCCAAATAGCTGTTCTTGATGTGGTTTTGATTTTATTTTCTTTCTTCCGGGATCTGGGTTTTGTGTTGTTTTCTCACTAATCTACTGAGATTCTTACAAGTACGATGTTCAAAGTTTGAATCTTGGAATTTCCACATCTTCTCTCCGCCATTTCTTCCACAGAATGTGCAGTTTGTAAAAACTCTATCTTGAAGAAATTATCGAATCTAGGGTTTCGCTGATCTGCAGCAGACATTGACTTTTTTTTCAATTAATTTCGGACACAGTTCATTTCAACTGAAAAATCTGTTCGAAAATCCGCCCCCAATCCAAATGCTGCTGCTGAACTCTGATTTTGGAAAGCAAAGTTATATTCTGGAGGAAGCTTTTCTTTCTGCTTTCACCCCTTTTGCTTTTTGGGGATTTAGGGTTTCAACTTTGAACTGACCCTCCTTTTTTTTTGCCTTGCTTGATTTTGTGTAATTCTGTTTCTGAAATTGATTGTACAGAATATCAGAATATACAGACCTGTAAAAGAAAAAAATCAAGATTTAATGCATCTCTCTCTGTGGAAGCCATTGTCTCACTGCGCTTCTCTGATCCTTGACAAGAAGAGCAGCAGAAGAAGAGATGGTTCCGAAAATTCAACCGAAACGAAATCGAATTCAAGAAAACTGCAGGAGAGCAAACTCAGGGAGGCTCTCGAAGAAGCCTCCGAAGACGGGTCCCTCATCAAATCGCAAGACATGGATTCCGATTTACTACCAAATCAAGACGAAGGCAGCGGCTTGGGCAGATCAAGATCCCTCGCCCGGTTGAACGCCCAGAAGGAATTCCTCAGAGCAACTTCCCTCGCAGCCGAGCGGACGTTCGAGTCGAGCGACTCGATCCCGCAACTCAACGAGGCCTTCTCCAAGTTCATCACAATGTACCCGAAATACGAGTCGTCCGAGAAAATCGATCAGCTGAGAGAAGAAGAGTACTCAAATCTGTCGCTCTCCTCTTCGAAGGTATGCCTCGATTACTGCGGATTCGGGCTTTTTTCGTTGCTGCAAACTGTTCATTATTGGGAATCGTCCACGTTTAGTTTGTCTGAGATAACCGCTAATTTGAGCAATCATGCTTTGTACGGTGGTGCCGATAAAGGCACGGTGGAGCACGATATAAAGACTCGAATAATGGATTATCTGAACATACCCGAAAATGAATACGGCCTTGTCTTTACAGTGAGCCGTGGCTCGGCTTTTAAGCTCCTGGCTGAGTCGTACCCTTTCCACACGAACAAAAGGCTGTTGACCATGTTTGACCACGAGAGCCAATCGGTGAATTGGATGGCTCAGAGCGCTCGAGACAAAGGCGCAAAAGTCAACAGCGCGTGGTTCAAATGGCCCACCTTAAAACTCTGTTCCACCGATTTGCGGAAGCAGATTTCGAACAAGAAGAAGAGGAAGAAAGATTCTGCGACAGGGTTATTTGTATTCCCCGTTCAGTCGAGAGTCACCGGTGCAAAGTACTCGTATCAATGGATGGCGCTTGCACAGCAGAACAACTGGCACGTCTTGCTCGATGCTGGTGCATTGGGCCCTAAAGATATGGACTCTCTTGGATTGTCTCTATTCCGACCCGATTTCATCATCACTTCGTTTTACCGGGTTTTCGGGTACGACCCGACTGGATTCGGGTGTCTTTTAATCAAGAAATCCGTGATGGCCAGCCTTCAAAATCAGTCCGGCCATGCGGGGTCCGGTATAGTTAAGATCACGCCCGTTTTTCCTCTCTATTTGAGCGATTCGATGGATAATTTCCCTGGTTTTGGCGAAGAAGACGAAGAGGAAGCTATTGATGTTAATTCCGAAGCTCGCCCAGGTGGGTCCCAGTTACCTGCCTTTTCGGGTGCGTTCACTTCCGCTCAGGTGAGGGATGTTTTCGAGACTGAAATGGAGCACGATAATAGCTCCGATAGAGACGGGGCGAGCACTATATTTGAGGAAAGTGAGAGTATCTCGTTTGGAGAAGTGATGAAAAGCCCGGTTTTTAGTGAGGACGAATCTTCGGATAACTCGTTGTGGATTGATTTGGGGCAGAGTCCGTTAGGGTCCGATAATGCCGGCCAAGCGAACAACAAGTACAAGGTGACATCATCATCTTCGTCTCCATTGCCGCCCGCATGGTTTTCGAGCCGAAAAAATAATAATAACAATAATAATAATAAGATGATGACTTCTCCGAAAGCAACGAAGGAATTGTCGTTCGACGCTGCGGTACGATCGGTTTCTCAAGAATTCGACCACTTCAAGGAGATGATACCCGAAGAAGAAGAGGAATACACGGAGAGGAGGCAATGTGGGACCACCCCAATTGATGAACATTTTCAAGAAATTACCGAAGAGCCAGAAATCAGCAACTCGATTTGTCTCGAGAAGGAGAGTGCGATAAGGAGAGAGACGGAAGGTGAATTTAGGCTGCTCGAGAGGAGGGAGAGAAGTAGAAGAGTTGCAGGGGGAAGATTTTTCGGTATAGAAGAAACGGAGCAGAACGGGAGTAAAGGGAGAAGGGTGTCATTTAGTACAGAAGACAACAATAGCAATAACCATAGAGGGAATCTCAGTACGGAATATTCTGCCGCTAGTTTAGACGACGAAGACTACATGAGCAATGGGGAATACGAAGACGATGGTCAAGATTCAGACAGGGGCGAACCGGAAATAAGCTGCAGGCATCTTGACCACATAAACATGTTGGGGCTAAACAAGACAACTTCCCGGCTGAGGTTCTTGATTAACTGGTTGGTGACTTCTCTACTGCAGTTGAGGTTGCCAGGTGGCGGTTCGGCCAATGACGGTGCGCCACTTGTCCATATCTACGGCCCGAAGATTAAGTACGAGAGGGGCGCTGCAGTGGCGTTCAACGTGAGGGACAGAAACAGGGGTTTGATAAGTCCGGAAGTTGTGCAGAAACTGGCCGAGTCGAACGGAATTTCGCTGGGAGTTGGAATACTGAGCCATATTCGGATATTGGATAGCTCGAAACAGCAGAGGAGGTTGTCTTCGAGTTTGGACGATACTACACTCTGCAAGCCGATGGAGAACGGGAAAAACGAAGGCAAGAACGGGTTTATTAGGGTGGAGGTTGTGACTGCTTCATTGGGGTTTTTGTCGAACTTCGACGATGTGTACAAGCTGTGGGCGTTTGTGGCCAAGTTTCTTGATCCGGATTTTGTGAAAGAGGGTGGCGCGCTTACGCCCGTTGAAGAAGAGGTCGAACTATGATGGGTTTATTCTTCTTTTTTGTTGGTTAATTTTTTTTTAATTTTTAATTTTTGGGCATATTTTGGTGGCAATTTGGTGCAGATAGAAGATGCGGAAATGGTGTTGATGATGATAAATATTTGAATGAAAAAAGATGCGTCTTGTTGTATTATGTAAACTGGCTTTATTATTTATTCATTCTTGTTCTTCATTTTGTTGGTGTTTTTCTACTTGCAGTTTCATTGCATTATCTCCCCAATGCCATGATATTTGTTTGAAATTTTGACAATATTTCTGAAAAACACACACACAAACACACACACACACACACAAATATATATATATATACATACAAACATGAGGGATTTTTTCGTAATTTAACCTTATCAAGGGTGAAAGAGAAATAGGTAAAGAAGAGAAAAGGAAAACTCAGTCAGTCCAATTTTGGTTCAATAATCATTATTTTTGGGGCACACCATTTATAATTGTTTGCCATGGATATAATGGCTAACAGGGTGTGATGATTATAATAATTTATTTATTTATTTATTTTTCAAGATAGGTTGATCTCCACTACGCCCTTATTTTTAAGACATGCACACGATGATTGAACCTCAACTTTTCATAAAACAAAAAACAAAAGATACCATTCAAACAGCACAAGAAAAAAAAATTCCATCATAAAAAAAAAAAAGACAGCATAAAAGCATAAAGAAGGTTTGTGCATTTGACAAATTAATTCTTAAGTTTTGGCAGGAAAATAAGCATTATATATATACATACAGAGGCAATACTTGTGGAATAATGAATTGTAAAGCGAGAACAAATATGATTGCCCATCACCTTTTACATACTCGTAGATGAGCAATTGCTCGTTTTACGTACAAAAGATAACACCTTTTTATTAATATTATCTTTTTTCTCAATCAAAAAACCGAGAGCCCTTTTCGGGTTTCATCCAAAAAGTTGAATCTGGTAAAAGCAGCTCAGAAAATAAGTTACCTAATTACGGCAGTATAATTGATTCACCTTCTTATTCATGGTTTAAGAATCGACCATCTTGATGAGAAAAGCAGTTTCCATCGCTGCCTCCTTGGATTGCAAATATCTGTTTTCCTCAACTATGTCTGTTGTTAAATTAAGAATTACTGGACGACTAGGATCGTAGATAGAATATTCCCTCACTCGAGCGACCCATTTTGCTGCTTCCCAGACCCCGAATCTGATATTAATTAAGTTTCAATGATGAATGCCAGTGTACATACTCGGACTAAGAAACAGCGAAAAGAGATCAAATTACCTCGTATTAAAAGATGATGTCACCAGAATGGCAGGGTAAAGTGCGTCTTTCTGGATATTGTCATAGGGAGAACATTCACGTATAGACCGAAAATCTTCTATATCTCCAGGGTATCCAAACTCCTCGTAGTCATCGGGTGTTAATGGTAAAATAGGTAGCAGAAGAGTGTGTGTTGGATCTAAAAACGGAACCTATACATGTAACAAAAAAAACAATTTCAACTCGGGGATCTAAATTAAATTAACTTTTAACATTTCTTGCGAATGAAACTGAAGCCTTATATATAAGCAGACATCAAACATAGCAAATTCAAGTGAGAAATCGAGAAAGGTGTTTCAGAATTGATCCCACCTTCAAAACCGCAGCTCGAAATAAATCGGGACAATAATTGATAGCTGAAGCAACTAAAAACCCTCCAGCACTATATCCACAGCCAGCCAATTTAGTTTCTTCCACAACCTCTCTTTCGATAAGAAACTTAGCACAAGATATGTAATCCTTCACAGAGTTAAGTTTCTTCGTTCTCCTTCCATCATGGTGCCATTTTCTACCGCCACCACCTCCACCCCTGGAAATTAATGAGTCAGTAATCAAAAGAATTTGTAGTTCAGGGTATTTTTTCGAAGCCAAAAAAAAAATCTGACTGAAAAAAAAAACGGAGAAAAAAACAGATGAACGACAACCTGACATCAGCATAAGCAATCACCCAACCACGATCAAGAAGGCTTTTCATCTCATTTCGCCACCTTTTGTCGAGTACTTCACCATAAGCACCATGCCCATGCAGTAAGCCAGGATTTTCACCATTTGTTTTCCTATGTCGAGAATATAGTATGGTGAGAGGAATCAGAGCCCCATCATACGAAGGGACCTCATATTCTTCACAGGCATAGTATTCAGAGAGATCGTTCCATGTGCTTTCGTCTGCAGCACTATTTTCGGATAGGTTATTGGGTATCCGACTATTGCTTGTAGAAGAGGCTGATCCATACAAAACCCGCGTTCTTTCATAGAGCAGATTTTGCTGTTGGACAATAGTCCACTGTCCACTCAGTAAATCATAGTCAACTACTGCATCAGGCATCTAGCACAGAAATTAAGCAAATGCATAGGTAAGTAATGTAAGAGAAAAATATATTCTAGTGGTGTCATAAATATGCGATATCATATCCTTCTTGATAATGGAAAGACAGATGCCATGCAACTACAACTATCAATATGCGATATCATAATTCACCACAATTCACAACCCTACTCAAGTATATGATGAATCTCGTCAGACCACCTAATTCTAGGAAGAATTGACAAAAGCAAGAATCTTTACATACCACAGGTGATGTTATTGTAAAGCGCATGGTCGAAGAATTGAAGTCATAATTTGGTCCTGGAAATATTTGGGATACATGATCTGGAAGAGGCAATTTCTGCAGATTGAACTCTTTAAGATGAGCTCCTACCTGCCAAAACCATTGTTCAGAAAACATTGCAGACACTGTATAGTCGTACTAGCATAAACGGAAAACTATAATTGGAAGTAAAAAGGAACTGGACTGGGAATAAATTTGGCATGTATTTAAATGACCAGAACGCCACATTACCTTGTCATTACTTAGAGGTAAAGAAACAGAGTACAGTCCGTATTTCCCTCTGTCCTTTACAGTAAGTAGCAAATGTGAGTGACAAAAGTCAACATCTTCAATAGTCAACAGTTGGTCATTAGCAAAAACATTCTGCAGAATACAAGAGAAGAAGAGTATGAGGCATGCTGAGAAACCTAGACACGTCCAGAGGTTAAGGATCATGCATGAGTATCTTATTATTACAGAAGTATGCTAACCTCCCAATTCCTTGGACTACACGAAGAAGTAACAGGACTACGTAAAAGGTAATGGTGATCAACAGGTTGACCCTGCATAGCGGCATCGGTAAACAGGTAGAGGTATCCTTGATGATGCTCAACAATGCAATGTGTGTTCGGCTCACATTCCCAGACAAGAGTCAGTCCGGATAATGGATCGGCTGCATTTATTAGATAGACCTAATAGTGGGTCACTAACGAAATTCCCAGTTCAAAAATCGAGTATTTAATGGGGGGAAACATTCTTGTGAGCATACCTTCGATGATTGAGTTGAAAATACGTTTACGGTCAAATACTGGAAGTCTTTAGTATGTCTTACACTCAGATGAACATTTTCTTGAGGTTCCTCCAAAATCAATACATCCTCGTCATTTGAACCAATCATGCTACAATAGATCCTGGGAAGAAACAAATCTCAAATTTATTTGTAGGTCCAATAGAATCAGATACAGATATTGTGAAGGACAAAATTAGCCATACCAACCTAAAGGGCCTCTTTTTATTATCTGTGACTACGTAAAGTAGTGCCTGCCCATCTTTAGCCCAAGCTATATTGGATACCCGGTCGGCTTGGGGCTTACTACAAAGGGACCCAAAATTCAAGTCTCGAACAGATAATTTGAAGTAATCATTATCCTTGTCGTACATAGTGTACGCAAGATATCGGTGATCAGGTGAAACTTCTGATAGTTCTTCATAAGCGTAACCTGTTTACAAAAAAATAAAAATAAATGTAAATTTAGAGAAAAATGACGAAGTCAATTTGAAGTAGTAAAAGGTGAAAATCCAAGTTTACAACGACAATTGGTACCTCCAAATCTTTCAGCTTCTTGATTGTAATCGAGCAGCTTTTGCTCGATTTTCTTTCCTGATGTGAAATCAAAACCAGATGACGGAGATTTATTGGAAATAAACTCTTCATTTAACTTTGCTAATCTCCGACATAATACTGTATATTGCTTGCCTTCTTCAACTCGCCTATAGTATAACCTGCACTGACCAGAAATAAAACAGGACACGAAAATTTAACAAAAATTAACAAAAGTACATTAGCTTTCATTATCGAACTAAAATTCATCCCAACTCACGAGCTATTTTTTCTGAAGAATTAGCTTTCATTATTGAACTAGAATTCTTAAAATTCACATACTAAGCCACGACTCAAATATCAGAAAAATTAATAAAATTAATTGCAGAAACAATAATTAACAGAGGCGGGGCACTGAAATTACCAAGGACCCCAGCGGAGGGGAGGGGTGGCGAGTTCGGCGGCGAGGCGGGAGGCAATCTCCGATTGGAGCTTGGACTGGAGGCGGTCGGTGTCGGACATCACAGCCTCAGTGTACTTCTCCTCCTGCTCCATGTACACGTCCATGTGCCGCATCGCCACCTTGTCATTCAGCTGCGACATCCAGTTGTACTCGTCTTCCCAGGACTCCCCGTGCAGGGAGAAACTCACCGGCTTCTTCGGGGGTTTCGGCGGCGACGGCGGGGCGGGAGGTGGCTGGGGCCTCTGGGCCTTGTAATCGGCGCATTGGATGATGAAGCGGTGCCGGAGGAGGGGACGGCGGACGACGGTGAGCAGGTGGCGCATAGCAATTAGTGTTCGGAAATAAGATTTAGGGCAACCGTAATCGAACAAACAGCTAGAATTTACAGGGGTTTTACATTTGGCCTTCTGCAAATGTCCATTGAGGGTTTAATTAGAACGAACATGTTAATCAGAGAAAATATGAAACGATGTCGTTTTACTGTCAAACATGAAACGACGTCGTTTTACTATTAAATTCCAATATGAGTAAATAATTAAATTATGCATGGGCAATTTAAAATAATGAAATAAATATGATAAAAAAATAATGAAATAAAATTAAAATCCACAATTCATTTCATTTCTCAATTCTCTTCTCCAAACCTCTCTTCTGATTCTCTGCAGATAAACAACAGGCCGCCATTAAAATGGCTATGAAGAAAAAAAACCGGCCTTCATTCTTCGCGGTTTTGGTCCAGGACTACATCAACAAACTCGTAAGTCATTCTATTTTTTCACACAGCCACCACCAAATTAATTATATTATACAGAGAATTTTTCAAAAAAATAAAACTTTTTTCGGATCGATGATTTACAGTAGCCTTGTTGTGTAACTGCACGTGCAGCAAGTTCCGCCTGCTTTTGTGCGAAAATGTGGATTTAATTGGCCTGAAAATGCACAATTGAGAACCAGCTGTGGAGAAATTTGGGATGTGAAAATCGAGGAATTCAACGAGTGCAAATACTTCACTGTGGGCTGGCGTAAGTTTGTCGAAGATGCAGAACTCAGGAGAGAGGAATTTTTGGTGTTCTGGTTTAATATTAATTCTTCCATATTTGATGTTTCCATTTTTGGAATTGGGGGTTTGGAGAGGGGCATTTCTGTCCAACAAAATATTTCCATTACAGAGGATGAACTGGATGATGATGATGATGATGATGATGATGATGATGATGATGACGACGAAGACGACGACGATGATGATGGTGATGATGCCCTAGCTCCAGGTATTTATAAATTTAATTTAAACATTTTATTTTGATAAAGAAATGTCTTTTTATTCAAAGGTTTTAGATAAATTTTATATAATTCTTCTGAAACAAAATATAAATACTGCATAATATTTATCATAATTGTTAACTGTTGTTAATTGAAACTAATTAAGCTTTTAAAATTTGCATCATATTAATATTAATTCTTTGCTTACCTTATTATGCTCGATCATGTACGGAAAACGAAGCTGGAAACGGTCCACGGTTCGATTTGCTTCTCAAGAAACATCACATTTCAAGGCTGGTAAATATTTGAACGAAGCCGATCGATGATCTTGAATTGGCTATTTTACGTTATTATTATTATTAATTTTTTTATTTTTACTCTTACATTATTAATCATGCATGTGCTTAATTTTCTTTGAATTTGTTGAACTCTAGCAACTTCGAAAAGATTTTGTTGTGGCAGCTGGCTTACTGAGGGAAAACGCCGTGATTCTAGAATATCCTCCGTACAAGCGTCGTTGGACGGTTACACTGCACCGCTACACGAATGTTAAAAAGTTTAGGATCGACATGTCGAGGGGGTGGAGTGGATTCAGACGAGCAAATGATCTCGTCTGCGGGAAAACTTACTCGTTTCAGTACATTAAGGATAAGAACGTCGTCGAGGTTAAGCCGGTCGAGGTTAAGCCGTTCCGTTAAGTAGGAATTATTTACGTTGATCAAGAATCCGATTAGCATTAATTTCGTGTTTTCGTTTCTTTTCTGTATTTTTTTTTTGTTATGTATGTATGAATCTTTTGGTTCAAAATCGGAAGTTTATTATATATTGTACTTGTAATCTTATTATGCATTGGAATTTAGAACAAAACTCCAACAGTTTCATCATATTATTTTATTTTTAATCATAAACTCGAATAATTTATTCTCATTGCATCAAATATATTGGAAACATAGACGACAAAAAGAATATAATAACTAAATAAAGCAAATATAATAGATTTTTGTATTATATTTTATTTCTTGAGATTTGATATGCATCTCATTAATTATTATTTATTAGTCTGACGAGAAATGACTTGACATCGACATATATGATATATATGATTAACATCAATTTTTGCAAGAAAGGTGCTAATAAAAAATTCACCAAATAATTATTCCTTTAAGCAATTTAATAAATAAATAAAAAAAATCGAATGCAATAAATTATCTATGCCGTAATGAAAGGCATCTACCCTAGCTAATACCTAATTAATAAGTCAAACTCTATGCCATAATGAAAGCCAATTGAGTGCATGCAGTTTCTAGTTTCATCTTCAAATTCAAATTCAAATTAAATTACCCTGCAGATTTATTTGACCTAAAAATCATGGGCAGGAGCCCTAAAATGAAGGCTTCATTTTTCCAAATTTTGATCAACACTCTCTCACTCGTAACTCATTTCATCGATCTGCATGGCTTCTTTTTTTTTTTTTTTTTTGTGCGTTTTTTTCCTTATGAATTAATTAATAAGTAGTTGTTGTTGTTATTATTTGCAGAGATTGTGTCGAAATTTCGCGCGGAAGTACAGAGAAATCCTGCCGGAAAATGCCGAACTAAGAATATGCTCCGGCGAAACATGGGACGTGGAGCTCACGCAGATCGACGGCGACCATTACTTCACCGCCGGTTGGTCGAAGTTCGCCGGAGATTTGGAGCTGCGGCCGACGGATTTTCTTGTCTTCACCTTCGGAGGCGGATCGACGTTCGATGTTTCCGTTTATGGAAATGATTGCTGTGAGAAGAAACCCTTGTACCATGATTCTTGCAGCTCCGATGAACAAGCTTATGATTTTTTCAGTAAGTCCTTCTTTATTTATATTTATATTTTTAATTTTTTTAATTTTTTTTTAATTTTATTAATTATTTCATGAAATTAGGTCACAAGAAGAACAAAAAATCAAGAATCCATGATGATAACAACTCCAATAATCCACGGATTGAAATAGTTCTCAAGAAGCATCAAAACTCAAGAGTGGTAATTACTATTAATTAATTACTAATAATAATTAATTAAACCTGATTATCAATGTATATAAAGTATAAACATATTACAGCAGTGTTAACTTGAGTTTAATTTCTTTTACAAATTAATTAATAAATTAATTTCAGACTATACGCAAGCATTTCGCGGAGGCGGCGGGTTTAATTAATAAGAAGAAAGTGGCTATGGAGTACGTAGGTGGATACCGAAACGACGTCGTACTGGATTTGAGGACGGAGAAATGTTCGTTTTTCAGACTCGATTTAACAGCTGGCTGGCCGGAGTTTCGGAAAATAAATAGGTTGTCGGTGGGGAAAACCTATTTGTTTGAGTTTATTCCAAGTAAACAGGTTATTCAAGTTAAGCCCATAAAATAAAAAAAAAATATTTTGACTGCATGCATGCACGCTTCTATTAATTAGCTGACGTGGCAATTCAGTTCAACTTTGTATTAGTGTAATTCCTATTTAAGTATGTTTGTATGTAATTTTGTGTGTGTATGTGGACAAAAGATTTTGACCGACAAATTGAAAGAAGCCATATTAATTGGTTTCTTTATATAGTCATATTAATTAGAGTACGTGTCTTATTTTGATTGGCCGAATGTCATTATTAATCCTTCAAAGTATATATATATATATATCACTTTAGTCCCCTCTCTGAAATGTATGACAATAATATCCCTTAGATGTCAAAATCAACAATCACTTAATTAAGATGGATTAGAAGCTAATTAATTTCCAATTTTCTCTATTTATGTGCCTTCAACTTTTGAATCGCTTTTCTTGATTGGAGTGTGTAGAATTAACAAGTAATAATTTCATAAAAATTGTACAGTACAGTAGAAAAAAAAATTAATTAATGGGAATAAAATAAATAACGTGACATATATATTGAATTGATCGATGCAGAAAATATAAACATATTCAAAATCTTGTAGTACGTAACAGTATCAATAATGCAGGGTTGTGATTTTTGCCATTTGCATGCAACTTGTACAACAAGATTAATTCTACCTGACAAAAAGCCAAAAGCAAAACCACATATTCAATTAATATTGTCTTAATTTTTTACATTTAATATTTGTCTTAATTCTTAACCTATCAAGTATCAACCACCAACCTGCATGCACATTTAATAATATATACATATATATGAGCTCCAATCAAACCCTAATTTATATACAGTTTTGAAAAATCGAAAATCTGCAGCAGAAAAGAAGACACAGAACTTTCATGGCGCCGAAGTTTGTTATCGTCTTGAAGCATTCCCACACTTCGAGAGTGGTAACGTACAATCAAAATCTATAAAAAAATTCTATTTTTTGTTAGAGTTTTGACATGCATGCATGATTAATTACTAAAGTTTTTTTTTTGGTTTTATTTACGATTAATAATGAATGAAATCGATAGAGCATATGCAAGCACTACGCGGAGGAGGCAGGTTTGATGGGGAAGAAACGGGTGGTACTTCAATATCGACCGGGCGGGTATTGTTCGAGCGTTGTGCTCGATTTTAGGTCGAAGAACATGAGGTTGAACAAGAAGGGTTTTAGGCTCGATTTTGCTCAAGGGTGGCGTGATTTTCGAGTAGCGACTGGGATGCGTTATTACAGAGCCTATTCGTTTGAGTTCATTCCTAGCAAGGGGTTGATTGAGGTTATGGAGGTCTGAAGATTACCAAGTTATTCGAATATTCCAATATAATTCGGCTTTACTTTATATATATATTTATTGCATTTTCTATATGTTACGTTTTTGTTTATTATTAATTCTGAACATTTGGATGATTGTAATATCAGTCTCTTTTTTTTTTGGATGTATTATTATATTATATTATACTAATTATTTAGTAATTAATCTTTAATTTAGCTTAATTTGGTGTACAACTTACATTAGCTCAAGATGAATATCTGTAATCATTTTAATTTAATTAGATGATCATGATGAAGTTGTATTGTATACCAAATTAAATGGAAGAAACATCATTTGAATAATCCACGTTGGCATTCTAAAATTTCCGACCGTTAGTAATTAATTTATTATGAATAAAGGAAAACATAATAAATATAGCGTGAAATTAAAGAAAGAATGAACAATATACAGCTGGTAATTAATTTTTTTTTAGCTGGTAATTAAATTAAAGGAACAAATTAAAATGAAATAATTTGAGGAAACAAATTAAAGAACATATAAAATCAGGTGCAGAAAAAAATACCAAAAGCGTGAAAGCGATTTATAGAGGAAAAGAAATTAATAAACTCGTAGAGGAAAACAAACGCAGTGATTTGATCCCTTTGCATGAAACTTTGTACAAGAGATTTACTAGCTGACAAAAAGCAAACCCTATTTATTCAATTGTTTGATTTATATTTATTTACATTTAATAATGTATTTAACCTATCAACAACCACCAACCTGCATGCATATTGATATATGACGAGGTTGTCTTAAATGTTTATATATGAGCTCCACCAAACCCTAATTTCTACACAGCTTTGAAAAATTAGAATTCTGCAGCAGAAAAAAAATTCAAGGTGCTTTGAAACAGAATATCCATGGCGGCGATGAACCCTAGAACCGGGAGAAACTTCGTCACTCGATCAGTCGTAAGTCGCGATTCATCGATCTCTTACTTCATTAATTACTTTTTAAATATGCCATGCTTTATATAAATTTATACAGGTTGTAATGCATGAATATTTATAACAAAATGATAATCAACTATGTGAAAATATCGATTAGGGGTGAACATATATACCCGCTCGACCCGCCCAAAACCCGCATGTTTTAAAATTTATTATTTGTACAGCAGTTTGATCGAAAAGTGAGAAACCCGCACAGTACGGGTCGGTTGGCGCGGGTCCCGCTTCAAACCCGACCCTCACCCATACCCATACCCATAATTGAAGTATAAACGGGTTCAGTTGGACTCTCTTTTATATGTCTGTATTGCTTGTCCGTTTTGAAAATTTTAGTTGTATAAGAATTAGCTTATTTCTACTCAACTGATGTTGGATGTACATTATTTAGATTTATAAAAAAAATTGTAATCCATTTTCTCTTCACCCGCCCGCCCGCAACCCGCCTGCTAACTGCCCAACCCGACGAACCCGAACTGTGCGGTTTTCAACCCGCCTGTTTCGAGTCACGTTATTTTTTTTTTCTCAAACCCGCCCGTGTTCACCCCTAATATCGATACATATAGATCACTTGTTCGACGAAATTCCCCGCAGATCAGAATATATAGATTCATGTTTATAATTCTTATTTTATAGAAAATATTTTTTTACAATGTTAGAATTTATTTATTCTAAAAAAGATGCTGCTGGAATTTTAAGGATAAGATTCTGGTAATTTATTTCTTGAAAATGTTTGGTACTGTTAATTTTTTATCTGAACTGTGCTAGCTAGCTAATTAAATATATATATATATATATATATATATATATATATATATATATATATATATATATATATATATATGAATAAAATCATGACTTATATATATATTTTGCAAAATCAAACTGTGCAGAAGGGTACAACCATGGAAACGAAGAGTACAACTAAGCCTTCCTTTTTCCAGATCCTGATCCACAGAGATTTCACTAGATCACTGGTGAGCTTCTGATCCATTAATCATTTTTTTTTTTTTGAAGTTTTAATTAAGTATTGTGTGTGTGTGTGTGTGTGTTTGTGTGTGTGCAGAAAGTGCCGCTAGCTTTCGGACAGAAACACAAAAATATCCTAACCGAAAACATGAGGCTGAGGATCGGTTCGGGAGAAACATGGGACATAAAAGTCGAGCAAGCGGACGACGGGCATTACTACTTCACCAAGGGCTGGAAAGACTTCGCCCTAGATTTGAAGCTCGAGCGCTCTGACTTTGTCGGTTTCACGTTCGACGACAATTCGACCTTCGACGTAACCGCATGGGGGTCCGACGGGTGTGGGAAGGAATATTCCTTCCCACATCCTTACGTCGTTGTTGACGACGACTCCTCAGAAGACGAGCTGCTCGAACAACAAGAAGAAGAGACGAACGTGATCAACCCTAAGTTCGTCATCGTTTTGCAGCGGTCGCATATTTCAAGAGTGGTAATTAATCAATTAAAAAAAATATATATTAATATTTCACTAATTTGTGTTTTTGTTTTTCTTTGCTTTATGATTGATTTAATATAATTTGTATAGAGCATATGCAAGAACTATGCGGAGGAGGCTGGTTTGATAGGGAAGAAGAGGGTGTTTTTGGAGTATCAGCCGGGCGGGTATCGTTCGAGTGTGGCGCTCGATTTTAGGTCGAAGAATATGAGGCTGAATAAAAATGGTTTCAGGCTTGATTTCGCAAAGGGTTGGCGTGATTTTCGGAAAGCGACTGGGATGCACTTTTACCGAACTTATTCGTTCGAGTTCATTCCTTGGAAGGGGGTGATTCAGGTTAAGGAGGTCTGAAGAAGTTATTCAACAATATATTTATTGCATTTTATGTATGTTTTGTATAATTAATTCTGAACATTGATCCGGTTGATCACAAGTTAATTACTTAATCACATGCAACAGTTGGAGTGCTAATTATATATATTAGTAATTACTTGTGTTAATTAATTAGCTAGCAAGTAATCTTAAATTTTGCATGTGTGCAGCATGCACAATTTACATTTGCCAATATGAATTTCTGCAATCACACCACAATTAATTTAATTAAGTAGGTAAATAGATGAATTTTGATTTTCATATTGGGGAGGGCGAAATGGTCAATAATAACAGTGTGGAGTCGAATTCGATCTAAGAACATGAGTAAAATCAAGAATATAGCAACTCTGTTATCTTGCAAACATAACTGAACTTCAATCAATGCAAGTTCTTTATAGCAGATTGACATGTAAAGAAAAATTACTTAAAACTCTGCCGGGATCGGGTTTCGCTGAAGGTTCCCAAACAGGTCGGGTTTGGAGGTGGAATTGGTTCAGTCTGATGGCGTGATTCAAAGAGCGTTTCTCATCAGGATTTGGGTATTTCATGATGTTTGAATACAATGGTGAATCCTAGTTCGGATTTGTCATTTTCAATGCAACTGCTTCTGAGATTGAATATCCACCGTTCAATGATGATTGTGATGAAACAATCGAAATCTCAGATAGCTCTCCACGGAGGAAATCGGTTAGGGAAAAACGCAACCTTGAATATCGATCGAGCTTCATCCCCAATTCGAAACGATCGTAGATTTTTTTTTTCTTTTTGTGTGTTTATAATTAGTGATGTTTTAATTTTTTTTTTTTCGACGAAATGATGTATTTGCAGACGAATGCAGGACACTTGAAATGGAGAAATGATGCATCGCCTATAGGAAAGCATTAGATTTCACGTCGAATAACAGTAGCACTTTCGAAAACCCGTTCTTCGTTTCTGTCATGCGCCCGTCCTATGTTTCTTATAAGTTCCTGTTGGTAAGTAATTAATCAAAAATGAAAGAAAAAAAAAAAAAAAAAAAAAAAGACAGTGATTAATTTTATTATAACATTTTACGTTCGTTGCAGAGTGTGCCGATGACCGATGCACGAGTCGTAATTGATCGAGGTTTCATGGCATCTTTGTTTAATCCAAGAAACCTCCGGAGGCTTTTTATTAGAATACTCTGGTTTGGTTCAATGTCTGTATACCGATTTTTTTTTTTTTTTCGTTCGCTAATTCTTTATTAAGTTTTAACGAACATGTCGCAATCGGTGATGTCGTCGTGTTGATTAAATTGTATATTATTTGTGACTGCAACTTGAAAAATTATTTGCATCTTCAAAGGTCCACAAAGTACAGCTGCTTATTTTATTTTTTTTAAGTTTTTTTTTTCTATTTTATGACTATAAATCTGTCTGATTGTTACAGACTTCAATCATTTCCATCCACTCTTCTCTCTCGTTAGCCTTTCCGATGGATTCTTTCGTCCAAGCACTCTTAACTGTAGTATCAAGCATCTGCGCGTTAATCCTGTTTGTCTGTTCTTATAATTGCCTCTATAAACCGAACTATGGTACAAAGAACAAGAATCAGGTACCTCGGGCAGGTGGGGCCCTCCCGATCATCGGCCACCTCCACTTGTTCGGTAGCAAGCAGCTCTTCCACAAAACACTAGCATCCATGGCCGACAAATACGGGCCGGCCTTTACCGTTAAACTCGGGCCCCAAGAAACTCTGGTCGTGAGCAGCTGGGAGATGGCGAAGGAGTGCTTCACCACCCATGACAAGGCCTTCTCTGACCGGCCCGCAACAACCGCCACGAAGCTGCTGACCTACGACTTCGCCATGTTCGGGTTCGCGCCATACGGGCCCTACTGGCGCGAGATGCGGAAGATCGTCACCCTCGAGCTTCTCTCCCACCGTCGGATCGGCATGCTGAGTCACATACGAGCTTCCGAGGTGAAAACTTCGCTGAAGGAGATTTATGAGTTGTGCGTAGATGCCAAACAAGGCCTTAAAATCGATATGAAGCAGTGGTTTGGTGACCTTACGCTTAATGCAGCGGTTCGGATGGTCGGTGGGAAGAGATTCGTTTGGGCTCGCTCGGATTGTGAGGACGAAAAGGCAAGAAGCCAGCAGAAATTGATGACCGATTTCTTTCGGTTCTTCGGTGTGTTTGTTCTGTCGGATGCGATACCGATTTTCCGGTGGTTCGACTTGCAAGGGCATGAGAAATCCATGAAGAGAATAGCAAAAGAACTCGATGTCCTCATCGGAGAGTGGCTGGTGGAGCATAAAGAAAGGCGGCGGCAGAGCATCTCAGGGGAGGAGGAGATCAGATCCGATCACGATTTCATGGATGTCATGCTCACCATAACGGACGGTGCTGATTTGCCTGATTTCGATGCTGACACCATCACCAAAGCCACTTGCCTGGTAATAAAAAAAGAAAAATCATTTCTTGATTCTTGAATTTATTTTTTTTCGCAATTCGCGCAAGTTAAATCAATGGTTTCTTCTTCCTTGTGGCAGAACTTAATCTTGGCGGCAAACGATACTGTAATGGTGGCGCTCACGTGGGTCCTATCGCTTCTCCTAAACAATCCACTCGTGTTAAAGAAAGCTCGAGACGAAATCGACACTTGCATTCCGAAGAATAGACATGTCGAAGAATCGGACTTAAAGAACCTAGTATACCTACAAGCAGTGGTTAAAGAAACACTAAGGTTGTACCCACCAGCTCCGGTTATCGGCCTCCATTCCGCAATGGAGGACTGCACAATCTCGCCCGGGTACAATGTACGCGCAGGCACACGTTTGATGGTGAATATCTGGAAAATCCATCGAGACGAAAAGCTATGGCCCGAGCCACTTGAGTTCAGGCCCGAGAGGTTTTTGACGGGCCATGCGGAAATCGATGTGAGGGGGCAGAATTTCGAGCTCATACCTTTCGGTTCTGGAAGGCGGTCGTGTCCCGGAACTTCTCTGGCTCTTCAGATGGTGCATTTGACTTTGGCTAGCTTGTTGCATTGCTACGAGTTGACCAGAATCGATGATGATAAAGAGATAGATATGACGGAGAGTCAAGGGCTTACGAATTTGAAGGCGACCCCTCTCGAGGTTTATCTCACTCCCCGTGTCGGTCCCGAGATTTTTGATTTCTGATTGTGGACCGTCTATTTATGAATTATATAAACTGTTAAATGTCGTTTTGATTTTACTGGTGATGTTGTCGGTGCATTGTTCGTTCATTCATGCATAACTCTCTCACACGACGTTCAAGTTAGCTAATTCAAGTTAGATTAGAAAGCTAATTCAAAGGACTACAAATTTGGTGTTTTACGTTTAGCCAAATTCGATACAAAGATTGGTCAGTACGAAGTAAAATTGAAACGACATATAGCACTTTCCGGATTCTGAAAACTCGAATTGTGCCTGAAACATACATAACATTGCCAGTAGCTTTCATTTCTGGAATAATTTTACAGCTTGTAGTAAACTATCTACCAAGAATGCATAAAAGAAAAACTCACCTAAACAAACAAACAAACAAACAAACAAACATCTACAATTCTCAAATGGCATCTCCGACTTTTCGATCGACCAACAAGAACACATTACAATCGAAATCTAACTTACCCTTCTTTCTTTCTTTCTAATTCACACGCAAATTTCTGTACAAACGGCGAAGAAAAACCCTCCTACAAACTCGTCTCAGTGCTATAAACCGAATACTCGCTCAAGCTAAAATTAGGCCTCTCCTCCTCCCAATTCAAAATCTCCCTAGCGTACTTGAGCGCTCCATCTACACTATTAGGCTCCAACCCCTTCACCAAAGATACATACAGCTTTCTCCCCGTAAGCATTTCGTACAGCCTTTTGAACTTCACAGCAACGTAATGAAACCCTAACTGACCCATGGTCGGATGGTTCGCACTACCGGTGGCGTGGGCCCGGTTGCGGCTCACCACCGGTCGGAAATCTTCGAACCAGTCGCACCGGCTCAAAGGCACTTGCTCGATTTTTTCCTCGAACGAGTCGAATTTGTTTAGTAGCACTAGGAAGTCAATCTGGTCAAAGGTTGGGTGAGTCACCATGTTCTCAAAGAATTTCTTGGTCAACATCATCTTGTTGACCGAGTTTCCGTCGGCGTCAAATGCGAACTGGTCGTAGTCGTTTAGAGAGACGCAGAAGATTACGATTCGAACGTCTTCGAACATTTGGAGCCACTTGCAGTTGTTTTCTCCGAAACCTTTTGCCTGTAATCTGATCAGCTGGAATCTGCGAATCAAATGAAACGGAGTTGTAAGTAAATAAGAGAGAAATTTGTACGGATAAATTTACGTTAAACAGCACTTAATATGGAATGGAGGGAGTACATAATTTAACTTGTACTCCATCCGTTTCTATTTAAGTACTGTTTTAGCCATAGAACCTTCTTTTCCCATAGATAATACACACACACACACATACACACAGTTCACAACAATACCTAAGTTGGGAATCGTGCAGATCAGCACTGTCAGTATCATCGTCATATGCTGACTCAGGGAACGAAAAGTCAACACACGAAAGCCCGTTTGATGAAGTAACGTGTTCGGCGTAGAGGATATCAAGATCAGACGGTTTATAATCCGGTTTCAATATCTGAACAGCCTGTAGAGTGGCGGAAAAAAAAAAATCATAATTAAATTAAATTAGTCAAATGATCACTAATTAAATTTAATTAGTCAAAGGCACGTGATTTGGACGGTCATCATCTTTACCCGCTCGAGGAAATAACTGGCTATAGTGGGCAGTGTTTCCAATTCACTTCTCCGCTTGTAAGTCGCCTGAAAAGCTGTGTTGCCCCACAACTCCTCCACCAGTGGGGCATATTCTCGACTGGCGGCAGGGAATATTGCTTCGAGAGTACCAGATGCCATTATTTTAAGTAGCCAGTCCGAAAATGCCTTCAATCTTGGACAAATCGAATAAATAGTGTCTTCACTTTTCCCATCAACATGCCCTGCCATAAAACAAAAACGTGTCACATTATTTAAAAAAAAAAACACAGATTCAGATTTCAGATGAAATATGTACCTGCAAGAGTTGAACCGTCACACTGACTTTGCCTCGATCCAATCAAACTTTCTTCTTCAAAACGCTCACGACCCTCGAGAAGGATTCCGATATAAGTATACACATGGCTCTGGATCACTAATTTAATGTGTTCGCGCTCATCTTCGGAGAAAGGCGTGTCTTTGTACAAAATTTTAGCCTAATCCAAGAAAAAATAGAGTTTATTATATTCACAAACACCGCAGAAAGGATAAACAACAACCGGAACAAGCATTTGACTCAAAACAGGACTTGCTCGGCAATTAATCACAAGATAACACAAAATTCAGACTATTTAGAAATACAAATGCTTCGGAATTGCAATTAATGTGTGATTGAGTAAGCTCAAAGACCGAACAAATGATGAGCAAGAAAAGCAATTCAAAACATTCCAAACAAACAGAAACACGCATTATGATTTACATTCCTAATGAAATATACAGGTTCTCGATCTAGTTATGATAAGTTTTTTACGGTTCAAAGTCCAATAAATATCTGTTAAAAAAGCTTTACCTGTTTAAATATGGTACTTGTCCCCGAACCAGTGTATCCAATCAACAGAAGCTTCTGAATTGCTCTATGTTCAAAATAATCGGGCATGGATCGATTAGCCATGCTAGTTACTTGCTCACCGCAAAGATGAGATGATTTCGAAGGAACCGGTAGAGAAAGTACAGCACAAAGTAGCTTCGTCCCAGCCTGAAAAAAGGTAACACCAATTAAGATAGTGAAACAAAGTAAAGACTAAGAGCGCAAGTAAGTGACGAATTTTTTTTATAGAAGTCGAACCTTGCCCCAGATATAGCCTTTCGTATTTTTCTGCCCTTCCTCTTGGTAAGAACCATCTTCGTTAACCCAAAAATGTGGATTCCCAGCACACTGAACTCCCGCTAACTAATAAAACCAAAACCAAAGCACTAGTTTCATATCCGAAAAAAAAAATGCCAACAGAATAATTGTCTAAAGAATGTCAAGTGCAACCGAAATGCGAACCTTTAACATACGCAATTCCACTTTTGTAATCTCGCGACCATTTATAAAAACTTGTGTGTTCCCGTTACTAGCATCCGCCTTAATAGGACCCCCAACATTGAGATGAGGGCTAATAATTTGTGCAGGCTTTTGCCCCTCCTGTAAAATTTACCTCATTAAACAACAGCTAAAACCAACGCAAAAAAAAAAAAAAAAAAAAAAAAAAAAAAAAAAAAGAAAAAATCAAGAATTACGCTAATTGACACTCACCTTTCCCCAAAGACCAGATACTTTGTCGTACCAATAATTTCCCGGTTTCAACTTCTTCGGTGGATTAGGGCAGCTTTGCAGCATAATAAGCTCCTCTTGATAAAGAGGGCTACCGTTCACAACAATATACTCGGAAGGCAATTGATTCACTTCACACAATTTCTCAGCCTTCATAATTTGCCGAACTTCCAAATCATTAAGCAATCGCTTAAGCATTCTAGAACATTTCCCCAAATAGCACCGCTTCGACTCGTCGATTGAGTATCCAATGCAAGTCACGCATTTTCTACCCTCGGGCATGGACCCCATTGCCCTAAGCACGCAATTAGTGCAGTACTTGGCGTCGCAAACCATGCACACCTCTTTTTCGGTAAATCTATTACCTTTCAAGCACCGATAACACGCCCCTTTTCTTACCTTAACCGCAGGCTCTCTCTTATTATTAGCTCTAACAACCTCGGATTCAGACCGACTAAACTCCTCGTTAGTAATTTCATCGTCCGACTCGATATCGCAGAATGTCACCATCGGTGCCCGCCTCGCATCGCGGCCGGATTCTTGATTTGTTTCTCCGAACTTACGCGAAGAAACCCTCGAGGAGGAAAGATAATCCGCGCTCAAGACTGACTCGTTAGAATCCCAATCCATTCGGTTTGACTCGTTGAAATCTAGGCTCTCTTTAAAACCACTTGATAGAATCGAGTGCGGCAAACTACCGGAGAAGTCACCCGACTTTTCAAAGCTGTCCGAAGAGCATAGTAAAGCCCCCGAACTACCAACCCCATCGACAAACTCGCACGAATGCTCTTGATTTTTCGCTCTATTTTCGCTACGATTACTGCAATCGAAATCGCTACTTAACTCACCGGAAGGGCAAATATCAGTACTGTGGCAATTTTGGGGTTCTCTTTCCCCCAATTCATTGTTAACCGAGCTAGGCGAAACGCTAGTTTCGGTCCCTAAACCTAGCTCTTTACTGTAAGAACCCTCACTAACCTCGTTGTTTCTAGACTCGAACGCAATCACCGATGTTGGAGAAACGGTGAGTAACTCGGCGGAGGAGGAGGTCAGTTTCAAATTCCTCGGCGGCTTTTTGCTGATTATGTCAGCGGAGGATATCGGCTGGGCAACGGGCAGCGAAAAATTGCTGCCCGAAAACTGGAGCGGAGAAACAACTGCAGCCACCGGAATTCGATCCACGTAGATGGGCACGGCCCGGGGCAGCTCACGGGTTATCGGCGGGCCGTGATATTCCATGGCGAAGGAATATTCGACCGCATCTTCGACGGCAGCCGCAACCTCGAGCGACATATCCCTCCTTCTTCTCAAAAAATCAATACACCTTTCGACACTGAAAACTTGAAAATTGAAAACCGTTCAACAAACCCACTTCGCATAGGTGCGGGAATCTCACGGGAAACGCGAATCTCGGGTGAAGCGAAAACAGGGCAACGGAAAGAACATGGGTTTTGTTGTTGAGTGGGGCTGTGGGAGTAAAAAGAAACAAACTTTAGCTGCAAGGAAGGTATTTTTGGGTCCGCCGGAGATGGAATTGAACTAAAAAATTTGGGGGAAATCTTCGAATTGAGAGATTAAGGGCAAGGAGAAAAGTGTGGAAGAAAATACAAAGAGGGAAAAAGGTATTGGGAAAGGGAAAGTGAAAGAAATGGTGGTGGGCACTGTTTGGAGTTGGGCATCTTTTTTTTGTTTTTTTTTTTTTTTTAAATTGCAGTTTTCATATTTTTATTATTATAAGAAAATTGAAAAAGAAAGAAAGAAAGATTTGTTTATTGATGGAAAGAGAAGAAGAGATGAAAGCTCTGTGACTGTGTGTGGGTGACGGTATGGTGGTGGGGCGGTGATGTGAGCAAGTCGGCAGTGTCTGGTTTTAGGGGAGGTGTAGGGGTATTTTTGTCTTTTCCTTTTTGGAATACGTTGGTTTTGGACAAATTGTTTTTTAAAACGGATAAAGACAAATAGGATTTGAGAGCCAACCAAGTTCCGATTTGATGGTTCATCATCCGATTTTTTTATTATTATTTTATTTTATTTTTTATTCATTTACAAATAGTATATCTCCAAAAAAATCATTTTCAAATAAGTTTATTCATCATTGGATATAACTTATAAGTTGAAAGTCTATGATTTAATTAATATATTTAAGCCCCATTTGGTTTATGTAAGTCTATCTTATGATTTCCGTAAAAATTAGGTAAACCGTGATAAAATAATATTAGTGAGTCGATCAAATATTAAATAAAGTTTAATTAGTTATAATTGATCGCGCCAACTGATATGGGCTCGATTATCTCAAAAACCCAAACAATAAAATTATATAAACAAAGTCTAGGCTTAACTACGCATGCCCACTGAGGTAACTACTAGCCCATGTAGCGTGGCCATGGATTGGGGAGAAGCTGACTCGACATTTAAAAGGCGGCGATAACGTCCTCGAACCCTTCCCGTTTGAACTAACACATATCGCAAAGTACAGATCAACTCGCCCTCAACAGACAAACATGCAACTCAAAGTAATTACTTGACACTCCACGTGTGAATTTGAACAGTGACAAAAGGGGAGCTCACGACCGGTATACTAAATACACCTTACTCTTGTTGCACAGACTAAAAATACGCATATATTATTTCTCCACAATTTTGATTAATTTGACCGTTTGAATCCTGACGTCAGAAAACCCTTGTCCGACTTCTTTTTGTAGATCACTTGGGCTTCTCTCACTATAGGCCTATCTCTTTATCTTGAGACCGACCATATAGGCCACATCATCAACCAAACGAGGCCTTAGCATCCACGATAACATTTAAGAACAAAATATATAAAACTAAAATATTTGCAATTTAAAAATACAAAATCCGGATGATTGTCCCGGGTCGGGTTCCCTCTTTGTGGGTGGGCTATGGGCTTGTGCAATTGGGATATGGGCTTGTATTCTGATCCAAATTTGAGTATTGGGCTATGGGCTTGTGCAATTGTTGTTTTAAATATTTGTCACTTTTTGAATTTATTTTATTTATATCAGTTATCATTTTAGAATACAAACGTTACATCAGTTAAGGAGAAACTAATTAATAAATTTGAAAAAAAATTAAATTAAATTGATTCGGAACTCGGAATGGTAATTACGTAATATTACATAATTATTTTTCTTAATATCAATATAAATTTATTAGTTTTTTTTCAAGTAATTGAGTAGAAAAACTCTAACATTAGTTTAATTTGGTGTGTCTTAATTAATTAATAATAAGTTAGCTTGAAAATGATATATGGCGGCCTGAGCAGACAAAGTGGTCGTTAATAACTGAAAATAATATAGTGTGTAATTTGCTTATCTGTTTTTTTCCCCATAAAGAAGAACATTGGCTTCTTCTAAACTAAGCATGCCTTAAAAATATTTGACAAGTCTCTCATATATATTGTCAAATTATACATACCGATTTTTCTTGCTTTTAAATTATTATTATTATTATTATTATTATTATTATTATTATTATTGCAAAAATAGTTAGGCCATCTGTAAAAGGTTGTTATATAATAATTGCACATAATGAGCTGTAGCTTCCACTTGTTTTAATGTTACTCTAGTTAGGCCTCGTTTAATTGCCAAATATGTATAGAAAATTAATACTCACTCCGTCCCGTTATATATACGATGTTTTGCATAAATTGTGGTAAAAAAAACATAGAAAATCACTAATTTAACATTGTACATAATTATTTACCAATTAACTAGTGATAAATAACGAAATTGAATAACAATGAATTTAATGTTTTATTGAAAATATAAAGTGACAAATAATTTGAGAGTTTATTTTTTTCTTTAGAGGTATATTATCAAGTTTAAATTCTTATTTTTTAAAAATCCAAAATGGCAAGATGGTGTCAAAATTATCGAACCAATTAATGAAATATTTAATTAGTCACGATTAATTATACCAACCAAACGAGGGCCTATATACATAGTAATCCTATGGCCATGTCTGAAAATGGGTAATTTGGAAATGTAGGGGTAGAAATCGGAAGAATCGAGTTGAAATAAATACTTTCGAAAAGAAAAAAAATGGAATTCTGTTGAGAAAGAAATTGATAATCGAAATTCTTGTCATTTGAAATGCAAAACATTGGTTAAAGTTCGGAAATAATACTCATATTAAAACCAATGTAAATAAAAAAAAATACCCGTTCCAATTTCCACACTAGTTTGACGTTTTTTACAAAAAATATGTATATGGTTTTTTTTTTTTTTTTTCTTGAATTGGTTGATAAATTATAGTTTATGAGATAATCCATCCACTTGGTTTATTTATTTAATTTTTAATTTTCTTTTATGATTTGACTATTTTAACATTAATTGCTGATCTAAAAAGCTACATCCAAAAGTCTAGATGTCAAAAAATCAATGGAGAAAATGGCATCATGGGTCAAATTAAACGTCATGTGAATAATACCTCAATTAATGCATGAAAAATACTATATTGTCTTTACATTAATTTCTCACGTTCATACTTAATTCAGTCTCATTTCACACCAAAGTCATTAGGTTACGTTATATTATTATTTTCTTCCCTATTAATAATCCAATTAATCAAATATGTATGAACCATGTTATTAAACTTAATAAATTAATTTAAGATACTATTTTCCTTGCAAAATCATCGTATATAATTCAACCAGATTATTAACAATACAAATACAACAACGTAACACGGTATGCATGTATTTACAGGTAAATGATAATAATGAACTGATTAACTAACGTAACTCACATTAATTAATTTCTTAATTACGGAGTACTAATTAATTAATTAATGTACCTTAATTATGCAGCTGGGTAATTAATTAAATTTTTAATTATCTTCAGTGTTTTCTTCTACTTTGTGTCATCCTACTGCTACCCTTATTTGATGAGAAGCTAAGAGCCGACGGAATCGCCGGAGCCGAGCCGTGATTTTCCTGCGGCGGTGGTGGCGGCATTGCCGCCGCCGCCTGTCCGGAGACTCTCCATATCTTCACCGACTTGTCGAGGCTGCCGCTGTACACCATGAACTGCCCCTCGCCACCGCTGTTGTCGTCCTCCACGGCGAGGCACTTCACCGGACCGCCGTGGCCGGTGAGTATCGAGAAGCAGACGTGGTCTCTCTCCACCCTCCTCCACACGCAGATGTTCATGTCGGCGGACCCGCTCAGCACTAGGTTCCCGGCGGTGGCGATGCACAGCACCGCCAGCTTGTGGCCCCTCAGCACGCCGCCGTGGGAGAGGAACTTGTCGCGCTCCCAGAAGTTGACCAGGCCGTCCGACGAGCCGGAGTACAGGACCGTGGCGGAGGGGTCGACGGCGAGTGACGTCACCGCGCACTCCTGCTTGAGCAGCGTCTGCGAGAAGAAGTGCTTCGTCCCCTTCCCCTGCATCTCCCTCCGCCACGCCTTCACGCTCCCGTCGGCGGAGCCGGTGAACACCAGCCCGTCGAACCCGGCCACGACGGAGTTCACGGCGTCGTCGTGCGCGCTGATCGATTCTAAGCATTTCGAATCGGATACCCGCCAGATTTTGATCGTCTTGTCCCACGAGGCGGAGTAGAGCAGAGATTTGTCCTCGCTCAGGCTCAGCGAAGAAATCGCGTCCACGTGTTTGATCCAGATTGTTTCCGGGTTGAAAGAGCTTTTGATCTTGGCTTTGAAAGTGGGTAGGGTCCCGACTCGTTTGTGGACGCTCGGATCCTTGCCCGACACCTTCCAGACCCGGATTTTCCCGTCCTGGTGCCCGGAGAATATACGTTCGCCGGCGATGATGATGGCCTTCACCAACCCGGAATTCGATTTGAACCCGGAGAATTCCTTCTGGTTTTTCCAGACCCGGATGTTCTTGCTATCCGAACCCGTGTACAGCAAATCGCCGGAGGCGGCCAAAGAATATATGTGGCCTTCTTCGCGGACGAGGGACCCCATCAGGCCGGTGTAAGCGTACGAGGATTCCGGCGCCACGTGGGATGACCAAGGCGATTTCGACAGCGGGGAGGCGGAGACGCCGTCCCAGGACGACGGGTTAGAAAACGGCGGCGATTGGTCCCACGGGGTGCCGCTGCAGGTGGAGCCGGCGTCGGATGTCGGAGGCGGCGGCCTGTCGTCGTGGGATGCCGGGATGGCTTCCGACGTGCTGCTCAGGCGAAAGGAATATTCCTCCTGATCGGCGGAGTGCTGCAGCATGTTTCCGAATTTCGGTTTGGAATCTTTCGCCGTGTGATCGTAGCTTCCTGTTCTTGAATTCTTCATCTGATTATTAATTAATAAAAAAAAAACAGTTATTGTGCAATGGAGAAAAGGAAGATTGGATTATGAAAATGATGAGAGAGAAAGAAGAGAGAGAGAGAGAAAGGAAAAAAAAAAAGGAAAGGTGCGGCTGATATGGAATTAATCTGGTTAAGTAAAGAGAAAAAGGTACGGCCATGAAGATGTTGGCAGACAGTCGTTTTCATGCAAACTATATATATATAATTTAATTTGTCAAACCCTTCAAAATTGAAATGAAATGTGGCAACTACCATAACTATAAATGTGATGGGGCAAGTTTCTAATTTTGTCTCTAGATAACACCCCTTTCTCAATTTTGCTTAACCTTTCGGTTATTTTTTTATTTATTTATTTAATTAACTAACTCCTTTTTTTTAGTTCATTCAAAAATATTGAAAAAAATCGGAAATTGAAATTTAAAAAGAACTTATTCCAAAAAGTTGGAATTTTCGGGAAAAATAATATTTAATAATGTTGATAGTTTGATACTGTAAGTGTAATTTTCGAAAAGAAAATGAAATTTATTTTTGAATCGGAAATCGGTATCTCGTGTATTTAGTGATTTGGATACCATAGTATATTGTGTTGTATACATGTTGGGCTGGGCTTTTTTCTGCCATCTACGGATCCACTAAATATGGTTTGTGATTACCCATTGATTTGACTTTTTTAAATTATTTACTAATATTTCGAAAAAGATTGATTGAAAATTGAAATTCAGGGTAATCCATTTCAATATTTCGGCCCACCATAAAAGTAAGGCAAAATCCATAAAAAAATGTGCTCGAGAAGAGATAAACAAGCGAGCAACGAGTAGATGGGTGAAGGACTGACGAACAACTTGCGAGCAACGAGCACTCGAGTCGCTAGTGGTATGGCAACATTTAATGCGCGTTTTATCATTGTCAATTCTTGTTACTTTTGGCACATGCAGTTAATAAATTGTCAAGACATTTTAAATGATATTGAAATGAAATTCAGGTTCCGATGATATTTCTATACGAGTGATTTGACGGATGAAACTGAATTGAAGGTATAATTGAAGTTTGACTTTCCCCTATGAATACAAAGCCCACAAATTCATGCAAGTTAACAATACATGCATTATTGCTCATAGGCTGCAAATATAAACTACCAAAAAAAAACCATTGAGTTGCAAATCCTATTTAGACAAATATAAATTGAGCAGATCAAGGATTTTGACTTGATCAAGTAGCTATTGTTAATTCCACATTTTCATTACTATCAATTTTATGAGTAAAAAAATAAAAGATTTTTCAGGGTAAATTATCAAAACTACGATTTTCTGATAATTCTTCCGTGAAATTTATAATATGAATATAATCACACACATATATATATATATATATATATATATACACACACACACACACACACACACACACACACACACACACACACACACACACACACAATACTAATGGAGTATGTATTAATTAGCACATGGTCACATTCAAAATAACTATTCCAAATACTTTAGCATATCTCCGATTTTTCAAAGAAGTATATTCATTAATGAATAAATGCAATATTGTATTTCCTATTATACGAAGCGTTCATTAAATTGGTCTTGGATTTTATTTGATTTTTTAATTTATTTATGGAAGGACAGAAAATAATATCTTGATATCGCCAAAAAAGAAAGGCAAGTATCAGTTCATTAACGTGCCGTTAAATTTCTGGATTGCCCTCTTCTCTAAAATCAGAGAAACCCTCAGTTTCTTCGATCAATGGCAGCATATCTTTCGATCGCCAAAACCTCGAAAATTAAGTAATCAATAAAAGAAAAAAACACAGTACTATGTTTTTCAACGACGTTATTCAACGGAGGCTGGCAGCTCTGCTGCGGCCATGGCTGAGAGGCGACGAGGAACTCGAACTCAAGCTCGGGTTCCTCCGCTCAAACGGAACCCTCAACGACGTCGGACTCAACACCGCCGCGCTCAACGCATCGCTAGACGACCCATCCAAATTTTGCTTCAAGGAAGCGACCGCCGAGCAATTGAGTCTGCAATTCTCGCCGTTCTCCTCCGCCGCCTTCACTCTCGTGGTTCGTGGCCTCCGTGTTGTTCTTTCACTTGGGTAAGGTTTTGGATGTTTCGTCTTGTTTTTCAGCTTCTGTTTCAATTACTCCAGATGTCTTGGTTTTTTATTGGTTATCTGTTGGTAATAATTTGTATGCAAAGTGAAGAAGTGGATGAGGAAGGAGTTAAGTGGAGGCGGGACCAGAGAGATACCTCTCCGGAGGAAAGGAATAATGTTCTAGAAGAGATTGATCCCGAGGTATTTTATTGCATTTCCGTTCTTGTTGATTTTATACTGCATAATATAGTATTGTTGGAATGTGTGAATTTATGAACATTTTGGGGAGCTAAGAAGTGTTGCAGGCTTATGCTATGCGGCTCTTACGACTGCACACCGGTCTGGTTACCTCTGAAAATTGAAAGCAATAGTACTTGAAACGCAATAATTTTCGGCCATAGGGTCTAACAGAACCTGCAATATTCTACTTTATAAGATTGAACTTCACTAGAATCCGCAATTTTAGTCATCTTATATCTCCGATCAACTTTAAAATGAATCTCCCTAGTGGCACTACAAAAACCTGAGAAAATGAAACGAAAATTATTCAACAGAAAGAAATGGCAGAACAACAGAATTCCATGATTTTTAGGTGCAGGAAATTATATGTATTCTTCCTTTATTTTTTTTATTATGTTTTTGAGTTTTTGTTTGATCTTTGAAGCTAAAGTATGATTTGCATGTCTTTGATGGGTTCAGGGTTGTGCTTTGCATTCTTCCATTAGAAAGATATCGGACATTACCACCAGAAAATGGAGAACCGCTTTACTGAACACTGTAATTAGACATTGTCACTTGGAGTTGCATGATGTTCACGTGATTCTGCAGTCTCCTTGTTTGCGTGATTCATCCTGTTCTTTGCTAATGAAAAAGTTTAGAGCTGGATCACAGATTAGACCCCACAAATGCTTTATTAGAGGGTTAATGAGTTCACCGTTTCTGCCTTTTGAAGAGAATTTATTTGATTTTGATATTAGGAGTTTTGAGATTACTTTGAACAGTGAAAATCGCAAGAGTTCTGTTTTCCCTGCAACCAATATGTTAGTTGTAGTTAATTCAAGTCATCTTCAGTCCACAAGCTTTTGTTTTCATGTTCCAGCACTGAAATTTATATTTTCTTCATCAGATTTGTCTGTTATATTGCTGTTCTGTGGACTCTTGTCCAAAGAGTACAGATATGTTAGATCTGGAAGGCAACTATGGAATATAGTGGCAGCCAACCGCAGTTCTCTGCTTCCGGCTTCTAAATTGTCGCTGATTAACATAGTTGGCGTTGTGTGTCTATGGTTGCGTTATACAAAAACCTACCAGAGTATGCTTCTACTAGTTGGATATCCTGCTGATGAAATAATGAAAAGATCAGCTACATTGATGTACTATGATGCAGCGTATTCAAAATCTGTCAGGTCTCAGTGGAAGTTGATCGCTGAAACTGAAAAGGATCTGCCTCTCGAGGCAATTGCAGTGGCTCGGAGAATAGTTCGCTACAGAGTGGCCTCACGTGGTCCTGGTGAACTTGGCAATTTTGATGATGTGCTGGCTGCTAGGCCTTTCTCGAAACTGTGTCAGCTAGTGGTGCTTATGTTGAGCACGATAGCCGGTTTGTTTGTTTCATTTGCTAGGATTCTATTTCTGCACAAAATTCTTTCTATCTTTCGCAAGAGAAATCCTCATTTTGCCTCCTCTGTTTGTGAAAAATCCATTTTACAAAAAAACATCACTCTAAAAATTCATGAAATCTCGGTAGCTCTTATACCAGACAATGCGGTACAGTCTACTAGCCGTGGGAAGGCAGTTTCAGACACAAAGATTTCATATGATGACTTACTCTCATTGTCTTTCTCCATAGATGGGATCTTCGTGAGATATATGGCGAATATTTCTGAACAGTGTTTTACATTTGCATCTGGTTGCTTGAAAGTTCTTTCTCTTTCTACTCCAACAGCTGGTGCAAGTGGTTACTTGGAAGAACATTGGGAGAAGGAAGTCGAGAAACGGCAGATTGTCATATGGGGAGAGCCTGCAGAAATTACTTGCCTTCCTGAAGAGACTTGTGATGCTGCTGCAGATATCGCTAGAACTTCAGACCCTTATTTGGATCGCCTTTTAGGGCAACTGTGGTTAAATTGGAAAAATACTTGTTTGAAATCTGAAGAAGATAACATGCCAAACGTGCAGGCTCCATGGATTCTTTGTGAGATATCGAGCTCTTTGATAGATCATGGCATCAGTGATTCTTGTTCTCGGTTTAACTGTGGCTTGGTTGTTGGTAAACTGAACTTCAACCTGGAATATTGTTCTTTTGCATCCACAGTTGTACTCCTCAGTCAAATACAGAGTGCTTTTCGCCGGAGTAGGAAAAGTGTATTTTTACATACTCCAATGATCACCATTGACGATCCACCAATGAGGGATTGGAATAATACACTTGCATCATATTCTAGCAAAATTGAAATGGGCATTATCAGATTGCTTCCTGAGAAGCATGTTCAAATCGGGGCACTCATTGTTGGTCCTTGCATTTTAATACCTCTGACAAATGACCAGTTCCATCCTGAAACTTCAAGCAATCGTCATCGTGTGGCACACATATCATTAGAAGTCTGCAACATTGAACTTCTGGCAGCAGATAATGTTGGATTATCAAGTCATGAAACTTCAGAACATGATGTAGGACCAGAGTTCGTTGAACTTAAACCTCAAGAAATTGACATCTCTAAATCAGATAATGGAGCTTACAGCTGTCAAAGGCAGATTTCACTCAACGGATACGTAAAATTTCGTGGTTTGAAGGCGTACTTTGATGAAACCACTGAGAATTTAAGAGACCAGATTATTGTATTAAGGCCAATAACTACACAAGTTAGTTATGTGAGGTAATTATTTGCTCTTTGCATTTCCTATTTACTCAACTTCGAATTCAACCTGTGCTAGGATGAGTGCGGTGCTTATTAGTTATTAGTTATTACGACTGGCTGAGAGTATTTGAAATGACTTCAGAGTTCACAGATTGACGAGTGGTGGCACAAATGCATTTCTTAGATACTTTGACTTAACATATTGGCGTTCTTCGTGTTGGTTTATGTTAGATGTGGTTTATCTATTCTAAATAATATGTGGCCTCAAAATGTTCTTTTACAAAGTACATATATTATGCTTTTGGTTTAGTGAACAAGCAATTTGATTTTTAGTTTGAGAGTGAATCTCATGTTTTCATCCTCTTGTCTCATATCATGATCACTTAGTTATTTGTAGTCAATTTCTTCTGCAATTAAGCTCACTTCATTGCTAAGGTGGGAAGTCATACTTGAGAATACAAATTAACAAGGCATAATATTTGAATACCCATCATTTAGGACAAAGAAGACTGCAAGTATATGGTGAAGATAATATACATTTTGGTGATGCCCAAAGTGCACATCTATCAATTTAAATGGGATGCTTTGCTGATTTTGGAATATTTGTCTTACATATGGCAGAAAGGACCATCATTCATTTGGTTCATCAGTAGTTGCTGTCTCAGCAGCTTCCCACTGTGTGGCTACCGGGTTTTCCTGCTTAATGTTTCTGGATGAGTTGCATATTTTGACAAAGGTGATTTATCTTTCATTATTGGCTGGCTAGCACAAGAAATATTGTTGTTTCAGTGTCTTATGCTCAATAGTGGTATTTGTTTATTTGTCTTTCTTTTGTCAATTCTGCACCCAATATCTTTTTCATTGTCACGATTGGCTGTGATAGATCGTGCTTCTTATGTTTGTACTAACTTGAGAGAGATATAATACGTCATATGTGATTATCATATCAAATCTTATAGTTTAGCACCTGATTGTATTATATTTTGAGGAAGACAATCTTGGATTTTACTTTAATCACTGAATATTTTTCTTTCCAGATATTTTTTGGAGTATTGTGTGAGTCACCTGCCTTCGCTGTGGATGGATCAGGTGGTGATATAAGCTATGAAGAAGGATCAATCACGGAATCACTTTATTTTGAAACTGGAAGTGGGCAAACATTATCTGTTAGAAGCAAAAATGCATCACTCATCACAAATCCTCAAGTTTTTGTCAACAGTACCTACGACCTTAAGTCGTTTGACATTGTTCTTCACAATTCCAGAAAAAGTTGTGGCCTGGAGACGCAAATGAGCATGATCCCTGTTGACAGCGAAACTGGCAGAAAGTCAACCTTGAACGACTCTTCTAGCAATGGAATTTACATTTCTTTTCAGCAGTCAATGGTGGAGTTTATGTACAAAGGACGGAATCTGGATGTTGTCATTGACACAAATGGAGTTCAATGTATCATTTGTAGATATTCGACTGAGTGTGATGGAATGCCTAATAAGTCTGACCTCAAAAGTCTCTTACATTCTCTAGTTTTCTTGACCGAAGCATCAGTTTATCATAGCAAAGTATGTTTCTGCTTGAGAAACCTTGAGAAAGTCTTATCATCAGCAAGCTTGCACACTACAACTGATGAATCTGGTTCCCATGGTATAACATTCCCCACACGTGTTGATTCTCCTTTGATTGTGAGTACTGAAAGTCTGGAGAATCAGTGGCTATTCACAAAAGTTACTATATCTGGAATTTATATAGCTGGATGCCAAGTAAAAGATATTTTGGTTAATAAATTTGAGGAATTTAACGGATCTTTTTCTGTTGGGCGCGACTTCCAGGCGATCTCTTGTGAATGCAGGGTGCGTACTGCATCTATTTAATTTTTTTTTCCGACATTATTCTGTAAACTGAGCTTGACGATTGCATTTTTCATTTATTTGAAAAAGCCTAGAAAGCCATTTATTTGTATTTCTGATGAACATTCGCATCTTTGATTGACAGCACTTGTATGTGTTGCTTCTTAATATAGGGTGGTTCCGTGTTACTTGAAGCAACAGCTGTGACAATGTTAATCGAAGGCTTTACTTCATACTATCGATGGATTTCAGAACTTCAGCCTTCTGGTCGATTATCTGGCAAAGCTGTAGTTGGACAATACACTAGTGAAATAGCTCCTGCAGATGGCCAACCCAGTATAAATCGTCAGCAAGTCCAATCTCGTAAAGTAATGTGGGATTGTGTAGAATCAGTTTCCATGAGTCTTTTGAATCTTTCTCTTGTACTTGTGGAGAGAGATGAATATGGTAAGCTGCCTTCCTTCATTGTTCAAAATGTTCATGTAGTGGTGAAATTTGATTTAATATTTAACTCCAATGCAGGTAAACTGGAGCAACTTCTACTTGAGGTTGATTTTGATTTCAATCTCGAACTTGTAAATGCAGTGAGAAAAATCTCGATTAGTATATCCAAGTTTTGTATGCTTTCTCAATTCATGCACGGGAATCTGGGACAGAAAGACAATGATGTTCGTACTCCTTTTTCTGCTATCATGCCCGATGAGTCATTTTCAAGCTTCATAAGCAAGGATTCTTCACCCTCTCTACAGCATAAAGATTTTGATCATCCCGACCTTGCTGATGCTAGTAGCTCAAGTACCTCAGTCTCCCAAAGGGGTGGTTCTCATGTCGGTATTTCCATGCGTAATCCAGGACAAAAGGACTTGTATATAAGTGCTCAAAGGTATATACTGAAAGATTTGCGATGTTTCCTAGCAGTTGAGGGGCCCGTGACAAGAGACCGGATTACTCCCACATACTCAAATAACATTTGGATTGGAACTGGTTCTATATCTGGGTTTGATGTGACGATATCTCTGTGTGAAATAAAGGTAAGTGATGCTGTTTGGTGATCTTCATAAAAAGGTTATTTGAACAGTTCTCTAATAACATCTGTGCATTTGTGTTGCCTTGACCCACACAATGAATTTACAAATGCGTCATTTTTCATATTTATATGTTAGATGGGAGACATTTTTTGTATAATAATTATGACGATTCCTGTTATTACAAATTAGAAAGAAATAAAGGAATAGCACATTCATGAGTATCATTCTCATCTTTGTGGAATCAATCTTTATAAAGCATATTAGAAGCTCACAAAAAGAATTGTTCAATGAAGTTTTCTTAGATTAGTTCTCAAGTTTCACAAAGTTTTGTGTTGGTAATTATGTTGATGAAGCTTCTACATGCTATTTTTTTTTTTCTGGAAATCATTTTTTTGGCTGTTTTCAATTCTTTCCGTTTTTTTGCACAGATGGTACTTTCTGCTTTGGGATCTTTCTCTAAGGTTTCGAGCAATGTGGAAACTCCCAAAGTGGAATCCAGGCACTTGTCTTATGATCACGAACCTGGAGGAAACACGGAAGAAATGGTTCCTGATGGTACTTATTATCCTGTCTTTTTGTTGCAGAACAGCTTTCTTTCAAAATTTCAGCTAAGACATCACTCCAACTTCTGCAGGAACTATTGTTGCTATCCAAGATGTTGATCAACACATGTATATTGCTGTTAAAGGTGCAGAAAGTAGATATGATGTAGCTGGAGCCATGCATTATTCACTGGTCGGAGAGCGCGCTCTTTTCAGAGTACGATGCTTTAACATAAAAAAAACTCGTTGTTTGCACCTTATAAGACGACGTGTTGGAAAACCATTTTTTATAATATAATTTAATGGAAGAAAGACATTATGTGAGAACTCAAGTTGAGGCTAGCAGACTTAGACTGATATGCTAATCATTACCCTATTTTAGCATTTGCAGGCTCCTGTTAGTAACCGTCAGCCTACTGTAGAATTAAATTGGATAGATTCATGTATAATATGAAAGGCAACCTGTTTGATATTTTGACAAAATGGTTGCTCTATGTATGAGATTGGCTTTCACTACTGATGCAATATTGTATCAGAAATTGCAAAGTAATAGATCGTGGACACTTGTTTCTGTTTTTTTTTTCTATCATCCACCACCCTACCGAGTAATATCGTTAATCCGTTGCTTGAGTTTTTTATGTTTTGGGTAAGTCTATTCTTTAATAGTTGTCTAATATTTTCCAACAATTTTCCGTTGAGTCTTTGTTCAGGTAAAATATCATAAGCCAAGCAGATGGAAGTCTCAAATTCAGTATTTTTCCCTGATTTCGTTGTATGCTAAAGACAACTCTGGGGAGTCTCTACGACTGACTTGCCGCCCAAGATCGAGATTTGTTGACGTCTCTTGTTCTATTGATAGTGGGTCTGCACTTTGGAGAATGCTTTCTTTTAAACGCGATGCCTATGAAGTTGCTATCGAGGTTGAATCTTCTACTTCTCTATCTAAAAAGGCATTTCACCTTGTGAATAAGAAGAATGATTGTGCATTGGCATTCAACGACGGCATTCTTGAATTTGTTGGCAAGCCAGGAAATCTATTCAAATGGAAAGTGTTTGATGACCCTGGTCCATTGAGTAATAGGTTTCCTGTGGAGGGACCTTCCAGCTCCACCGCCATATCAAGGGAACTGCAAACTTACCCAAGGGATGGAAGTGATTCAAATGTTATGGAGATGGGAGAGTTAGTGGCGAATGGGAATCTTTCGGGAATTGTAGTTACAGTGGACAAGATTACCCTGACAATTGTTCATGAGCTTTCAGAGACTGAGGAAAAGTTCCCGCTTCTCCAGGGATCAATCTCCCCCAATCAAGCAATAATACAAATCTCAAATTCTAAACTCAGGGTTATGAACACATTTGAAGTTATTCTATATTACTTTGATGCCCAGCAAAACAAATGGTAACTCTTTTCGTGCGTAGATATTGGGTTGGTTCTCATTTTTGGCATTTCATTTAGATGCTTCAAATTATCTTACTACCTTGCAGGACTGAATTCATTCAACCACTTGAAATCTGCACTTTCTACTCTCAGAAGTTTCTTATTCAGGGTGCAGAAAATTCTCTTCACGGATTGCCTAGTCATTTCTATGCTAAAATTAAAGAGGTTTGTCTATCGATATTCAATTTTTGTTCTTGTTAGCTTTAAACTTAATCACTATGATAGTTCTCTGTGGCATTGGCAGGTGACCGTATTACTGAGCGAGCTTTCGCTGGATATCCTTTTATTTGTTATTGGGAAATTGGATTTGGCTGGTCCGTATGCAGTAAAAAGCTCCATGGTTCTGGCCAATTGCTACAAGGTTCTTAAACTAATATGTATCTAGCATGACTATTTAGTTGAAGTGTCTTTCTTTATTGAAACAATAGAAGAATATTCTCTTCATATGTTTAGTGGTGACTCTCAGACTTGCACAGATTTGTTTTTATTTATTTTGTGTAACTTAGACTTCCTTTGTAATCTCCTATTCTGACTGTGAAGTTTCTTAGCATGCAATTTTAATATTTTTATATATAATTCTGAATTGACATAGAATCAATTAAGTCTATCTAGAGGCATGAAAACCTGACTGCATGCGTTTATATCTCTCTGCTTGCTTATCTCATTCCCATGAACTTGGAGTAATGCTTTGACAATCTTCGATTTCCGGTGTCTAATTTTCTTATCTCATATGCTGATTATGTCGCTGCTGTGTCACTTTTCTTATTTTGGAGGGAATCCAGACTTCCATGTGAATACCTTTGTTTACTATAGAACCTATATAATATACTTTTCTGGTGTTGGACCCATTTCTTTCAGGAATTAACTTACTGCAGTATGATTGTTTAACATGATGGGGGGTCTTTTGACATAGATGGTGGTGTGGGTACTTCTGTTTTCAAGTCTATTAAATCTAAATGGTAACTGCAGATGTTTGAGGCATGGAGCCTACAATAATTTAGGCTGGTTGTTGAATTTTTGTTTGTTTATGGATAGGATGTGGCACCAACCTTCTTTTTGCTGAAGTACCAAACTTATAGATGCATGTCAACCATGACTGATTAAATATGAATGATAAGATTTTCTGAACTTGGAGAGTTAACTTGCACATTATTTTTCTTATGCTTGCGCTTGAACATTTTCATAGAAGCTACAATTATCTTTCTAGCCACTACAAATGCTGGGTGTTCTTAATCCTCACTCTTTTGTATCTTGATCCAACTCTTTTGACTGAGCCTTAGCTTACTGCATACATAATTTTTTTTTTCTTCCTGAAATTAGAAGGCGATAACTTATGTTTCGGAATGGCAGGTTGAAAACCAAACCGGCTTGACTCTTGATTGCCAATTTTATGATCATCAACATACATCAATAACTGCGAGACAGTCGACTACTGTTTTTCTAAGGTAACCCCGATTCTGTTAACTGGCAAAATATCCAGTGCTGAGCTCTTTTATCTTCCTTACTGGCACGCATTTCAGAGTTCAAGAAGAGGGAAAACTCAACTAAAGCATAAGCTCCTGCTCTTCATTAACTAATTTAAACGAGCTGTTAGTTACAGTACTAATATGTAGCTATTGTCATCAATCCTAACTGAATAATCATTCTTTCAATTAATAGAAATTGCTATAGACTGAAGTTGCCTTTATAATGATGCTGCATTTCACTTCTAAAGTTGCTGCGTTATCTTTTTCTTCTTTTACTGGGTTCTTCTTTTGATCTTTTTTGCTGCATCTTCTTGGTTGAGCTAGTATACTTCATATTCAGGTCTGTAACACAAACTTTATGGGTGATTAAGTTCTTAACTTGATAAAGATTAGAAGTATTTCTGCCATCTGAGGTTCCACTTCAAGAAGTGAGCAGTTTATTTAGGAAACACGAACCCCAATATAAAATGAAGACATCATTGATATTTGTTATTTTATTTTCTTCAGTCTCAGTTCTTTGCCTTCGGTAGTTTCCATTTAAATTTCAGCAAAATCAAATAATTCTCATATAGCATGTCTTTACTGTTTATCTCTTCGATGCATTTTATCTGTCTGTTACTTACATAAGAAAGAATTTCCGGTTAACATTTTATGTGGGCTACTTTTCTCCCTTGCATGTTTTTAAGGCACCTAGCTTTAGCAAATCAGCCACCAGAAGCATCTTTCTTTTCAGTACAGCTTGTCCAGAACGGTTTCCTTTCAACGTCTCCTATTCGTCTTTCACTTTTAGAAGCTCGACAATTTGCCTGGAGGACTCGCATTGTGTCATCGCAAGGTGAAGTATCCTGCTTCTAGTTTTAACGTTTTAGAATCATTTACTTAAGTAGGCAGCTATTAGTTGTGATATTGTATATGCAATTCGTAAATGACAATTGTTGCTAAGTGATTGGCTTATTTATAATCCAATGGTAAAAGTGATTAGTATTTAGTACCAAAGTTAGATGCAGACTAGTTTGGCATCAATGTTTATTTTTTGGCCACCTTTACGTAAGACTGACTAATCTGATGTGGTATAGTAATTGCAACTAACTTAATCTTGCCGTCCGGAATTTGATGCAAATTTATGCAAAAAAAAAATGGTATTTGTTGTTTGGTATAGCTAACTTAATATTTATATCTTTCAATGTACCTGTAGCAGTGCAAATGATGCGATGAGATTCAACCGAAGGTAAGGAAATTATAATATTACCCGAGGATAAACTAATTAATCTGTGATACAATAATGTTCTAAGATGTTCTTACTTGAGGGTATCCAAAAGGACCTCTCAGTATTATGGCTCTTATTGCTTAGATTTTCTTTTGCAGGTGATAATCTTAGTTGTCATGTTTTGTGAGGACTAACTCTAAATTTTCCCCTTTACTTGACCAGACTCCAAATCTTTTCCTGGTCCATTTGTTGTTCTTGAAATTTCAAAGGGAATTGAGGTATAAATTTATCTTTATCATCTCTGCTTTGTGATTAATATATTTTCCTCCTCTCTTTAGACTTTAGTATTAATTTGTCTTTCCTTTCAACCTGATATATTAATAGGACGGCTTATCTATCGTTGTCTCTCCTCTACTAAAGATATATAATGAAACTGATTTTTCTCTGGAGCTGCGTTTTCAAAGGCCTCAACATGTGGAAGCCGAGTCTCCTTTGCTGATATTGAAGGCTGGAGATATTTTAGATGATGCGATGACAGCATTTAGTGCTACTGATTTGTCTGGTGGTTTGAGAAAGGCATTAACATCTCTAAGTGTTGGTACGTCTTATCTTCATTGCTTCATATCTTTAGTACGTAGATGAAGAATTACTACAGAAATCTAGATTGAATAATTTGTTTCATAGCCGCAAAATTCAGATGCTATATGTGTAACTGAAATGAACCCGCATACAAATGAGTATAAGCTTTAGGATACGGATATTTCCAGTATAAGCTTTGGGATGTGGAAATCTGGTAGAAGATATTCTTCTTTATGCTCTAATTGCTGTTTGATTAAATATTTTCTTTAAAAAATGATGATGCAGATTATTGTCTGTGAAATTGCACACAACCCTTTCCCTCACTCATTCAGAATCTATAGTGAGTTGGTGCAAATAGATCCCGACAGTTTTAATTAAATTCATTATATACTCGCTGAGCTTATGAACATCACCTAAGAGATTTCGGTACTTGTAAGAATTAAAAGTACATTGCCATTTATCTTCTGCAGTTGCATGCATCTGGATGGTTCTTTTGGATGAATCCGTTTCTAATTGGAGGAAAATTAATGAATATGAATTGGTTCCTCTTCAAATATTTGAAGGAACTGAATAGCCTGAAAAAGGCATAGTTGATATGCGATTGGGTCAGTATATTTGTAGTAATGATATTGGATATTTTAGCCTCAATCTAACTATTCCTTGCTGTTAGTTAAATGGATAATTATTTTATGTTGTATCGGTATGTATTTATTTTTGGTTTATCTATTATCCTCTCATTCCATTTTGTACCAGTGCATTCTTTTTATCCTTACTTTATGCAATGGAAACAATCCTTTCTCGCCACTATCTGAAACTTATGAAGTTAAATATTGATCTGTAGGGAACTACATGTTTTCGTTTAGACCCAACACTTCTGATGATTCAAATAATTTTAGTAAGTCGTCAATAGAGTGGTCAGATGATCTTAAAGGTGGGAAGCCTGTTCGCCTATCCGGGCTATTCGACAAACTAAATTACCAAGTGCGGAAGGCATTTTCTGTCAACTCAAAAAAATATTCACTGAGCATTGCGAATTGTGCTCTCAAATCTGAAGAAGGTGTTGTCTCTGACATATATTTCCTGATACAAACTGTTGGAAAGGCTGTACCTGTTGTAAACCCAGATAACTTCGGATACGCCCCTGGAAATAAAAATTCACCAGTCGCAATGCAAGAGCAGAAAGAATTTTTTGTTCTCCCTACGATTCAGGTCTCAAATTTATTGCACACAGAGATACATGTCAGTTTGACCGATAAAGGTAATCGTTGCATAAATAGTGAACCCAGTTTCTTTTAGTTTGTTTAATATGTTCTATTATTGACAAACCTTCACCTTGTTGCAGATCCGGACAGCTCTGTGGACTCTGACAATACATGGAATGAAGCAACTATTTCTTGTGGATCAGCTGCCAATTTTTATGTTAACCCTGCTACCATATATTTTGTGGTCACATTAACTTCTTTTGGCTCGAGCTGTAAACCAGTAAATAGTCATGACTGGGTGAGAAAATTGCAAAAGCAAAAAGATGAAATCTCTCATTTGGACATTGAATTGGACTTTGGTGGCGGGAAATACTTCGCTATGCTAAGATTGTCCCGTGGACAGAGAGGCACACTAGAGGTACTTATCCTGCAGTATTATCTTTATACATATTTCAAGCTGGAACTCAACTTATTGTGCTTGTATTCAGGCTGGTATCTTTACGTCATATGCATTGCAAAATGATACAAATGCGTCGTTGTTTTGCTTTCCTACCAACCAGAAGCCTTTATCAAGGTATCATCTAATCATTTTCATAATTATTAGGAGTTGAATATTGGTAAAAGACTTCCTTAATGGAGAATCTCATTTGCAGGGCTGACATGGACAGATTTGGTACAAGTATCCCTCTGGAGTTTGGATCATATTTGCCTCCTAATTCTACCACGTCATGGTTCTTGAAGTAAATATCATTTTCTTTATCTTTTCTAATTGCGTTGTTGCTTTAAAAAGTATTTGGTATTTTCGGTAAAGGTGCAATTGTCGGTGGTGGAATAATAGCATGCAGATACATGTTTATGCAGTTAGATTCAGAATTTAATTACTGATTTCTAGTATGGAGAAATTGGCTTTACGTTGTACATTGGAAGCCATCTTAGTTCCAGGCGCTTGACATGCATAAGAAAGAGCATGATTCTTTTTCCCGAACTATATCTTTTTGCACCTTATAAATTCACATAATACTTGACTGTTAAAATCACAATTCTTTGTTGAGTTCACTTAATAGTTTCAGCATGTCAAGATTAAGAGAAGGATTCTGTATGAAATTGCGATTGTTTTTGGTTGAATTAGCACTTAGTATAAGCTAAACCTTCTCAAGTAATTCATGCACAAACTTCTCGGATGTACATGCACATATCAAAGGTCCCCACCCCAAAGTATGTGAAAATTTATATTCCTTAACACAATGAACACTGACCTGTAGAAGTAGTTCCTATGGTTTTGTTTGTTTGTTTTTCAAGGGGGTAGGGTAGTAGCGTAGGGGGTGGAGTAAGGTGATTTCTATTAAGACCAAGGAACAATCCTAACCGTTGGCCCATAATAATTGTAGCCTCCATTTAAATACTAAATTGGATATCTTGTTTGACTTTTTATGTTATTCTGGTGACAAATGAATGCTAATGTAATTCTCTGTCTTTCCTGTGAGATCTGACCTAAGGTCTAGTGTGTAACGATGTATATTTAATTTTGGATGTAAAATTACAAGCAATAACTTCCAATTGAGGTGATCATGAAAATAACACTTGAGCATGGAAAATCTTGGGTTGATAAATCCAGAGGTAAAGATGACGTCAATCTATCATTAGTGACTACTAAAATATACTTTTTGAATGCTAGATGCCAAAAATTGTGCTTCAAGTTGTTTGAGCAGAAAACACTGGAAGCACAGCTCGATTTGGATGTGTTATCGGGCCTTACAGAGATAGACCTGGAATCAGAAGAATTGTTCGGATCGAAAAATATCATGAGGTTGGGAGTGTCTTTAAGGCCATCTCTCACCAAAAAGGTCTCATCTCAGATAGTATCTTTCAGCTCGCGGTATGTTATATGCAATGAGTCAGAAGCTGCGATTGCTATCCGGCAATGTGATATGGAGGTCTGCTTTAACTAACACAAATTTAGTAAAAAAAAAATGGTGTTAATTTCAAATTCTGAGTTGTGCTCTGATAATTCTCTTCTTCTTAAAAGGATATGGAAGATATAATTACTATCAACAGCAAACAGACGATAGCTTTACAGCTGAAGACAGTAACAAGAAAGAAGAGAGAAACGACCGTCATTGAAAATATTCTCAGAAAGCATGCAAAACCTCAAAACGATTCATCATTTTTCATTCAATTCCGACCAGATGAATCTGGACTTGGCTGGTCAGGGCCAGTATGTGTTTCTTCATTGGGTAGATTCTTCCTGAAATTCCGAACATACCCTGAAAGTCAATCCGATCACACGCCTTACAAAGAAAATCTAGTTAAATTTGCAGCTATTCATGTGGTGGAAGAAGCGTCTACCGTCGTATTGCACTTCCACATGCCACCACTTACATATCTTCCCTACAGAATAGAGAATTGTTTACATGATGCTCCCATAACTTATTATCAAAAGGTTTGTGTAATTCTCCCACTTTATCATCTTTTGCTTACATTTATTTAAGTGTCATCCTTATTTTCTCAGGATTCATCGGAGCCGGAGACTTTAGGAGCTAGAGTTAGTACTAACTACGTCTGGGATAACCTGACTCTTCCACATAAGCTAGTTGTCCAATTTCATGGTACTTCTCGTTTTCTCAACATTTGTTACTTAAAAAGTTTTGAATACTTTTCCTCACACGTTAATCATTTTAGAGGAGAGGCATTATAGCTCTATTTGTTCTAAAGCAGATAGTTCCGTTTCCAAGTTCCGTGCAATTGATATGACATGAGTGTTCAATAATGTAGTTCTCCTCTCGCAGATGTGCATCTATTGCGTGAAATCAACTTGGATAAGGTGCGGTCATGGAAACCATTTTACAGGAACAAGCAAACGAGAGGTCTGGGATTTCATTTACCCCTGGAGAAAAAGCCTGAAGATAAAAAACGTACTACTTACAGTCGAGAGACTGTAAGAGTGGGCTTTGAAGTATATGCAGAAGGTGTTACCCGAGTTTTGAGGATTTGTGAGTTCTCTGATAGTCATAAGGTGACTAGGGTGTCCCGCTCCGGTAGACAGATGCGGCTAAGAGTCTCCTATTTTTCTGTCCACTTGCTAGAGCATGCCAAGCAGGTCAATTTTCATTTATGAATTCATTCCTCCAACATAATATATCTCTGACCATCTCATCTGTTCACTATTTTTTTCGTGATTTTGTGGACAGCAAGTGTTGAATCAAATAGACAATATTCATGGAAAATAACTCTTCATTTGACAGTGTTCATGGAAAATTGCAAAAAGTTTGAATGCTTATTTTCACCATGAATTTTATTTATTTGCTGATCAATCATATATTTTGTGAAATAGTTACTATAATGCACTTCTTTTCTTTATTTGTACATATGAATTAAAGCACTAACGCAGTGACCCTTATGAAGGCTTAAATGGCATGGGATTGTCGCTTCTTGAATTCTTCTAATAAAACTTATCAAGATTATGAAGAGACAAAAAAGAGAATGATCTTTCTTAAGGATAATTTATCCCCTGTCTTTACAAATATTACCCCCTTTCTTCTTTGCATTTTAAAATGCCTTCCCTCAAGGTTGATAAAGCCTTCTCCAGAATATGTGTAGCATTCATCAATCTCCCTCTTAGAAAATGTAACGTCGGGCTAAATAGGTTACTGCATGCTAGCTTTATTCTTTTCATTTTTCTTGTATTCCAAACTTATGTCCATTCGGAACTGTAATTTGCTGAAGGAGGTAAATCTGGGCGAGCCATCCAACTATGAACCAATAATCATTACAAGACTTGAACGAATTAACTTGGATGCTATTTTCACGGACCAACATAAATACAGCCATATCAGAGTGAAGGTACATGCAGTTGCTTTTATATCATTATTGATGTCTTTTATTCTTCGAGGGGTTTTCGTTCATAACATCTGAAAGATATTGATGTACTATATACTTCAAGATTGTATGCCTTTCTGATTAGTTTATCGCAATTAATAAATGTAGTCATTAAGCGTGGATGAGAAGTGGGTCGGAGCTCCTTTTGCAGCAATGCTTCGTAAGCACCAATCTGAAAAGTCCGATGGAAACGAATATATTCTTCATGCTGCAGTTGTTTTGCTTCCAACGGGTTCTTCTGTTAAACAAGTGAAATACCTTTCCATTGTTCTGCAGGTAACATTAAAAAAAATGGGATTTCTAAAGCTCTTTATATTTTGAATGTGGGTTTTACAAGAAATTTCATGGACGTCATTGATATCTTTCAGCAAATTGCTATTCTTTTCCTAAAGCTGTTTGTCAAACTTGATCATATTTGCAGCCTCTTGACCTGAACCTTGATGAGGAGACACTAATGAAAATCGTTCCATTTTGGAGAAGTTCTCTCAGTGATTCGAATGCTCCCCGTCAACAGTACTACTTTGATCATTTCGAGATCCACCCTGTAAAGATTGTAGCAAGCTTTCTTCCTGGAGACTCCAATTACAGCTACAGTTCAACTCAAGAGACTCTTAGGTCATTACTCCATAGTGTGATTAAGGTCTGAAACCAATTTTTCGTCGTATAATTCTGTTTCTTTTCTTTTCTACGGCTTTTGAGGTAATAAATCATTTTCATTTATATTTATATTCGACCAATGAATTTTCCATCTCCTCATAGATACCTGCCATCACGAGAAAGAATGTTGAGCTGAATGGGGTCCTTGTGACACATGCTTTGATAACGATACGTGAATTGACTGTAAAATGCGCACAACATTATTCCTGGTATGTTGCAGTTTGACAGTTTTTCTTTTCTTCTGTTTTAATATCTGGGTGTCCCTAAATTTCAATCAAGTTTTGTAGGTATGCCATGAGAGCAATCTATATTGCAAAGGGAAGCCCATTGCTTCCTCCAGCTTTTGCTTCTATATTTGATGATCTAGCTTCGTCCTCGCTTGATGTCTTTTTTGATCCTTCAAGTGGTTTGGTCAATGTTCCTGGCGCCACCTTAGGTATCTCATTTTCTCTCTCAATATGCATGTGAAAACAAGAATGTATTGTGTCCAAAACTGTTCGCTTGATTCTCTCTCAATCATGATCATCTCTCTTAATACGAATCTGATTTTTTTACAATAAATATACCTAAAAATAATTAGTAGTGGAAGGAAACTGCTAAAGAAGAATTGACAGGTAGACTGGAGAGTTTTATATCTCTAGCAAGGACTAGGATATTATATACACATGTGTATATTTATATAAGCATTGAGAATGAACAAAAGGTTTCATCTAATGCTTGAAAACTTGAATAATGAGCATTTATGAGTAAGTTTTTAATTAAGATTAGACAAAGTTCTATAATGTTGCATTACAAGAATGGTGCTATTCTCTCATAGTACTCTTAAAGAGATAATAGAATCTTTACCACGATAATCAGTGTGTCGATGTAACTGTGCAGCATATTTTGATGTTTATAGCTGAAAGATAACTTGGTTATTTCCCTTTGCAAATGTTCATTCCAAACTGTTTGGATGGTCTTTTTCCACCCCTGGCCTGATCCATGAATTTATGAATTAGGGACACTGAAGCTGATCAGTAAATTCATAGATAACAAAGGTTTTTCTGGAACAAAGCGTTACTTTGGTGATCTAGGAAAAACTGTAAGTTTTTTTTTCCCCTTGTAAATACAAACTAGTTGAAGGTTTTTATTTGAGTTGCATGACATTTGTCTCTGGGGTTCATTTGCAGTTGAAAAAAGCAGGTTCCAATGTGCTATTTGCTGCAGTCACTGAAGTATCAGACTCCGTTCTTAAGGGAGCAGAAACAAGTGGTTTTAATGGAATGGTATGATTCATTAATTTCCCCGAATATTAATTATACATCTGTCGAATGTTGACTGTTTAGAGTACATAATATTGTCAGGTAAATGGTTTTCACCAAGGAATTCTTAAATTAGCTATGGAACCATTAGTTCTCAGCAGTGCTTTCATGGAAGGTGGCGCAGATCGGAAAATCAAACTTGATAGAAGCCCTGGCGTTGATGAGGTAACTCGAAAGTAAATTTACTGTTGTAAACATATCCCTTTTCTTATACTAAACTCGAAAGTTCAGTTTCTGAAACGAGTTTCCTCCTTTTATAAATACGCCGTCACGGGTAGATTGGGTCACAAGCAAAAAGAGCATCCACTATTAGTTTCAATTATTTTACCATCCTCAGCTCTTATTTCATTTTTGAGTTCTGAAAGATTCAATAATGCCACAAAGTCTCTTGATATTTCTATGTTGAAATATGCAGCTATACATCGAGGGTTACCTGCAAGCAATGTTGGATACAATGTACAAACAAGAATACCTTAGGGTGAGAGTTGTCGAAAACCAGGTAATACACACACCCATGCCTATAATTTATGCATCAACTGAATCAGTGTATATGCTTGGATAATGTCGATGTATAATTTATGCATCAATTGAATTAATATGACTAAATTGTATTTAAATGTTTCATTTTCTTATAGGTTATTCTAAAAAACCTCCCTCCAAGCAGTTCTCTTATAAACGAAATCATGGACCATGTAAAAGGGTTTCTTGCAAGCAAGTCGTTGCTGAAGGGGGAATCTTCAACATCTTACTCCCTCCGACACATACGAGGAGAAAGAGTAAGTATTTTGTTCCTATCTATTTCTTCTCAATTTCGACAAATATAATTAAGCTTTGTCAAATGTGAACACACGTTACGCCTAATTATCACGAATTAACAAATTCTTCTTACAGGAATGGAGAATCGGGCCTACTATACTGACTCTATGTGAGCATCTGTTTGTGAGTTTTGTGATTCGAGTGCTTCGAAAGCAGTCTGGTAAAGTTGTGGGTAGAATCGGATGGAAGGGAAAACTTAAGGCAGATGAAGAGACTGCAATTGTTCCTGTTCCTCCAGTGGGCCCCATTGAGGAACAAAAGGTGAAGCTCGTGTGGAAATGGGGAATCGGCAGGTTTGTCTTGTCTGGTATAGTTGCCTATGTTGATGGGCGGTTATGTCGGAATATTCCTAACCCTTTAGCAAGAAGAATTGTTAGTGGGTTCTTGCTGAGTTTTCTTGATCAAAACGATGATGAAACGAAGTAGAAGCTGTTTCGGAAGTTTCTTTCTTCTTGAAGTTTTGTAGTGAATTTTGGTGACTTGGGTTTGCATTTGGTGCTTATGCATGAACACGAGACATCAAAAGAGGAATAAAAGAAAATGAGCTTTAGGCGAAAACGGTACGTTTTATTTACGACTTTGTCTGGAAGAGAATCTCTCAAATTTGGAATTCTGACCTGATAGCGAGCCCACAGTTTGTGAAAACTACAATTTGCTATTTTCAAGTGAGTATAATAAATGCATAAACATGCTTTTGGTTCCTCAAATTTTCATGTGCATTTATTTGGGAAAAAAGAAAAGAAAAGAAAAGATGTTGGGGGCAATTCTGTCATTTCACACAGCAAAAAAGAAGATCAAAAAGATAAAAAAAATTTGGGGCTTTTTTTTTCCCCCCCCCCCCCCCCCCCCCCCCTAATAAAATCATCATTTAATTCAAAAAAAAAAAAAAATTAGGAAAACCACTAGCGAATTTAATAGAAACTGCGGGGCCAAGCTATGAGAAAATAAAATATGGTTAATTAGCAGGCGTTCATGCACTGATGCACATACCATTCCTCGCAGCCTCTGTGTGTGTGTGTTAATATTAAAGAGTTTGGATCATTCTTTGTGCAAGCAAGAATTTTAGTTCACTTAATATATTCAAATAAAAAACCCAAACTTCACCTAATAATATGGAATTCATGTAATTTAAAGTCTAAATCAAAGCCTCAATCACTCTGTCATTTTCGATTGTGAAACTAACAAGGCCAGTCAAATAAATCTAATATTTTACCGTGCAATCATGGGTACGACAACGGTATAAAAAATTCAATACCACAAAATACGGTTGGTAGATAGTATTTAGCCAAAAGTTTGGCAACCGTACCGAACCCACCGTAAAAAAATCTGATCAAACACAAAATGAAAGATAAATAGATATGATCAATTATTAATACCGGGATAAACGAGCAGCTATGTGTCAGATGAAGTCGACGGAGTGAACCACATTGGTGGCGGCTCGATCCTTTTGATCTTATCGGCTCCAGAGGCGGCACGTGGGAGGCGAAGGGTGGCGGAGAAAGTTCTTTGCTCAATGGGATAATTATAGCACGGAGCGAAATCCCGTTTTGCGTAATCAAACACTCCGATATCATGTCCACCGATTTTCGAATCTTCATTCAAATAATACGGAGTATATTCCTTTGCATCGGTGAAGTAAATGGAATCTGGATTAATTTCTCCTCCTCCCCCGTCGCCAACTTGGATGGCAAACCCATGGTTGATGCCGATAAACATCGCCAACCTGTTTAACGAACTCTCCATGTACCTCAGTTCCCGTTTCTCGATGTCGATTTCGTAAACGTCAAAAGATATAGTGTTGTACGGAAAACCCGGGGGCACGGGAGTATAGTAGTGAGCCGGCTTTCGATCAGCGACGTATCGACGGACGATGGACGAGAAAGAGTTGATCCGTCTGCTCGCAGATTACGAGGTATTTCACGGGTTTGAACATCTCTTTGAGTTCGCACTCGTCTAATTTCCCGACCGAGCCCCACGGGTGATTTTCATCGTCCTCGCCCGGTTTCAAGAAATCGAGCGGAATCAGCCTCGGAGGGGAATGTGGGTCCCGCAGATCCCAAGCCTCGAGCTCCGCGTATTGCGTGACGCAGAAGAAGAGTTTGCGTTTGGAGGAGTAGACAAAGTCTTGGTAATTCCTCTTGAAAGTCTTGTCGTCGAGCTTGATGAAAGGTTTTCCGATCGGGGTCCACTCCGTGCCGGCGGCGGCGCCGCCACGGGGGAGGCGGCAGAAAGCTAGCCTTTAGCGATGCAGTCTTCGTCGCCGGGGGAGCACGATAGGATGAGCTTGCGCATACGAATATTAATATCATCTGGATGTTTTTTCTCCACCGGTAAAGACTGAATGGACGGCAGATACATGTGGCGGCGCGTGAGGGGATTGGAGATGAATTGTACGTCGTCGAATGAATAATTATATGCTAACCAGCCGTGTGAAGATCCGACGTAGTTCAACCATGGCAAGCTAGAATGCCGTGTGTTGCTGTTGATTTTGACGACTCTCTTCTCTGCAAGCATGTAGAAATTGAAATACATTTCTTCGGTTCCTTCTTCGATAGAAGGTGGTAGCATCAGCCACGGTGAAGCCGGCGGCCTTCTGGGTGGTGACACGTCAGCATCAGCACCACCAACTACGGCGGCGACAGTATTCTCTTTACGAGAAAACCAAATTGAAGACCCGAAATTCTCTTTACGAGAAAACCGAATTGAAGATCCGAAATTCTTTTCATGGTGGGATCCGGATCCGAAACCCCATTTCGGAGACGCCCGATTTGCAGACCCGATATCTTCAACTCTCCAGTGAACGAAACCGGTTATACACGAAGCCATTAATTAATGTTTTTTGTATTTTATTATCTTATATTATATTATATATATATGTAGCCCTAGAATTTATTTAACCCTTGTGCTGTTTTTCGAAACATAAGGACAGAAATGCCCCTAGGGTTAATATTAGTAGGATTCGTATATGATAACTGTTGAATTCAAAAAACCAAAAAAAAAAATTATTTAAAAAAAATGTATCGCAAAGAATCCGGTTATATTTGATAAGGGTGGTAATTTGTTCGACTCTACACCCGGTGAAAAACACCGGGTGACTCTTCTGCTGCCACGTGTTTTTTTTTTGTATTTTATAATAGATTCCCTGCTAGGGTTTACCTTTAGGGGTTTTAGAAAAATAAAAAAAAAAGAACACGTGGCAGCAGAAGACCCACCTAGTGTTTTTCACCGGGTGTAGAGTGGAAGGAACCTTGATAAGGGTGGTAATTTGAAACGACCAAAAATCGGATTCCATTAACAAAAGGGGTTATTTTACATGCCCCATAGCCACCAAATAAACTAGGGATAAACCCAAGCTCAAATCATTCTTTGACATACCTCTGGAGAAATGAAAGTACTATACTACCCTTATATGCAATTTTCAGCCAAAACTGCATTCAACATTTCTGGTCCGGCATTTATTATTATTATTTTTTTTTTAATAATTAACCTGTTTGTTAAATTTGTATATATATTTATTTTTTTCATTTTTTTCATTTTTTAATTTTTTTAAAAAATTAAAAAAAAAATATTTTTTTTAATTTTTTTTTTATTTTCAAAATAATATGTTTACTGTACTGAAAATAACTACATGTAACCTATGGTGCACGGACACGGATACGTGGACACGGTGATACGCGGATACGGACACGGTGATACGGCATTTCCACATAAATAGGCTACGGACACGTGGGGGATACGTGTAAATATAAAAAAATGTAGGGGTATATTTATAAATAATAAAAATATAGGGGTACATTTATAAATTGTAAAAAATATGTATAAGTCGTCATCTCATAAGAGAACCACTCGCCCTTGTTGCTCGTGTTCTTGATCGCCGTCGCATGCTAGACTTTTGGAGTTTTTGGTGGACTCACAAATAAAACAAAGGAAATGTGTATTACAGAGAAAAGAAAATGCGCATTTTTTTTATTAGAGCTCTCCTTTACAACGTAAGACAAGTGTCCCAACTTTTTTAAAATTGTGGACACTGCCCGATACGGGTGTCCTACTTTTAGCGAAATTACGACACGGCCCGACACGGGTGTCCGAGAAGTGTCTGAGAGTGTCTGAGTGTCCAGGTATCGGATACGGGGACTCTTCACCTTCTAGAAGTGTCCGTGCAGCATAGCATGTAACTATAGTACCTATAATAATTCGTAGTTATGTTCGTTTTTTAATTTCCCCATATTTTTAGTCGATTAATTGCATACACACACGAATATTGGCTTATACAAAAGAAATTCATGAAAACCCAACAAAAATTTACAAATTTCAATATTTTTATTACAAATCACCTCATAACCAATAAAAAACAAATCGAAAATACACAAAAATACGCATATGTAACTACATGTTACTATAGTAATGTATACAGACTGTTGAACAACAAAGCACATGTAACTTCAAACAAAAATGTTGACACCTTCAAGGAAATGATCAATGGCCTTCGTTAAGCTGCAATTGCAAAATCAAAACAAAAAAAAATTACTTTAGTGCAAATCAACAAAATTTGAAAAAACATCAAAACACCCAAAAATCAACAAACACTAAGAGATCGAGAGATAGAGAGAGAGGTTATTGTTGGGAAATGCTACAAATTTTAAATCAAACAGACAGTGACGCCTCACTCCCCTCGCCTCCTACTAAAACCCTAGACGCCGCTAATAACCACCCACGGTTCCGCGTGCCCACAAATACAAAAAAATATATAAATAAATTTAAAAACATAAACATAAACGAAATTACCATCAAATTATAGATCTCGACGATAGGAATCCAACGGTGGGTAGCCCGTCAAATTTCGACGGGTGGAACACAAAACAAAGCTCCGGCAAGACCACCATCGTCGAATGAAAAAAAAAAGGGGAAACAGATCAGCGCTCCAAACTGAATGAAATCACCACAAAAAGAAAGAGCTCGACGAGAGGAATCCAACGGTAGTTAAACCATCAAATTCCGACCACCGGAGAGGGAGTTATGACCCCGGGAAGCAATTTCGCAGGTGGGAGGTTTGTGCAGGCGGGATTTTGAATGTGGAAGAGGAAGAGAGAGACGATTGTAGTGGCTATTTAAAACTGATTTTAAAAGGGTATTATAGGAACTTTAGGGTGTCCCAGGGGAATATATCAAAATATTTTCGAAATGGAAGATTTCCCCTAGAGTGTAATCCACTTGGTAGTTAGTTCAATATAATTTGGAAATGAGGGGTCTACAAAATAATACCTTAACAAAATGATACGTCTAAGATGAAAATTGTGCTCTAAATTAGCATGCATGCAGTACGTAGTCTGACATATTTTAGTATTATAATATTTATTTTATTTTTCTTATCAAATTTCTTGAAATAATTTGGTTTTTTGTTTATGTATCAACTTCCAGAGTAAAATAAAAAAAAAAAAAAATTAGAAACCAAATTTAATATGTTTAAATTGTCATATAAAATTTAGTTATTTACTAATTCCACGTCAAGGCGATTCATTTAATTCAAATAATAATTGGAAAAAAGTCAATATAACCATGACAATTACAATAGTTAAATCATGTTTTATTATTAATAATAATAATAATAACAACAACAACAACAACAATAATAATAATAATAATAATAATAATAATAATAATAATAATAATAATAATAATAATAATAATAAAAGGAGATAAAAATGAA